ACAATTGAAACAAAGAAACGAAAAAAAAATTAATACACAATGATATTACAATAGAAAACAAGAGAATTGACAAAATCTGATTTTTATTTTTAATTTTTAAAATTTCGTTTTTTTTAAAAAAATATTTTTTTTAAAGTTTATATATATTACAAAACTAAATTATAACTAGTGGAAGAATTTAATTAACCAAAATTTGATTAGTTTTCCGTTACAATCCCCGGCAACGGCGCCAAAACTTGTTGTCACCATAAGAGGTGTTTTTAAAATTTATAAGCTCGCAAGCGCACGAATCGAATATAGCATAAGCGTGTAAGAGCGAGGTCGTACCCAAGGGATTGCGTGAAAAGAGAGAAAACCAATTAAACCCAAGTTAATTTCATTGCCAACCCAGTTGATTCAAATGGTGATTTGTTTGTTTGCTAAATAAAGTTAAATAAAGCATAAAACAAATATGGAAATGACAATAAACTGAAATTAAGATTAAATTTATGAGAAAAAATAACTAAGGTATTAGAATCCACACCATTATTTCATAAGATCCTAATTATTTATCTTTCAATTCTCATGGAGTAGCAATCTAGAAATCAATCTACTGCTTTCTCAAGATTTGTTAATTAAGCTTGTAATTTAGATCGTAAGTAAATTTTTCCTCCCTTCATAAGTACAAATTCTAAGCATCATATGTAAACAAAATTATTTAACTACAAAGGATCAAAGTTTCCTAAGAATCCTATGTGAAAAAGTTTATTTGAATAACAAAAGATCAAAGAAATTTGTAAACTAGAAATATAAACCAAGGATGAATTAATAGATTAATCCTAAAGTCTTAACTACCACAAATACATGATAGAAGTGGTGAAAAGAAAATTAGTCTATTAATCATGCGAAGTGAAAATTATATATCATTGAACACCACAATATTTGAGAATTGAAAATAAAACTAGAACTTTATTTAATAATGGTGTTTCATCCAACCTTAGTTAAGTATTTTAGCTAGACATAATTAATATTTAAAACAAAATAAAGAAACCAAAATACATGAAATAAATGAGAACTATGAAAGGTGAAGAACAATTTTAAGAGAGTTATTAGCTCTCAGTTATTAGCTAAGAGAGTTATTAGCCCATCATTTTCAAATATCTTCCTTATTTTTGGCCTACTTCCTTGACTTTGGCTTACTTCCTTGACTTTGGTCTACTTCCTTGATTTTGGCCTACTTCCTTGACTTTAGTCTACTTCCTTGATTTTGGCTTCACTTTGTGTGTCTCTCCCTCATGTCTCCTAAGCTTCCTCCATTTATGGCTAGATAACAACTCAATCATCATTCTTCTTTGCATTCATTGTTTGCAAGTAGTCAATTTGAACTTCTCTTTCTTTGTTTATTCCTCCACAATTGCTATTGATGGAAGACACTTAATATCTACAAACAACCACTCATTAATTACAAAAACAAAGATTGGAAATAACCAATACAAATACTATAATAGATTTAAATAAAACAAAAGAAAATACTAACAAATATAAATTTAAGGATAAAACTTGTATGAATTATGTGCTCATCAAGAACCATTCACATAAACCCAATACTAATGTACCCAAGGTGATCCAATGCCAAAAATCCAATCTAAGATCAACAAAAACTCCAAGATGTTAGCAGGATTAATATCACTTATCAATCCCTGCACGTGCTGAACAAAGTACTTAGAATTTAATCCATTTTATGTTACAAAAACAGAGAAAAGAACAGCTGGAGTCTTTTGGCATGCATCATCAAGTGTCAAATTGAAGATTTTCCAAAGATTTTGCAACAAGACATTTAAGATCCAAATTTTCTAAAGCAACGGGTTCATGCACAACATTAGTGGAGACAAACATACAATTATGATTTTCCTTTTTCCTCTAAACGAACTTTGTCTTAGTTGACGGCAAACAATGAAAAGAAGATAGTTTGGATAAGTGGTTTACCTCTTCCATAAGATTTGAAATATTATGTTGGATACTTACTTATTGCATCTTGGTCTTATGTGCCAATGAGCTCCACAAAAGTGAGAAATTAGACTGAATCTCTTGACTTCAAGAGCAGCTGAAGGTTCAATAGGTGAAAAAGATTTGACAAACTTTTTTTTAGACACTTCGGAAGACTTATTACTTGTTTCAAATCCCAAGTATCGTTTGTCACCATCTCTTCTTCCCATGCTAATCATCTTGTCAATTTTTTCTGCACCAATGGTTAAAGAAACAATCATTTCCTCTGAAATTTTAAGTTCAAGTTCAAGGCTTGGTTGTTAGAAGTTAGAGATGCAATTAATTTATTCTGATCAGTCAATTTTTTCTGCAAAAACCATCAATTTTTCGTTCATACCTGCACTTACCATTTGGAATTTGCTTCAAGGGATTGAACCTTGTTTGCAATCCTGCTACTTTCCAACTTCAACTCAGCCACAGATTTGACGAGCTTGACATTTTATTTATTGAGTTTTTGTGAGGTAGCGAGCGAGTCATCCTACTTCTTCATGATAAAATCAAGTTTCATATCTTCACAATCATCATCCTCATGTGATTCATCCAAACTAACTATAGTTATGAGTGCAACCACCTTTTCATCTTTCTCGGATTCCAATTCACTATCACTCCAAGTTGTATTCGATGCTTTGTTCTTCCCATCATTTTGCTTCTTCAAAGTGTTAGCACGTTCAGAAGATATGTGACCATGACATCCACATTCAAAGCATTCGACATTTCCTTTTGAATTTTTCGTGTCATTAAACCTGCAAGATTTTGAAACAACGTCAGTATTATAAATATTTCTAATTTTCTCACAATTCATACATGAGTTGTTTCGCGAGTCTTGCTCCTTAGAGTTTTGATTCTTATGAAAACTCTTGAAATGTCTCAACGTAGCACAATCCATCCTACTATATTCCGGATCTCGCTAAGTATGTCTAGCGACCAGCTCTGATGCCAATTGAAATTACCTATAGAATGACTAAAAATGCCTAGATTGAATAGGCCAATTTAAGATTATAATCAATAAACTTCGGTAGCAGGATTGATATGGCTTATCAATCCTGAAACGTGATGAACATAAAATAAAGAAACATGCAGAGAATTATTTTACATGGTAAAACCCCACCTCTGGGGAAAATCCACGGGACTTCTCAATCCAACACAAATCCACTATAGAAAGATGATTACAAGAAGTACTCACACACTTATCCTAGACACGTTCTAAATCATGTCTACTGACTTCCTCGTAATTCAACTTCTGTCAAGGGATGATCTTCGACACTCCTTATGTTGAACGCAATACTGGTCACGATTGCTTCAAGCTTGCCGAAGGAAAACCACCACCACGGTCTTGATGCCCTCAACCGTATGAGTCACCGACATGCATATGAATGCAGTATGAATGATGAAATGATTTGATAAATCACCAAGTAAGCAAGGAACACTTCATGACTTATCTGAAAAATATGCACATCAGCTTTCTCTTAAAAATTCAGTATACTCAAAAATCAATATGTCAAAAGCTATATGTTCTAAAAAGAGAGGCACACTTCTTTTATTCAAAACACATTCTCCCTAGTCGAATGGTGATCTAAGAATCCACAAACATTCTTTTCTTATGACTCTCTAGTTTAAACCAATATAGGCGCTTAAGTCAAAAGACGTCAACACATGACCACATATCCTATTCAACAATGACTTTCAAACAACTATGGCTACCAAAACCTGATGCAATATGGTATCTTGACCAAGACGTCAAAACAAAAGACACACTACTATTCAATAATGAATAATAACTTTGATTCAATATAAACTCCCAGTAAGGACGCCAAACATGTGACTACAAATAGTATTCAATCATGAATATCAGTTTTGATCTAATATGTACTTTAAATGATGACGCCAAACAACCAATCTTTGAGGGAGAAATAATATCTCCCAAAACAAACTAATTAGACCAATCAAGTAGGAGATGAGCAACGTGCAAGTCATAATAGGAAAAGATAAAACTTAAATCAAAATAGAGTCCAACTAGTAAAGTAATCTCAAGAGATAAAATGTAATCCTATTAAAAATAGGACTAACGTAAAAGTGCTTGAGTGAAAATAACTCAATTTGGGAATCCTATAATGAACGCATAATTATGTCATGATTTATCTGAAATTAGTTTCCTCATATCAAGTCACACTTCGAAAATCCGGGATTGAATGTGTTGCGCCAAAACTTCCAGTAAAAGATATTCACATTCTAATTCCCGACCTATGCTAGAGTTTAGGAAATGACAATACAATTTTCATAATAACAAATAATTTTCAGCAACCCAAATCAACTCTACAGTCAATCAAAATGTGGTTAACAGGTGTGTATGTTTCCTACCGTGCAGCTAAGAGACAAAAGTGATTGCGTGGTTTTGACAGTACAATTGATTCACAATGCGCAAAGTTGTGCTTTTCGTGGCTTTATATGTTTTACCAAAATCCTCCATTGCTGACAGTACATTAATTTACAATGTGCTAAGCTTTGGAGCTAAGCCTAATGGTATAACAGATTCCTCCCAAGCTTTTCCTGATTCATGTCGTGTTATCATGTATACTGAGAACGATGGTTCTTGTAGCACTCCCCAAAAAAAATTAATAATAAAAGGAATAGGGGAGGTTTTATCGCAACAACAAGGTCAAAATTCGCAGCAATGCCAACATAAAAAATTCTACCATGCGCCAGGTGCATGGATGTGCCAATAATATTCACCATTGGATAAGCAGCTAGTGGATGTGGGTTAATCCACACCTTTGGTTGTAGGTGACTTGTTTAACTAGTTGTTGTAGGTTAAAAATTAAAAAACAAATGGGTTTTTCGCAGCAATGGTCCCTCAACTATACCCGTTTTTGCATTTGGGTCACTGAACTCAATAATTAGTTGCAGAGGTCACTCAACTAGGTGTTTTGTTGCACTATTAGTCCCTCTGTCAAACTCTATTAAATTTTCTGTCAAAAATGAGGGTAAATTTGGAAATTCATCCACAACCCTCTCATTCCTCCACAATCCTCCATTGCCGCAACAGTCGCAATGAAGCCCGCTACCACAACACAACCCACACCCACCATTTCTCTGCTCACTACGTCCCCTTCAACGCCGACCGTTCCTCTGCTGCCGCCGTCGACTCCGAGTCCTACTCCCTCTATGAGATCGTCTACCGATCCAACTCCAACGGCCTCCTTGACGTCCAACACGACATGGCCGCCCTCAAGAACTACAACGGCAAGTATTGGCGCGACCTATTCGACTCCCACGTCGGCAAGACCACCTGGCTCTAAGGCTCCAGCGTCTGGAGCAAGAAGGAGTGGGTCATACTCGAGATCGACAGCAACGATATCGTCTCCGCCTTCGAAGGTAACTCCAATCTCTTTTGGGCTGAGCGTATGCCGACTCCAAATCCTTTGATCGAACTCCAGCAAATAATTTAGGGATTTCCATTGGAATTTCATTATCTGGAATTTCCATTGCTTCTTGGTTCAATCTGAGCAAGTCATCATGCTTACACCTCAGACTTGGAAATTTTATTTTATTAAAGTTCAATTAGTTTACAACTTAACTGATACAGAATGCACATAAGGAAAAGAAAATTTTTAATTCAACTTTTAGAAAGAAAACAGAAATCTCAAATACATTTGATTGGGAATTAGCCACACCGATTTATTTGGCCAACTCTTTGAACAATTTTGCAGCAGTTTGATTGGGAAGTGCCTGACTGGGTTATATTTCCTCCATTCATCAACTACCATGGGACTTGTTTGCTGGTAGAATGCAAGACTTCATAATCCTTCCTCCATTCATTGGGTTGCGGCAATGGAGGATTGTGGAGAGAGGGTTGTAGATGAATTTCCGAATTTACCCTCATTTTTAACGGAAAAAGTCACAGACTTGACGGAAGGACTAATGGTGCAACAAAACACCTAGTTGAGTGATCTCTACAACTAATAATTGAGTTCAGTGACCCAAATGCAAAAACGGATATAGTTGAGGGACCATTGCTGCTAAAAACCCAAAACAAATAAAACTGAAACCTGATGCTTCTATCTCTGGTTCCGCTACTGCTGTTCTCTCTCTTCCTTATAAATAGGGAACAGTAACCAAGAAAAAGGGTAACTTCTCTTCCACTATTACTGTTACTTTGTGATAGTCACTACCCCTAGCTGACTCAGGCATCGGAGAGCCTTCGGCCGGCACCACACCGGTGTCCGAAGCTTAACGACTGCTTCTTCTATTTTTGTCTTCTGCAAGCTAGCCTCTTACCGAAGGCCCATGCCCTTATCTTGCTAAAGACAAACCCCTATCTCTAAGTTGACCCTCTCCGAAAAAGAGCATCAACAGTTTGGCGCCGTCTGTGGGAATCCAACACTTAAAACCCATTTTTCTCTACCAGCCCAGCTGGCTCCTTCACCTATCCGGCCCCGTCGCCTCTTTTTCACTCCACACTCAGCCATGCCTACTGAGGGTAGCCGAGATGCCCAGCGCAGTACCCCCCAGGAGGGTACCTCCCAGAGGGGACCGTCGACGGAGGTCAATCTCCAGGCCGAGGTGGAGCTCCTCCGCGCCAGTGTCGTCAAGATGTCCGAGAGGTGTGACCATCTTCACTCCAAGAATGTTGAGCTGGAGCACGACTACCGCATCCTGAAGCGTAACTGGGAAAGGAACCAAGCCCAGGGCTCCCAACACAACCTTACCCCCGGAACCTGAACACACACAGCCAAACCAGCCGGAGCATTCCCACCATAGTCCCCCCAATCCAGCCTAGGCCCAGCAAGGGTAAGGACCCCCTCCATCCGGAGACGACCAAGTCACGGCTTCTCCGTATCTCCCCGCCGAGGAACCGGCCTCATGAACCAACGAAGGTCTACAGGGATTGCAGGGACCGTATCCTGGACCGTCAGACGGGACCCCTTCTTATCCCCGTTAATCTCCAAGACCCAAAGGTGACACACCTGGGCCCCCCGCCAAAACCAACCCATGTGCCTGCGGGAGAGGGTATGGGGGACTCGGATGACTGGGGGCATGATTACTCAGCGGAGCATGATTACTCGGAGGACTGGGGGCATGATCACACCGAGGAGTTCGGTGGACCTAATCCTTATCTAGCTCCTGGCCATACACATACCAGACCTCCAACACCCGAGACTCTCCCTCATGCCGACCCGGCAATGAGACTTCTCTTCGAGAAGGTCCGGCGCCTGGAGAATGAGCAGCAGCGCAACCACCAACCCCTCTGGGCAAAGCCGCGACCTGGTCCCTTTACCGAGTGCATCCTTAATTACCACCAAGAGAAGGAAATCCAGCCCCTTCGCATCGCCTTCTACACTGGCACGGAGGATCCCCTCACCCATATACATTCTTTCCAGTCTGCTATGGGATGCAAAGGCTTAACAGACGAGGGCATGTGCCTCCTCTTCCCATCTACCCTCAGCGGGGCGGCCCTGAATTGGTTCTACAGGCTGAGCCCCCGCACCATCAATACGTTTGACAGTTTGAAGCAGGCCTTCCTGGACCATTTCATGATCCAGACTGATCGCCTCTACTCTGCGGACGACCTGTACATGCTTAGGCAGGGCGAGGATGAGCCCCTTCGGGAGTATGCAGCCAGGTTCAGCCACGAGTACTCCCGCTGCCCAGAGACCGATGATCGTGCCGCCTTCGGTGCTTTCAAGAGTGGCCTCCGAGAGTTTAACTTTTGGTACCTTGTGCACAGCAACCCTTGGAACACATATACCGAATTAATGAAGCAGGCAGCGGTGCACGCCAAGGCTGAGTATTTCAACACCAAGCGTAGCCCAGCCACCCCGGCACATCATCCTTTCGCTGATCCCCAACCTGCTTCAGCACCCACCTTAGCCCCGCCTCAACATTCTACTCCCGCCCCAAGTACCCAGGGTACCCAGCACCCCAAACGGAAGGATAACTACCAGCACACCTTCAACAATAACAAACGGGGCAGACATAACCACCACCACCAGTCCAGCGGGGTCAACCCGCATGGGGCAGGCGATCGGGCTCCACTTCCCTTCTCACCCAAGCCCAAGTTCGAGGTTTTCACCACCCTGAACACCACCTACGAAAATGTCCTGGTGCACGAGGCACCTATAATACCCAAGCCTCCCCCCCCGGAGACCTGGTAGCAAGCCCATGCCCAACACGGGTGTCTTCTGTCGCTTTCATCAGTTCGGTGGACACGACACCGAATCTTGTGTTGCCTTGCGCAACATCATCGAAGGACTTATTCGCGATGGGAAACTGGATAACTATGTGAACAATCTCCCACCCCCACCTAACCCTCACCAACGTCAGATCAACATGATCTCAACTATCAGTGGTGGTCCTACCCTGGCTGGAACCTCCAACAACTCCATCAAACATTATGTCCTCTCCACCTATGCGCACCAGGTCTTCAGCGCTGAGTAGGGACGCTTGCCGAAGACCCAGAAATCAGGCTGGGGTCCCATTACCTTCTGTGAGGTGGTCCAGCCCATTGGAAGCATTCATCTCCCAATCTCTATTGGATCGGCACCCCAGCGGAGGACAATCACTACTCCCTTCCTCATTATCGACTGCCCCACAGCCTACAACGTCATCCTCGGCCGCCCCGCCATGGCCCAAATGAAGGTCTTCATCTCCACCCATATGCTGCTGCTCAAGTTTCCTACACCTCATGGCACAGGCACGGTGCGCGGAGACCAACTTGGCGCCCGAAGCTGCTACGCTTCGGCAGTAAGGTCCACCAACCGCCAACATCGGGGCGAGGCCCTCGCAGTAACCCAGGCTCCAGCACCGGTTCAAGCTGGCACCGAGCGTCTAGAGGACCCTAGGGAGGAATCTGTTACCCCACAGGCCGAACCTGTTGACAGGACCCGCCCCGAATTTCCCGAAACCCGAGGCGAACCCTGCGGAGACCCCGGCATCACCCCCATGCCGGGTTCACTCCTTAAATCTATGTCCTCTTTTACCAGAGAGGATTAAGGGCACGAGACTTCCTACCGAAATTTCGGCAAAGTCTCCCCTGTAAATTGAACATTCCCCAAAACTTCTACCTGCAAAAAACTCATTTTATAACCCAACCAGCAGCACGCACAATATACTATCACATTTAAATTCACCAATTTATATCCTAAACCCACAATATCCATTTAACTCAACAACGCTCAAGACCTGTCACTAAGGTCATCCTAACCCTCAAGGAAAGGTAAGACTATCTCGGGAGTCTCACGGTCAACCTAGGGTCAAACGGGCCTGCGGGGCCCACAACCTCCAAACTCCAATCCGAAAGTTCCTATAGGTTCTATAGGCTCTAGGACACATGTCCTGCAAGTTTGGTCCAGATCGGACGGTCGGATTGCTCACGATCACACAATCGGACAGTTACTAAAACCCTAACCCCAGGGTTGGCATTTCTGGAGTATCCGGGACTCCGTTTTACGATCCGTCGAATCCTACACGATCCTGGTAATACCTAGATCAACATATTATAATATCAGGACCATCCAACGGTCCAAACCCAGCGAACCCGGAAAATACGCGATATGCGATATCCGTTCGGGACTCTAACGATATCCAAATTGAGATCCGAGCACACCTGCGCGCTCGTGACATCGAGAGGATCACAATGGGACAAAAATGCCCCTCAGCTACAGTGCCCACGCGCCGCCACACGCGCCGGCAGCGCGTGGGTGTCCAAAGCGATACCCATCGCCGGAAAACTTCCAAATCGTGAGCCCAGACTCCTACCCTAGGTAATACACCTAATTTGGAGTCACTTTTGTTCTTGGACGTACCCCAAAAACTGACCGGAAGTGGCCGGAATCTCATCCCGAAATCCGGCCGAACCCTAACTCGAAAATCAGATAATCTAGGCTCAAAATCGATACAATCCTACCCAACCATCAGCTAGATCATGCAGAAGGGATGAATTTCCATACCTTGATCGCCAAAAATGGCGGCCGGACGACGGAGAACGAAGCCGGCGAATTTTCTGTCAAAACCGGAGCTTTTCTCCTCGTTTTCCGGCGAAATCACGGTGGCTGGCGGCAGGACCTGGCCGGGGTAAGAAGAGGACGGCGGCCCGGTCATTTTGGTACCGGCCCCGTCGACTTTGGTGGCCGGACGAGAGCACGGCCGGCCAAAACGTGGCCGGCCACAGTGGCTGTCGCGAAAACCAGAGGGAGAGACGCGCGCGGGAGAGAGAGAGTGTCAGAGAGACGGGGGCAATTCCGTCTTTTAACCAAAAATCCCACTTCAAAATATTTACGATTATGCCACTGAGCTTCATTTGATCATATCTCTCTCGTTACAACTCCGATTCGAGCCCACTACATGTCTACGAACTCATCTCGCCGTGCTCTACGCAACGGTACATCCGGAATTCCCAAATTCCTTCCGGGCAAGAAAATGACTAAAATACCCCTATCCCACGGGTAATTTCTCAATTCCACTTAAATAAATTAAAACATGGGATAAATTGGGGTCGGGGTGTTACACCTGTGGAAGATCTTGAGCTGGTTACTCTTGATGAAAACATCCCGGACCGGCAGGTCAGGATCGGCACCTCTCTCTCACAGGAGCTTCGTTCTGATCTTGTCCCCTTCCTTCGCCTTAATTCTGAGGTCTTCGCCTGGTCGTACAATGACATGCCTGGCATATCACCTGAGATCATATCCCACCGGCTCAGCATTAATCCTGCTGTTCGACCCGTTCGGCAGAAGCGTCGTGCTTATGACCCAGAGCGATACGAGGCCATGAAGGCAAAGGTGGACAAGCTAACTAGCATTGGATTTATCAAAGAGGTGGACTATCCCACCTGGCTGGCCAATGTGGTGATGGCCCGAAGGATAGCTTCCCCCTACCCCGCATCGACCAGTTAGTTGATGCCACAGCTGGCCACGCCCTTCTCAGCTTCATGGATGCTTACTCGGGGTACAACCAGATTTTCATGCATCCTGAGGACCAAGCCCATACCTCCTTCATCACGGATCGTGGCCTTTACTGCTATAAGGTCATGCCTTTCGGCCTCAAGAATGCCGGGGCCACATATCAGCGTCTGGTGAACGGCATCTTCGCTCCCCTGATTGGCAACACCATGGAGGTTTATGTCGATGACATGCTCGTCAAGAGTCGCACTACTGACCAGCACATCCCCAACCTCTCAGCCATGTTCACCATTCTGAAGCAGTATAAGATGAGGCTCAACCCCACCAAGTGTGCATTTGGGGTGGCTTCAGGCAAATTCCTTGGCTTCATGATCAGCCAGAGGGGTATTGAGGCCAATCCAGAGAAAATCAAGGCCATATTAGACATGGCAATACCCAAGACGATCAAAGACATCCAGAGCCTTACCGGGCGAGTCGCAGCCTTGACCAGATTCATCTCCAAGGCCACTGATCGCTGCGCCCCCTTCTTCAAGGCACTTAAGGGTAGCAAGCGGAGTATTACCTGGACTGCTGAGTGCGACAAAGCTTTCAACGAGCTGAAGGCGTATATGAGCCGGGCCCCCTTATTGTCAACACCTGAGCCTGGAGACACCCTTATGATCTATCTCTCCGTCTAAGAACAGTGCTGAGCACCCAGTGCATTACGTCAGCAAAGCGTTACAGGACGCCGAGGTTCGGTACCCAGACATCGAGAAATTGGCATTCGCCCTGGTGGTTTCGGCTCGGCGCCTCAGACCGTACTTTCAAGCTCACACCATCCATGTCCTGACCAACCAACCACTTAGGCAGGTGTTACAGAAGCCGGAGACTTCTGGGAGGCTAGTCAAGTAGGCCATTGAGCTTGGCGAATTTGATATCCACTACAAACCCCGCCCAGCCACGAAGGGCCAGGCCGTGGCTAACTTTATATCTGAATTCACTGAACCCCATGCCGTGGCCAGTCCACAGATCACGATGGAGCCCATTCCCACCCAGAGCCAGGTCCACGTCACCAGCAACGGCAACCTAGACTTAACACAGCCCTTATGGACTTTGTATGTGGATGGCTCTTCCAACGCCCAGGGATGCGGAGCTGGCCTTGTCCTCATCTCTCCAGACAAGGCTGTCCTGGAGTACGCCCTTCGCTTCCAATTCCACGCCTCCAACAACGAGGCCGAATACGAAGCACTCTTAGCTGGCCTCCGGTTAGCCAAGGAGATGGGCGCTAGGCAAATTCAGATTTTCAGCGACTCACAGCTCGTTGTGCACCAAGTCAACCAGGACTTCACTGCCAAGGACGTGTCCATGACAGCCTACCTCCAACATACCCGCCATTTGCTTGCAACCTTCAACGCTTACGTCATCAACCAGGTACCACGCTCGGAGAATAGCCATGCCGATGCCCTAGCTAGACTAGCCTTAGCCATAGAGCAGGGCCTTGGCCGCAATATCCATATGGAAATCTTGGATCAGCCAAGCACGCAGGCACCACTTATCTGCGCCATCAATCACAGCCCAACATGGATGGACCCCATCCTCCAATTTTTGCAGAACCAGACTCTACCCGCTGACCCTGCTGAGGCGCGGCGTGTTCGCTATCGCTCCGCCCGATACCTGATCATTAATGGCGCCCTATACAAGCGCGGATTCAGCTTACCTTACCTTCGGTGCCTGACCCCAGAGGAAGGCCACTATGTCCTCCGGGAAATCCACGAAGGCATCTGTGGTAGTCATTCAGGCGCCCGCTCACTTGCGCATAAGGCCATTAGGCAAGGATACTTCTGGCCCTCACTTCACACTGATGCCCAAGCCTTCACCCAGAAGTGCGACAAGTGTCAGCGGTTTGCCAATATCCCTCAACTCCCAGCTGAACCTTTAACAGCCATGGTCAGTCCTTGGCCATTCGCCAATGGGGACTTGACCTCATCGGACCTATGCCCGAGGGCAAAGGCCAGGTTAACTACGCAGTCGTGGCCGTCGACTACTTCACTAAATGGGCTGAGGCTGAGGCCCTGGCCACCATCACTGCGGCTCGCATTGAGACGTTCGTTTGGCAAAATATCGTGTGCCGCTTCGGCATCCCCAACGCCATCGTCACGGACAACGGCCGGCAATTTGACAACGCAAAATTTAGGCAGTTTTGTTCCAACCTCAAAATAAAACTTTGCTTCGCTTCTCCAGCCCATCCTCAGTCCAATGGCCAGGTCGAAACCGTGAACAAAATTATCAAGAAGACCCTGAAGACCAAGCTTGACAAAGCCAAGGGTTGCTGGCCAGAGCTACTCCCAGAGGTTCTTTGGGCTTACCGCACCACCTTTCGTACCTCAACGGGAGAAACACCGTTTTCCCTTTCCTTTGGTACCGAAGCAGTGGCACCAGTGGAGATTGGCCAGCCAACATACCGAACCTCCACTTACGAGGCCGAGGCTAATAACGAGCAGCTGGCCCTCAACCTCGACTTCATCGACGAGCTTCGTGACCAGTCCAACATGCGCAACGTCGCATACAAGCAGCGTATTGCCAAGTACTACAACTCCAGAGTTAAACCTCGAGCTTTCACAACTGGGGACTGGGTCATGCGCAAGGTTTCATTAGCCACTAAGAATCCTAATGAGGGTACCCTGGGCCCTACGTGGGAAGGTCCATATGAGATCACCAAGGTTTGCCGCCCCGGGACTTATCAGCTTCGGGACCACAAGGGCAAAACGTTGCCTCACCCTTGGAACGCTGACCATCTCAAGTGCTACTACAAGTAAACATACCTAGACCCTAGGACATTGTGTTTTTTTACACTTCAGTCTTGAGCCTCGACTCAAACCCACCATTGTACTTTTTGCCCTTCGGCACCCATCTAATAGAAGCACCCAATTGGGCCCCATTTCTACTTCAGAACTTGGCAGAATGCTTAAGGTAAAAGGGTACCAAGCTATCATAAAAATCAAAGTAACCCTGCCTTAGGGCAGGGAAATATCCATACATGTCAAAAGACTACGTCTGAAATAACTGGGTACATCATAGCAAAAATACAAACAAGCCCTCAGGCATCAGCATGGTCGTCCGCCTCCTCTTCGGCAGCTGTGTCAGGATCCACGGTCGACTCCCCTCCGCTAGCATCGGCACCTCCCCGCGTCTCAGCCTCCGAAGGACTCGTGGCCTCGGCAGACGGTGTGGCCACAAACAGTGACTCCCGACCGGATGGAATGGGAGGGGGAACACCACTAGTGTCGAAGTTTATATCCAACCTTGGATTAAACCTCGCAACTAGTTTCTCCCACCCATACTGCTCCTCGACCATCGTGTCCAGCACAAGGCTCTTGAACCTGTCTGAGCCCTGATACTCCTCCACAGCCTCGGCACGAGCCATGCTCAGCTCCTTGGTCCTCCTCCTCTCAGACTCGAGCCTAGCCTCCTCCACCGCCTCCAGCCGCCGGGTCGTCTCCTTCAGCTCCCGCTCCAACCTCCCCACCTTCAGCTGTAGCACATTCCTCTCTCGGATGGCAGCCTGAGCCTCGGCGGTAGCAGCCTTGGCTGTCTCGGAATGGCGTCTAGCCAAGTCCACCTCTCTCTCTGCCCTGGCTAGGGTAAGGTACATATCCCCAAAAGCCTGCAAGAAAGGTATGTTCATAAGCAGATCATAATTGCACTATTAAAAAGTCAAAGGCACAGGACTACTTACATTGGCGGTAGAGAGCACCGTCTTCTGAACCCGATCGGAGAAGTCTGTGGCCTTGGTCGAGCGAGCTCCCCCGCATCAATCTTTACCCCAGTCAGGAAGGCGTTGACAAGAGGCACTTCCTGGCGATGCATGGCCAGGGTTACCTCCTTCGCCTCCCGTCGAACCGAGGCAAAGTCTATATCCTCGGTACCTGCAGGGAATAGCTCCTCCATCTCGAGCGGCAGCCTGGGTGGGGGATCTAGGTCAAACGGCGGCAGCACTGTCCCACCCATGACGTCATGGATCGAAGACTCAAGTCCCCTCCGCTTCTTCTCCAGCTCCGCCAACTGCTCATCCTCCTCCGTCCGAGGCCGCTTCCCAGCAGCCCGGGCTGCTGTCCCCTCGGCAGTACTGGGCGCCCCCCTTTGCCTGCTTCTTGGCCCTATTGGCCCTATCCTTCTCTCTTCTCTCTTGCAACTTTCGTTGCCTCTCCTCCGGATCCACCACTACCTTCGGTGACGTCTCAACCACGGTCACCACCTTCTTCGGTACCTCAGCCACTGAAAAACAACACCAAAGCAAAGGTGAGAAGATATACAACAACATACATAAAAAAAGGAGGGAGTGGGCCAATACTTACTTCCTTGAAGCAACCCCGACTGTAGAAGAAGGGCTGGGGTCACAATATTCTTCAGCTCACGCGCCTCCTGGGTCACCTGTCTCCTCACCAGCTCTATCTCTTCCTCTTCCTCCCTAGACACTGGCCTACACTTCACAGAACCTGCACATGGACAAAGGCGTTAGTTCTCAAAAGCTTCAGACAACAATACATATTCATACCAACACATTCAAACACAAAGACAGGAGTGATAACCAAAGACCTATAGATTGAAAATGGGTAGGCACATGTTTGCTGACAGTCGTCCCAGGCCAACACTCCCAATCACCAAAGGCAAAGAACCATCGATTTCGCCACGTCTTCTGCGACGATGGTGGTTGCCCTATAAAGTATCCTCTTTCCTTCGCCTTTCGGCAGTTGACCTGCACCCAGCCAAAGTTGCCTTGTTGCCTGGACACTGAGTACAGATGCATGAACTGCTCAAAGGTGGGCTCCCCTCGTTTCGCCAACCACCATGCTATGTACACCCCGTGCAGTATACACCAGAAGTTGGGATTATACTGCCCAGGGGCATAGCCCAATCTGGAAAGCATCATTTGCACCCAAGGATGCAATGGTAACCTCAACCCATGTTTGTACATAGCTGAGAACACCATAACGCAACCCTCGGGAGGGTATCTAGCCGCTTCAGTAGGTATGGGCAACCTCAGCCCCACACAATCAGGTATCGCATAGTCTGCCTTCAGTGACTCTAGATCATACAAACTCATCATATTTTTCTTCGGTAGTGGAACCCCTATTGGAATACCCACATCAGAGGATGCTACTACCACCGTACCACACCCCGATGGCCCAGCCCGCCCACTTCCACTAGCCTCTGGTGCCTGGGTTCTCCCCAACACCCGGTTTGCACAAGCTTCTAGGGCCACATAGTTCCTTTGCATCTCCCTATAAGCATGGGGACTTGGGGAGCTTTGACTTTCTCTTTCAGAATTATCAGACATCTACAAACACAAAAAGGGAAACTAAGGGGCATGCGAAGATTGAAAACAAGAGCCTAGGCATGTTCTTAATATGTTCATGGACGTTCATCTACGTTCATACCACATTCATGCAAAACTCAAACAAAAGAGGCATTTCAATCCAGAAAGGGACAATGAGCACAAGGCATACCTTGTTATCTCCACCGTCCACGGTTGCCGGAAATCGCCTGGCTCACAAAGGTACCTTCTCAAGCCTCGTCGGAAATCGCTCCGCCGTCCTTGAAATCTCTCGGAAATCGCCCTTGCTCGTCTACTAAAATCTTTCGAAAAATCAAAGTGCTCACTCCTTCAGCCCTCCACAATCTTTTAAAGGCATACGAAGGACCCCTCGATTCTCATTCCAAGCAATAACTCATCATACCGTTGGGACGCCTCGATTCCCACGAACAGACGTTTCTATACCACTGCCACATGGCACTCATGACGTCACACCTTCCCTTCGGAAGGCTCCCTTCCGAAGCTTGGAAGGACCACTCGCGACACGCGATGACGTCACACCTTCCCCTCGGAAGGCTCCCTTCCGAAGCTTGGAAGGATCCCTTGCGATGACGTCACACCTTCCCTTCGGAAGGCTCCATTCCGAAGCTTGGAAGGACCCTTCGCGACGTCACACCTTCCCTTCGGAAGGCTCCCTTCCGAAGCTTGGAAGGATCCCTTGTGATGACGTCACACCTTCCCTTCGGAAGGCTCCCTTTCGAAGCTTGGGAGGATCACTTGCAGTGACGTCACACCTTCCCTTCGGAAGGCATGATGACGTCACACCTCCCCTTCGGAAGGCTCCCTTCCGAAGCTTGGAAGGAGACCTCGTACTGACGTCACACCTTCCCTTTGGAAGGCATGATGACGTCACACCTTCCCTTCGGAAGGCTCCCTTCCGAAGCTTGGAAGGAGACCTCGTGCTGACGTCACACCTTCCCTTCGGAAGGCATGATGACGTCACACCTTCCCTGCACACCTTCCCTTCGGAAGGCTCCCTTCTGAAGCTTGGAAAGAGACCTCGTGCTGACGTCACACCTTCCCTTCGGAAGGCTCCCTTCTGAAGCTTGGAAGGAGACCTCGTGCTGACGTCACACCTTCCCTTCGGAAGGCATGATGACGTCACACCTTCCCTTCGGAAGGCTACCTTCCGAAGCTTGGGAGGATCACTTGCGGTGACGTCACACCTTCCCTTCGGAAGGCATGATGACGTCACACCAGCCTTTCGAAGCTTGGAAGGAGACCTGGCGATGACGTCACACCTTCCCTTCGGAAGGTACCCGTGACGTCATACCTTACCTTCGGCAGGCTATCTTCGGAAGGCCACCTTCTGCACCCCCAAAATCTAGTTTTCAAACTTGGGGGACTAGGGGACTACCTTCAGCACCCGCCACGCTGACACGCTTGGTTGAATTACACAACCTCTTCACAAGTTCCCAAACCAGAAGCCACTTCTTGATTGACAACTTGGGGGACTACTGTTTACACCATAATTAACCAAGCGTGATTGAACACCAAGGTAGACATATCTTCCTCCCTGCCACAGGGAGATGCTCTTCCGAAGGGACAACCACCTGCCGAAGCTCCGAACTGCCAAACCTAAAACACAGGAGACACGTGTCATCATCACAGCAACTTGCACAAAGTCCCACATCGGAACTTTGTGCAAACCTCCTACTTTTACTTCCTTATAAATAGGGAACAGTAACCAAGAAAAAGGGTAACTTCTCTTCCACTATTACTGTTACTTTGCGATAGTCACTACCCCTAGCTGACTCAGGCATCGGAGAGCCTTCGGCCGGCACCACACCGGTGTCCGAAGCTTAACGACTGCTTCTTCTATTTTTGTCTTCTGCAGGCTAGCCTCTTACCGAAGGCCCAGGCCCTTATCTTGCTAAAGACAAACCCCTATCTCTAAGTTGACCCTCTCCAAAAAAGAGCATCAACAGAGTTTCTTGGTTCAAACATGGCCCTCCCACCGACAGTTAGAGTTAGAATCAAATATGGGTCCATTCCATGAAATCAATACTAGCTTTCAATCATCTATTGGTAATTTTAATAATCAATTTTCTAACTTTACTAGCAAATTACATCTTGGAATTGAATTTGAGAATTGAGAAATTAATGAGTTATGTGTTGTTATTGATTGTGGTGTGTAAATCAGGGATTGGATCTTGCTCCCTCTGATAAATGAAATCATGAAATTAGAAGCTGGTTTCGATGAAGTTGATTGGCTTTGGATTCCCAGACATCTGAATCACGGTGCTCGTGTAGTGGCAAGGATTGATTTGAGGATGGTGGAGTTGCAAAAGCTGAGCTGGGTTGGCGAACATGTTGTTGGGCTTGTGTTTTCTGCTTTAGTTTGATTCCTTCCTGGTGTTTATTTTTTCTAATTTTTCTTTTCCTTCTACACTCGTTGTTTTTCTCGCTCCGCAATTTTTAGGCTTTCTTGATTTCAACCAAAAATAAAAGGTGATATTTAGAGATGCGATGAAATGCAAAGATGGAGAAAGCTTCAAAGTATTTTGATATGTGATTTTGGAATGCAATTACCAACTTATCAGGCGGTTTTGTAATTTGTGTACATAAATTGTCATCCTATTGGTAGTCTTTTGCATTTTGAGAATGAAAACGCTATAGGTACTTTGACATTTGATTTTTGAATCCAATTACCAACTTCTTAGGCGGCTTTTGCAATTATGTTTGGAAATTGTCATGTTATTGACAACTTTTTGCATTTTAAGTAACTACTTCTAGAGTATTACCAATATTCAAGACGATTTGAGTAATTGACAAACAGGGAGCACATAATTGACAACCAGAGCATCCAATTTCATACCACTATTCAATTGCATTTTAAGTACAATCTTATAACTTATAGGTTTAGGGATCATGTTTACGACATTATGGTATTGTTATATCCAAAACATTATAACATCGGTCTTGACTCTTGTAAACTTTTGTGTTTACTATAATAAGGGCACTTTTTACATCACAAAGGTCCAACCTTATTAATTCTTTGTAATGTGGATTCATATCCTTGTAAAATAAGGATTTACAATATTATGGAAGAAGGTAGCTTAGGGCCCCCAAATTGGGAAGGCCCCAATTTTTATAAACCTCTATATATGAAAAAAAAAATTAGGGGTCTTTCGAAATATATAGGTCCAATTTTGAGTTTGCACTATGAATGGAGTTCACCTCTCTTTTGACGTAGAATTGGGTCTAGCAACTCAATAGGCCAGCCAAGTATGCAAAGCCTTGGCCACTGTTTTTAAAAACATTTACACATATTGCCATTGTACAGTCAATCCTCTAAATATTATTAATTACTCCAATTAAGAAATTAATATCTCATTTCTATAATTAGTCTCAATTTATCAAACGCTTTCATCCAGTAAATACCTTATGGTGAGGTATATATGTCTTTGGGTGGTTTGATTTACCTGCTTTGCAAGTTTGTGTATACCTCCTTCATAGGTACTTTCATATCATATATCTCCGCCATAAGTAATTAACATTCATATGTATACCTCCTCCATAGATAAATAGCATTCATATGTATACGTCCACAGGTAATTTACCTATCCATACCTAATTAACATTCATGTATATTCCTAGTCCATAGATAATTATACCTCCTCCATAGCATTGTAATAGAAAAAAAATGAAGAACAAAGATTATAGGAAATTTATTTATTTATTGTTTGTATCAGCGCATGTTTATGGGATTTTCAAAATTCAAATGGATAGACAAGAAAATATTTTATAAATTCAAATCATAATTAACTAAAAGGTCAAATATAGTAATTATTGGCCTAAATTAATTTTTACCTGTTTATGAATTGTAAAAAGAATCAATAATTGTATTAATTAGCTAATTATTATGATAAAAATCAGTCTTTCCCAATTTAAATCATAAGGGCATAATTGGAACATGAAAATAAATTTAACGAGAAAAAATATATATAATTACATCATAAAATTAGAAAAGGAATGTAATCCTATGTAGCATTGAAGTCAAAGGACTTGAATTACTAATAATATGTGTGCACCCAAATTCTATCATAAGAATTGGATTTATACCAAATTATTTTAAAAAATTATACTATATTGATATTATATTAAGCCCAAATATTGTTTTAAAAAAAAATCCCACTTATTTACTCTAAAACTAAAAAGAGGAAACTCAATAAAGGATAATTATTATTTTTTTTTTAAAGTAACCAATTTAATAACTTAACCTATAGTTGAACAGGTTAACCTATAAGCATTAGCATACCTTACCCAAAAAACAAAAAAAAAAAAAAAAAAAAAAAAAAAAACAAATAGCAGAATATTATGATCTGCTCAACTTTAGCCGAACATAATGTTCAAATCCAAGAGGTGAAAATTACTTTAGGGTTTAGAGAAGTTGTTAGTATGAAAATTATATTGTCATTTCCTAAACTTTAGCATAAGTTGAAAATTAGTTTATGAGGAATTGTTACTGGACGTTTTGGTATAACTCTCTCTACCCTATACTTCTGAGGCATGACCTGACCATATGAGAAACTTGACAACAGGTAAATCATGATATAATCATGCATTCATTATAGGATTCCTAATTGGAATTATTTTCACTCAAGTATTTTTATGCTAATTCTATTTTTAATAGGATTATATTTTATCTCTTGAGATTACTTTCCTAGTTGGACTCTATTTTGATTTAGATCAAAATATTATGTTTTCATTATCTTGGACTTGGAAAGGATGTTTTAATTAATATCCTATTTGGTTTCGTGTTTACATCTTGATATATATTGTTTCATTGGATAAACAATTGATGGTAGTGCAATGGAGAATATGACGAAATCATATAGGATTCTAAGACTATCAGATTGAATGCATGGCAAGATATTGAGTTGTGATTGTGGGCCTTCACGTGGATTGTGGAGAATAAGTTTTGTATAAATCTTTGTGTGCATCTCATTAGTTTGTGACAGTTTTCATATAGTTGGTTTGATCATCTAAAATTCCAAGAAAGCTGCTGTGCATATATTTGAGATAAATCATCAAGTCTTCCATGTTTACTTGGTGATTTATCAAACACTTTAATCATTCATATTGCATTCATTTGCATTGATCGGTGACTCATACGGTTGGGGGCACCAAGACCGTGGTGGCGGTTTTCCTCCGACGAGCTTGAAGCAATCGTGACCAGTATTGCGTTCAATATAAGGAGTGTCGAAGATAATCTCGTGACAAAAGTTGAGTTACGAAGAAGCATTTTTAGTCATCCTACATGTATTTTCAATTGGCATCAGAGCGGGCTGTTGGACATACTCAACAAGATCTAACATACCTTAGGATGGATCGTGCCTCGGGCTCAATTGTACATCCACCATATTTCGATGGCAACAACTATGGCGCTTGGAAGGCCAAAATGAAGTCGTTTCTTTGGTCCTTGGATGAACGTGTATGGAGTACAATGGTTCATGGATTTCCTAAACCCACAAAGAAGATTGGAAAAGGGGATGAAGAAACCACAGTCCTCAAAACTAGAGAGGAATGAACCACTGCAGAAGTCACACAGAGCACTAATAATCAAAAGGGGTTATATGCTTTATTTACTGCTGTCTCTTCCGATCAATTTGAATATATATCTGGTTGTGATACTTCTAAGGAAGCTTGGAATATTTTGCAGGTTACTCATGAAGGAACAAATACTGTCAAGGGAGCCAAGCTTCAAATGCACACTTTACAGTTTGAGACACTCATGATGGATGAGAATGAAACTTTTTCTGAATTTTATGCTAAACTTTGTGTAATTGTGAATGCTTGTTCAGGTTTAGGTGAAAAAATTCCAGAAGATAGAGTTGTGAAAAAGATTTTAAGATCCTTGCCTCAACGGTTTCAACCAAAGATCACGGCTATTGAAGAGATACGTGACTTGAACACCTTGAAAGTTCAAGAACTCATAGGGTCCATACAAACCTATGAGATGAAACATCTATCTCCTAAAAAGAGCAAAAATGTTGCGTTCAAGGTTGTGAATGAAGAAGATGACGGGCATTCAAATGAAGATTGCAGTGATGAGGAATTAATGATTCTCACAAGACGATTCATGAACTTTCTCAAGAATCAGGATCCAAGGAATCGAGATTCAAAAGGTACAAATTCTAAAAATAGGTTTGTTAACTATACTGATGGTGGGTCTAAATTTAGCAGGTTAAATTAACGAAAGAATCCAAGAGAAAAGGTCCAATGTTTCGAATGTGAAGGTTATGGACACATATCTTCTGAATGTGCCAACACCTTAAAAAAACAAAAGGATGGCAAGAATAAGGCAATGCATACTACTTGGAGTGATAGTGAATCGGAATGCGAGAATGATGAAAAGACGGTTGCACTCATAACCACAGTTAGCTTAGATGAATCACATGAGGATGATGATTGTAAAGGTATAAATATTGAGTTTATCATGAACAAATATGATGATTTGTTGGCTGCATCTCAGAAGCTCAGTAAACAAAATAGTGAGCTCGTCAAAGAAGTTGCTGTGCTGAAGCTGGAAAATTGCAGGATTGCAAATGAGTTTCAATCCCCTGATGCAGATTCCAAAAAGGTAAGTGTGAGTATGAACGAAAAATTGATGTTTTTGCAGAAAAAATTGACTGATCAGAATAAATTAATTGCTTCTCTAACTTCTGACAATAAAGCCCTCGAACTTGAACTTAAAAATTCAAAGGAAAGGATTGTTTCTTTAAATATTGGTGCATAAAAAATTGACAAGATGATTAGCATGAGACGAAGAGATGGTGACAAACGAGGCTTGGGATTTGAACCAAGTAATAAGACTTCCGCTGTGTCTAAAACAAAGTTTGTCAAATCCACTTCACCTATTGAACCTTCTGCCGCTCATGAAGTCAAGAAATTTATTCCAATTTGTCACTTTTGTGGAACTCGTGGCCACATAAGACCGAGATGCTTAGTCATTCAAATTCTCATGGCACGGGTGGAAAAGTAAGTATCCAACATAAGATTTCAAATCTTATGAAAGAGGTAAACTGCTTATCCAAACTATCTTCTTTTCATTGTTTGCCGTCAACTAAGACAAAGTTAGTTTGGAGGAAAAAGGAAAATCATAATTGTATGTCTTCCTCCACTAATGTTGTGCATGAACCCGTTGCTTTAGAAAGTTTGGACCTTAAATGTATTGCTGCAAAACCCTTGGATAATCTTCTATTTGACACTCTTAGAAAGTCTTTAGGTATATATGCTCTAGATTAATTTGGAGTCTATTGCATGCCAAAGCCTCTTTCATGTTTTATGATGTTTCAATTAATTTCTGTGTTTATAAATCTGTCCAGCTCGTGCAAGGATTGTTAAGGTGTATCAATTCTATAACTGTCTGAACGTATTTGTTGATCTTAGATTGGGCTCTGACACTGCACTATATTAAGAACTCACACTCTCAGCTTCACACGAAGGTTTCCATTGTCTTGGTGCATTATAAACTTCATTAAATGATCTATCCATCTATTTATTTTTATTTTGCACACCACACTCTTTTCCATGAAGTCCTTTGAATATCTCTTCCCATGCACTTGTCTCTCTTTGGATTGCCATAACACTACTGTGCGTAAGTTCTTGATCTGTTTTATAAAAAAAAAGAATAAAAAAAAAGGTGTTGACCACTCATTGCTCAGTAACCGGGCCTCTTGTCTAACCAACGTCGAGGTTCAAGTCAACAGGTTGTGATGGTTTGCTATCCTTGCTTATCTTTGGAGCCTTCATGATTCGAATTAGTATTTCCCCAGGGGTGCTTCATCACCCAGTTGCCTCCAGTCATCTGATGTAAGCACATTGATTGACCATCCGTTACATGGATCATGTCGAAAGCTAGATAAAGTGAGCCACAAAATTCGTATTAAAAAAAAAATACTGATCTTCTTATACTTACTATGCACTTAGTGTTTGTGCAATCCTTGGTGGGATTCGTCTTGTGTGGACATATTTTTGTGCTTAATTGAAAAAGAGTTCATTTAACACATTTGCTCCTTGATGGTAGACTCATTTGATGCCTTTTATCTTTCACCATGACTGTGGTATGCCTCTACTGTTATCTGTGAGTTTGTGAGTCTCGTGTGTTGTCGTGTGTTTGTCCCTGACATGCTTTGCTTCACATGCATTCAAGACAACAAAAGGTTTGTTGCTTCTTTCATTTTTTACCCACAAACTTGGCATGTTTATGAATGGAAAATAATTATATCTTCAAGAGAACTTTGGGTCTGCATCTACAGTATGTTTTATGTCCTGATTGTTTTGAGCTTTCTGTCTTGAGTGTATTGCTTTTGTTTTTGTATGTTTTGGTTCTTAACAACTTCTCATTATTCTTTTTAGTTCTCTATTTTCCTGTCGTTTACCAAAAAAAAACACGAATTTTCTGTTTGTTTTCAAGATAAAGCCTCTTACATGCTTTATTGGTTATTCTCTATGTCTTTATATGTTGGGAATGCAATCTGATTTTTTTATTTTTTTTCCCTCTTATATATGCTCCCTTATGTTCATTCCTTGCCCTTTGGATTTCCTGACAAAAAGGGGGAGAGATTGTGTTGTGGAATTAAGGGGGAGAGATTGTGTTATGGAATTAAGGGGGAGTTGTGTTGTAATTTTGCTTTGAATTACATTTCTTCTCCCACATGTTTCACTGGTTTTGTTGTTTCATAATGTGTAGGGATTTAGAGCTTCGAGTTTAGAGTAGGGTTTTAATTGTTAAATCCCATGCAATTTCTTGTGAGTTGTAATAGGTGTTTTGTCTAGGAAATGCCAAAGGGGGAGATTGTTAGTATGAAAATTATATTGTCATTTCCTAGACTTAAGCATAGGTTGAAAATTAGTTTATGAGGAATTGTTACTGGACATTTTGGCACAACTCTCTCTACCCTATACTTCCGAGGCATGACCTGACCATATGAGAAACTTGACAACAGGTAAATCATGACATAATCATGCATTCATTATAGGATTCCTAATTGGAATTATTTTCACTCAAGTATTTTTATGCTAATTCTATTTTTAATAGGATTATATTTTATCTCTTGAGATTACTTTCCTAGTTGGACTCTATTTTGATTTAGATCAAAATATTATGTTTTCATTATCTTGGACTTGGAAATGATGTTTTAATTAATATCCTATTTGGTTTCGTGTTTACATCTTGATATATATATATATATATATATTGTTTCATTGGATAAACAATTGATTGTAGTGCAATGGAGAATATGACGAAATCATATAGGATTCTAAGACTATCAAATTGAATGCATGGCAAGATATTGAGTTGTGATTGTGGGCCTTCACGTGGATTGTGGAGAATAAGTTTTGTATAAATCTTTGTGTGCATCTCATTAGTTTGTGACAGTTTTCATATAGTTGGTTTGATCATCTAAAATTCCAAGAAAGCTGCTGTGCATATATTTGAGATAAATCATCAAGTGTTCCATGTTATTTGGTGATTTATCAAACACTTTAATCATTCATATTGCATTCATTTGCATTGATCGGTGACTCATACGGTTGAGGGCACCAAGACCGTGGTGGCGGTTTTCCTCCAGCGAGCTTGAAGCAATCGTGACCAGTATTGCGTTCAACATAAGGAGTGTCGAAGATCATCTCATGACAGAAGTTGAGTTACGAAGAAGCATTTTTAGTCATCCTACATGTATTTTCAAATATGTTCTCAGTTTTAGAGGTGATGACACTCGGAAGGGCTTTATAGACCACTTATATGAAACATTGACAGCTCAAGGAATCGTAACTTTCAAAGATGACCCTGAACTTTTGAAGGGAAAAGCTATGTCTCGAGAATTGTTCACTGCAATTGAAGGATCAAGGTTTGCGGACATTGTCCTCTCACAAAATTATGCATCCTCAACAACATGGTGCTTGAATGAACTTCTACACCTTCTTAAATTCATGGGAGCAAGAGAAGCAGTGCTACCAATTTTCTATGATGTTGATCCATCTCATGTCCGAAAACAAACAAGGAGTTCTAATTCGGATGATAAAACGAACGTGCAAGAGTGGAGATCTGCGTTGGCGAAAATGGCAGATTTCTCTAGGTGGAATGCTAAGAACTCGTATACATTAACTTCTATTATTTTCCCGAGGAAAGTTCGTAATTTTTTAGGGTTTGTTTATGTATAGAATGTGCATGATGTTATATATGCATGAGTAGTTAATAGGCGCGTATCTCTTATGAACCCTTAATAGAAATATAATTTATAGGGTAACTAAAAATCCCTATGATTCATCTATGCATATAGGATTATGAAATTAAAAAATGGTTATGAGTAATTCTGTACCAAAAGAAAAGTTCAAGATTAATTAAACTGTATGGCCAAGATTAAATCTGAGGACAATCGTTTAATTAGTTTAAGTCAGATCCTATATTATAAAGACATATCTAAACTTTGAGTCCAAGATTTGTGGCCTATTGTGCGTCTCTCTAACTAGAGAGAAAAAGCCTTGTATAAAAGATCATGTGCCATTCTTTTATGGTGCACAGCTTTGACATATTTGTTTTCAGCATATAGAATTCTAAGAAAAGCTGTTGTGCATATATTTGAGATAAATCATCAAGTGTTCAATGTTTACTTGGTGATTTATCAAACACTTTAATCATTCATATTGCATTCATATGCATGTCGGTGACTCATACGGTTGAGGGCACCAAGACTGTGGTGGCGGTTTTCCTCCGATGAGCTTGAAGCAATCGTGGCCAGTATTGCGTTCAACATAAGGAGTGTCGAAGATCATCCCGTGACAGAAGTTGAGTTATGAAGAAGTCGGTAAACATTATCTAGAATGTGTCTAGGATAAGTGTGTGAGTACTTCTTGTAATCATCGTTCTATAGTGGATTTGTGTTGGACTGAGAAGTCTCGTGGATTTTCTCCAGAGGTGGGGTTTTACCACGTAAAATAATTTTTGCGTGTTCTTTTACTTTAAGCTTTGCACATCCTAGGATTGATAACTCATATCAATCATGCTTTAAAAGTTAATTGTTGTTTATTGCAAAATATTTGAATTAGCCTGTTTAACCTTCTCTAGGCATATATAGACATCCTATAGGTAATTTCAAAATCAATCGATTTATTGTTAGGTGCAGGGGCGGATGATGTACATGAAGGATCCACGGTGATAAGAAGGTTCCTTAATTTGTGACAAAAAGGTTCTTGTCATTCTCAATGATGTGTGGATTCCTCCATAACCCCAAATTCCATAATTTCATCGCTTTCTTAGTCTTCCCCTCTTGTCCATATTTGTAAGCAATGCATCCAATTCTTTTTCACTTTGTCCATTGCGTCAAGCTCTCCTTCACTTTTCGTTGCCTTGGCATAGAGGCTTGGTTTTTTTTTTTTTTTTGCTTTTGGGGATGAGATGCTTCTATATATATAACAAGCAAACTTCGTATGTAATTAAGCTTTGGATCATATGCTTCAAGGAAATTCCGTTTGCTTGGAATTACCTTCTCTTGAAGCAATGCCTGGTTCGTTATCTTTCCCTTGTCTATTTAATTATAGCGTACGAAAACTCATAGTGGCTTTTCCATTTGAGTTCTCTGCTTATGCATTGCTTTCATATTTCTCATAATTCAGTTGTTTGTATTGCCTTCTCCTTGATTGCCTCATCCTCGTGATTTTTCATTCAACGTTACATTTCTCATAACAGTTGGTGGAGAAACTTACACTTACAAGGATATTAGAGGTACGTACATCTTGGAAATTTTCTGTCTTTGCACTATACGGTTGTTGGTTTTCCTCTGATACATTGAAAAAAGCACACACACACAAATTAGATAATTTGATATATGTATATAGATGCAAATAGTATATCGATATTGTGAAATATATATTTTTCATTGTCTTCGTACCTAAGAATTTCATGTGAAAAAACTAAAATAAGGTGTAGTATTAGGGTTCAGTTTTCCAACAATACCCTTGAATTTTTTAGTAAAAATTATTAATACTTTAAACAAATTTTTTCTCTTACAATACCTGGAAGAAAAAAAATAGATTCAATCCGAAGAAACCTTAGCAGCAAAACTCCGATGACCAAAAAACAAACATTGATAAAAGATTCATTTGCCTTGCATCATATAATTTCCATCGATTATTATTATTATTATTTTTGGAGCTATTTAAAAACACTAACAAAGTATACCCTTCACAACCATCAACGCCTAGTCAAAATAATTTCCATCGATTATTTTTCATGACAATTTTTTATAAATATTACAAATAGGAAATTTAGTTCTCTGTGTGAGTTTCCACGGATTGCTTAAGGTGATCCTCAGCTAATTTGAACTGGGTTTCCACTTTGACCACGGCTTTCACTATTGCCCGACGAAAGTCTATATTAACCCTAAAAGATAAACCATATACTAGGCAAAAATAAATAATTTAACAATAAAATTACTAAAATGCGACGTGTGAAGGAATTTAAGGATACACAATTTAATAATTTAATAATAACTGAATCCATGTATAATTAAATAATTTAATGAAGTTTGATAATTAACCCTAGTTAATTAACAACAACCTGATTTTTTTTTTTGGATTGTTCTTCTTTGACTTGAAAATGTTATGTCGTTGTCTTCAAAAAAATAAAAAATAAAAAATAAAAAGATAAATGAATCTTTTATATGATAAATTCATTAATTAATGTGTCACGCTAGACTAGAGTATAAATCTATAGCCAAGTGTGTGATAAATAAAAGATAAATTAAAAGGGCATAAATTATGGATCATAATAAATTTCTCTTATAAAATAACTCCAAAATCTTACAAAAATACCATAAATAAATAAAGATTTATCATTCTCATATAATTCAACCTTAATTGGTTTAGTCATTGACTCTACCACTAATTCAACTAGGAAAAAAATTAAAAGGTGAGGGATGATCAAACCACCGCTCAGAGAATAGATTATGTAATGTGCCAGTTAAGCAACGTTGTTTTACACACACTCAAAAAAAATTCATGAAAAGATACACCAATCAACATCATGTCAAATCATCACTTCTGATGCAGCGAAGCGGCAACAAGTTGTTGTCCAGCATCCCAAACAGTCCCAAAATATAGAGCATAGAAGGATAAAGCTATATAATAGAAGTTGGAACGAAGATAATTGAGTTCTAGAGGTCAAAAATCCCAAAAGCAACTCTATAGACTAAAGTTTGGAATTATATTCATAAAAAATTAAATACAAGAGTCTCTAAATAGGCTATTTACACGAGTAAAGCAGCCTAGCATTCCTATCCATGGTTTATTAAGAAAATCTAATTGACAAAGGAAATTAAACCAAATCCTACTAGGAATAGGAAAATGATTAACAAAGTAACTTATTAATTTGATATAGCTAAAACTTAGCCTTATTGGATGGTGAGCCCACTTAGATTAGGAAAGTCTAAAAGATGCTCTTTCATCAACTCAACTAAGTTGGGAAGAATTTGTCCTCGAATTCCAATCTTTTGGTGAAAAATGTCCAAAGATAACCTCCGCTTAGATAAGTTGTCCACAGAACTTTGGCCGTGACATTGAACCTTCCCATTCCAAATAGATAGATATTTAGAATATTAGATCCTTCCTAGAACAGTACCAGTTATCTTCTGCAACCAATCTCTCAACCCAAAAACATTTCAATCCAAAAATCCAAAGGGTTGAGAAAGTCAACGAAGTTCTTAGCAATCTATAAATTAAAAGAATCAACACCAAGCAAATCAACATACTCAGAAGTATCTCCTTTTAAGGAATTCATCTCACCTCCAACAATTCCTCACGAATTTCTTGAATCAGTTTTCCTTCAAACGTGTGTTGATTGTGTTGCTTCAAAAGTTCAAATCCAACTTCCCCTTTGGTCCCTTGCCTTAAAGATAACACTAAATTCAACTTGTTTAGTCTCACCAAATACCCTGTCAAAAGCTTTCCCAACTCTCAAAGAACTTCTCAATCTTCTTCCAAACAACAGTCAAACATAGGAGGGTTATCTAAATTTAGGAGACAGTCAAACATAGGTCACATCTCCTTGCTCTCAAATTCCAACTAATGGGCTCTCAAATGACCATTAACCTTGGCATCTTTGGGAGCATTGCATAATCCTCCTTGACCCATCTGCAAAGTACACTTTCTCCCATCCTTATATAACGAATAAGTGTTAGCTTTAGTAGAATGCATCATGTCTTTGTCAAACAACCATGGTCTTCCTAATAGGATATGACATGCATCCATGGGACAACATCACACTAATCTTCATCCTTAACAGTATTGAAGTGACTGGTATCTTGTTTCCTTTTCAAAATCATGCAACCTTGTAAGGGTTAGGATGCTTCTCAATTGTAACTTTAGTTTTTTTATTGCCTCCTTCGAGATAACATTTTCACTACTTCCTCCATCAAGAATCACGTTGCACACATTTCTACCACAAAGGCGGTTCAGAATATATATGATGTGGACGCTAAAGACCCTCAATTTTTGGAGTTGTCATCACCCGCCTTACCACCAAAGATTCACTTCCAACCGGCAAAAGATTACTAACTTCCTCTTCATTGCCTTAAACATCATAAGTGGTTTTTAAAAACTGAACTTATCATCTTTAACCTCTGCCAAGTTTACTCTTCTTTGTGGGCAAGTGTAAGATAAATGCCTTGCCTCTCCACAATTGAAATATCAAACTTCTGAAGTACTCTCAGCCTTGAAATTTTTGACACCAGAGTTGTTTTGAGGATAAAATTGTGCTATTTTCTCCCCTTTTTCACTCTTATCAGTACCCACCAACTTCCTACACCTTATTTTGGTACTTGGATTGGTTTTGTGATCACTTTGAACACTATGAAGAGCAGTTGTATTCTTTGCCAACCCATATTATCGCCTACTGCCACAACATGATACCTTTTTTTCTTCCATTAACGCATGTTGTCGAGCATCTTCTAGGTTGAACAAACGGACCACACCCGCCCCCATGTCATCGCTAATGGTCTTATTCAAACCTAAACGATAATGACATGTGTCCTCTTTTGATTACTATCTTTCAAACCAACTCGAATTGAGAGATTACCAAACTTTGATTTACATTCTTCAACGAACGTATCTCGTTGTTTTAAGCTATGAAACCTTTCATATAACTCCATAGTGTAATCAGCCGTTAAAAACTTCTTTCGTAACATTGCTTTCACATGTGTTGATCTTCTACTTCCCTTTTCAAGCATGTTGCTCTACACCTTATGATCTTGTAAATTCTTTATTGTCTTTGAACTTAAACAGTAACCTTGGTCAGACATGGTTGTGGTGAAGGTATAGTAATCTTCTTTTCCTATGCAGTCCTTTAACTCTCTCTAGATGGGGTGAGATATCAATATGAGTGTGTCTTGATTGCTAGGGAAGGGACCTCTCTCTATATATATGCATTGCTTAAGTATTTTGCCCATCAAAGAACACTTAAACAAATCCTGATTGCACTATGATAGAATGTTTTAATCCATGTAGGACTAGGAATCCTCAAAGCCCTAGTTTTCTAATTAAACTGCACTTTAAACTAGAACTGCAGATATGCTCGAGTTATGTTTCTTGATGAATACTAAACTGCAACTCCTTATGTGATTAGAAGACAATTCCAATATGGTTGAAGACAATGTAATGTCTTATAGTCTCCCACTTGGTCAAATAATCACAACAGTTAATTGCATTACACACTTTAAGGCCTTGTGAAACATAACTGAGCAAAATCCCTACTAAGCCACTGTCAATCAAGAACAACAAAGAATTATTGAAACTACTTGAACATCTATTAATTCAAAGTTCCTATAATTACATTTGAGATTCTTCAAAACCACATAAGGCTTTGATCAAGATTAAAACTGTTGAATGTTCATGACTAACCTGTCTGTGCTAATAGATATGTCATGCTCATTCATAGTCCCCTAAATGACTGCCAATGTCTAGTTAAAATTGAACAAATGCCATGAATATACTGTACCATCGCAGCTACATCAATTGCTGGCTTTACTGCCTTATATGTATATTCAAGTATCAAACATAAGCAGTAAAATAACTGAACAAAATTCCACTTTATGAATCCTCAAACTTTTTGAATATCCATCGAAACCTTTACTAGTTAATCAAAATATAAATGATAAAACTCTAGTTAAAACAGAAACACTCCCACTGAAACTCCCACTAATTCAGCCACTCATATTTTCTGTCAATCCCATACTTGAACATGAATATGAAAAACTGCAATTACCAGTCCTTTAGTAAGAGGATCTGCAGTCATATCTGTTGTATTGATGTGTTCCGAACCAGTGTACCCATCTCTTATCTTTTTCTGGAAGCATTTGTCCTTTTGTTCCCCTTTGCAAACAAAATTGCTACACTGTTGTCATTCCATAGTTGTATAGGTCTATGTTAAGACTTAGCTACACTCAATCTAGTGATAAAATTCTTTAACCACATAGCTTGAGAAATAGCCTCATAAGAGGCGAAGAATTCTGCTAACATTGTGGATGCAACTGTGAGAGGCTGCTTGATACTTCTCCATGATACAGCAGCACATGCAAATATGAACACATACCGTGATGTTGATTTGAGATCATCCTTATAACCTACAAAATCAGCATATGCAAAACCTTCTAATTTCAAATTATTGCTTCTTCTTAAAACCAAATTGTAATCTTTGGTTCTCTGTAAATATCTCAACATTTTCTTGCCTGCAATCCTATGATCTTGTCCAGGATTAGATTGAAATCTACCTTGCACTCTAATAGGAAAGGCTATGTCAAGTCTAGTGCAGACTAGTGCATACATAAGACTGCCTACTAAGGAGGCCTAAGGTTTGTCATTCGTCTAAATTTTCCCTTATTCAGTCCTTGCTCAAATTGTCTACTTTTGAAATAGGCATATCAGTTCCACCACATCCTTGCATATTGAATCTCTGCAGTACCTTTTCTATATAATTCTTCTGTGATAATCCAAGAACCCATTTCTCTCGATTCCTGCTAATTTCAATTCCCAAAACATAGGATGCTTCACCAAGATCTGTCATTTCAAAATGTTTAGACAGGAATTCTTTATAGTTATGTAACATTGATAAATCTGTGCATGCCAATAAGATGTCATCCACATACAATACCAATATGATGAAATTCCTCCCACTCTTCTTCATGTAATTGCATTCATCCAATGAATTTTCTGTAAAAACCATATTGATTAACAAATTTGTCAAATTTGATATACCACTATCTAGAACTTGCTTAAGACCATCAATTGATTTACACAGTTTACATACTAGATTTTCTCCCTTCTCTTGAATGAAACCTTCGGGTTGTTTCATATATATTCCCTCTTGTTGATTTCCATTCAAGAATGCAGTCTTTACATCTATTCGATGTAAGTGTAAATCAAAATGTTCTACCAATGCCATGATTACTCTAAATGAGTCTTTAGTTGAAATTGGTGAATAGATTTCATTGTAATCTATCCCTTCTTGTCGTGTGGATCCTTTGGCAACTAGTCTTGCCTTATATCCATCAATTTGTCCCTTAGGGTTTCTCTTGGTTTTGAAAACCCATTTGCAGCTATAGGTTTGCAATTTTGTGACAGGTTCACTAGTTCCCACACACCATCTTTCTCTATAGAGTTAATTATGATTTCATAGCTCCCCACCAATTTTCACTTTTCTCATTGGACATTGCTTGCATATAGTTCATGGGATCTTCAATTGCATTCACATCATGCTCAGATTCTTGTAAATATACACAGTAGTCATCAAGTAGTGCTCTTTTCCTTGGTCTTTGTGATCTTCCCAACTCTTTGTCCATTTGTTCATGGTTTTGTTTGGGTGGTTGATTTTCATTGTTTTTTCTAGTGGCAGAACTTGTTGTTCTTGAGTTTCTTGGTCAAGTATCATTGGATCTCCAACTATTTCATATTCCTGTACAGATTGCGTGCTACTCAAGTCAAAGCTAGGTAACACTTGAATTTTGTTATCTGCATTAGAATTCATTGTGTCTCCATTTTCTATTATAACTTCATCAAAATTGAAATTCTCTTCTTCTGTTGCCTCATTTTTAGATTTTATAAGCACTGCTCTTTGAGTTTCTACAAATCTGGTTGTATTTTGAGGGCAGTAAAATCTGTAGCCTTTAGTTCTCTTTAGATAGCCAACAAAATAGCCACTGGCTGTTCTTGAATCCAACTTCTTTCCCATAGGATTGTATGATTTTGCTTCAACTTTACAGCCCCACACTCTGAGGTAATTCAAACTTGGTTTTCTTTTAACTCAAACTTCATAAGGGATAGCATTTACACGTTTAGTAGGTACTCTATTCAATATATAATTTTCCATTTCAATGCTTCTCCTCATAATAACCTAACACTAACTTTGGTAAAAAATGGCTGTGGTGAAGGTGTAGAAATATTCTTCTCCTATGCAGTCCTTTAATTTTCTCTAGATGGGGGTGGGATATCAATATGAGTGTGTCTTGACTGATACGGAAGGGACCTCTATATAAATATATGCATTGCTTAAGTATTTTGCCCATAGAAGAACACTTAAACAAATCCTGATTGCACTAGGATAGAATGTTTTAATCCATGTGGGATTAGGAATCCTCAAAGCTCTAGTTTTCTAATTAAACTGCACTTTAAACTAGAATTGCAGATATTCTCGAGTTATGTTTCTTGATTAATACTAAACTGCAACTGCTTATGTGATTAGAAGACCATTCTAATATGGTTTATTACAATGTAATGTCTTACACTTCTACCATAGGTTTCCATTCTCTAGACTTGCCTCTGAATCTAAATAATCTCTGCATGCATATTTCCATAAAAATCAGCAACTTCAATTTTATTTCCTCCACCATTCAAACCCAATGCACGAACCAACTGCTCTTCCAATCCACCTCGATCACCATCACCATGGTTGCATTCCAGAATCTCCATATAGGCATCTGTGAAATTCTGTCTTTGGAGGGCTTGCACCACTCTCGACATATCTTCCATTATACGTTGCATCTCAGTCATCTATCTGTGTTGGGCTTAGTTCCCTTGTCTACAACCTCTACCATGACCAATCATGGTGTGGAGGAAGGATTTTCCTAGCCTCTGGTACCAATTTGATGCAGGGTAGGGTCTATAAGTTGTTGTCTAGTGAACCAACCAGTCCCAAAATACATATAATAAAATGATAAAGCTATAGAATAGAAGTTAGAATGTAGATAATTGAGTCCTAGGTACAATATCCTAAAAGAAACTGTAGAGACTAAAGTCCGGAATTACATGCATAAAAAATTGAATACACGAGTCTCGTAATAACGTATTTATACTAGAGTAAAGCAGCCTAGCAATCTTATCCCTTGGTTTCATTAGAAAACCTAGAAATTCAATAAAACTAGAAATTCAATATAGCTAAATCGTAGTAAGAATAGGAAAACGATTAACAAATTAACTTGTTAATTTAATATAGCCAAGACTTAGCCTATAAAACTTATTCCTTTTGGTTCCAATGGAGGCTAATAATAAAAAAAGGAATAGTCAAATAAAATAAAATTTTAATAGAAGTAATATAATCAACCTATGTATTTAATTTTCACATAATCAAAACCTTAATCCCTTTAAAGAAACATAATCTTCGGAAAGGCAATAAAAATTTAAGTACAAAAAATGTCTTTCATTTTGTTGTTTTTTAAGTACAAAAGATGTCACATTTAAGGCAGTAAAAATTTCGTTGATAATGGTAAAATTGTACAAAGTGTTCAAATAAATATAAAATATATGCAACATAAAATTTTGCCAAAAACAGCCAATCCTATTTTTATATTGATCTATTTTTCATTGGACTTTGTACAGATTGGGAGACAAGATACACAGATAAGCATTTCATCCACGTGTCTTTGATCTCACAAGGAAATGGATATTGTTATTTCAATTGCGTCCAAAATTGCAGAGTCCTTGGTGACACCAATAGGCAAAGAATTTGGCTATTTGATTTACTATGATACCAACATGAAAGATCTAAAGGATGAACTTAAACAGCTTTTTGAGATGAAAGATGGGGTGCAAGAATTGGTTAACGCTGCCAAAAGGAATGGTGAAGTTATCAACTCTGATGTTCAAAGTTGGCTAACAAGTGTTGACAAGTTAATTCAGAAAGTGTTGCATTTTGAGGAAGAAGTTAGCATGAAAGGCGATGCTTGTACCGGTGGAACATAAGTAGGAAAGCCACTAAGATTACACAAGATGTTCGTCATCTCCAAAAACAAAGAACATTCAATAATAAAGTTGCCCATCCTGCACCTCCACCGATGATATGGTCAACATTCAAAGAAGGTTTTAAGGATTTTAAATCCAGAATGACATGTGTGAATAGCGTGATAGAGGTTTTGAAGAATGAAGAAGTTAGAATGATTGGGATTTGTGGTATGGGGGGTGTGGGTAAAACCACAATGGTGAAAGAAATCATCAAAAGATTGGCAGGATTGAAAGTATTCGATAATGTTGTGATGGCAGTTGTGTCCCAAAGCCCAAGCATTCAAAAGATTCAATTAGAAATTGCAGAGGAGCTGGGGTTTAAATATGACGAGAATACCGAAAGTGGAAGAGCGCGAAGGCTCTACGGAAGACTCATGGAAATAAATAAGATCCTCATTGTATTAGATGATGTGTGGACAGAGCTCGATTTTGAGGCTATTGGACTTCCTTATGGACCTCATAAAGGGTGCAAAGTTCTGTTGACCTCGCGAAACTTGGAAGTGTGCAATGCAATGGGAAGTCAAGAAATTTTTACAATCCCAGTTTTAACACCAGAGGAATCATGGGAACTCTTCCGTGAAATCGTAGGTAAACCCTTGGACTATCCTGATTTGGCAAAACGAGTCACGAATGAGTGTGCAGGTTTACCTATTGCAATTTTAACTGTTGCGAAAGCACTAGAAAATAAAAGGAAGCATGTATGGGATGATGCCCTCAAACAGCTACAAAGTTCAGCCCTTGGAAGCATCTCTTCGATGAATGACAAAGTTTATTCAAGCATACAATGGAGTTATGATAGATTGGAGAGTGATGAAGAGAAATCATGCCTTTTGCTTTGTTGTTTATTTCCTGAAGATTATGATATTCCAATTGAGTATTTGGTTAGATATGGGTGGGGTCGAGGGTATTTTAGTAACGCGGATTCGGTGGAAGAAGCAAGAAATAGAGTGCATTCTTTGATTGACAAACTTCAAAGAAGGTTTTTGTTGCTAGATGGCAAATCGGAAGAGCATACCAAGATGCATGACATAGTTCGTGATGTTGCCATACAAATGGCCTCAAGAGATCCACATAGATTTCTAATAAGATGTGATGCTGAAAAAACAGGGTGGCCAAAGATATACGACCATTACACAACAATCTCACTGATACCAATTAATATTGATGAGATCCCAGTTGGTCTGGATTGTCCAAAACTTGAGCTTCTACACTTAGAAGGCGAACGTTATTCGGAAAATAGCATGGACATCATGTGTAAAGGGATGAAAGAGCTGAAGGTTTTAGCATTGGTAGACATGGGTGGGATATCAGCCTTGCCGAGGTCACTAGGACTACTGAAGAGCCTTCGAACCTTGTCCCTAAATGGTTGTTATGATTTAATAGATATATCTGATGCTATTGGAAGATTGGAAAATTTAGAGATCCTCAGCTTTCGTAAATGCTCTAGAATCTTAGAGTTGCCGAAGGAAATTGGACTTCTTAAACATTTAAGGTTGTTAGATATCACGGATTGTGATCGTCTTGAGAAGATTCCACATGGTCTCTTATCGAGCTTATCTAGTCTTGAAGAGTTGTATATGGAAAATAGTTTTCGCAAATGGGAACAATCAGCTACAGAAAGCGAAGATAAGAGGATGGCAAGCCTTGTTGAGGTGATGTCTTTGTCTAATCATTTGAAGGTTTTAGTCATAGAGATACCCGATTTCAACTTCTTTCCAAAAGACTTTTACTTGACAAGCCGGGCAACAATAAGATTCCACATATCCAACAGAATTCATGGAGAGCTTTTTGGAGGTCAATCAAGTACTGGTTGTTATGCATTCGAAAATAAGTTGGAGATTTTTCGAAGTGATGCAACGGAATTCATGGAGATTCAAATTGTTCGTGTCTTATTTAAGAAATGTGAAGATTTAATCTTGGGAAGGATTAAGAATTTAAAGTATGTCCTCAATGAATTAGACCAAGAGGGATTGCAACACTTAAAAGTTTTAAGAATTCAGGACTGCCCTGAGATAGAATACCTTGTAAATGGAGCAAGTTGGACTCAACAAACAGCCTTCCCTCTCATCCAATCAATCCTACTCGTGTCGATGCCCAAGCTAAAAGCAATATGCCACGACCAACTTCCACAGAGCTCTTTTATCAACTTAAGATCTCTTGAATTACTATATTGCCCTGTTTTAAAATATGTATTTTCTCTATCAGTAGCAAGCAACTTGGTTCAACTCCAAAGCTTAAGTGTTGCCATTTGTCCCCAAATGAAAGAAATCGTCTCAAAGGAGGGGAGGGAACATGAGACGGCATCGGACATCGTAGCTTTCCCTAAATTAACAAAGTTGACATTCGAAGATCTATCTGATGAATTTGTTGGTTTCTACGAAGCCAACAATGAGGTATGTTACATATATAACTTATTATTTCGATGCTTGAATAGTATAATTGTTTTGTTAATTGTTTGTGCCTCAAATTTTTTATTTTTTTGGTTTACTTGCCATGAGGTCTGAATTTAGTTTGACTATTATTTACTCATTTCTTCCTAAAAACTGAAAATATTCTCATACTGATAAATGAGGAATTTAGTTCACTTGCCTTTAAAAAAATAAAAATAAATAAATAAATAAATAAAAAATTGAGCATGTGCAGACCACAAATAAATAAATAAATAATTTAGTCCATTTCATATATTTATTTGTAAAAATTTTGGACTCATTTTTGTTAATGGTCTCATTACATAATATATTAATATTTTAATATTAAAACTTGGTTTTAATATTTTGGAATCTAGAAACTGACTAGTCCTCCGATTAAAACTTGGTTTTATTAATATTTTAATATGAAGTCATATTGAAGTAATTTAAATAATAATAATTGAGCTTGTTATTAATTTCATTTTTAATATACAAAATGTTTCTTTAAATATTTATTAATTAATGAATCTTTTCAGGTAACGGATGGGTCTAAGGATCAAAATGTGGTAGGAACTTCATATGATGAGCATCAACCTTCTAGAAGCTTTGAAAGAGCAGTATTTCCATCAAAGTGCATTTTATGGTTACAAAATCTAGAAGAAGTGAAACTACGAGAGGCCAATGTAGATGTGTTCTTTGATCTGAAAGGCCATATGGTTAGGGATGGGCAGGCAGTTCCAGCATTTTCTCATTTACAAAATTTGTACATATGGGATTCTACATGTCAACACCTTTGGAAGAACATTCCGCGTGGATTCCAGGGCTTCCAAAACTTAAGATATTTTAAAATAGGAGGTGCTGATGATCTCCAATATGTGTTCCCACATTCAATTGCCAGGCTACTTGTGAATCTTGAAGAGCTCCATAGAGGGACTGCAACAAAATGGAAACTATAGTCAGATCCGCTGATGAAAATGAGAAAGAGGATCAGACGGGCATGACTTTGTTTCCCAAACTAAATAGTTTTGATCTAGACAGTCTTCCGAGTCTTGAGAGTCTTTGTCCTGATGCTTCTACTTCTTTATGGTCAGCCGCCAAAATTATGTTGGTGCAAGATTGCGACAAACTGAAGACATTGGCTTCAGTAATTCCACAAATAAAAAAGTTGGAGAAAGATTCAACAGCTCATCACGAAGATGAAGATGAAGGTATTTCATCAGGATCATGTGGATGTACACCTTATTCATGTGGCCCAATGACCAAACCTACTTCAAGAAGAAATATTGTTCAAATATTGCCACGTCCAGTCAATCAAGAGGTAAGCTACAATTGAGAATGAAAATGACATTGCCATATTGAAATTATATAAATTATATACAATTGCTCAATTCATGTTTGATTTTCTAGGTTGCACCAACAAATCTTGATCAAGACTCAAATGATTACGATAATCTAGAACGTCTTTCTGTACAATATTGTGAGTCATTGGAAGTTGTTTTCCAACTCAAGGGACCAAAGGCTGTTGAAAGCCACAATGTTCAAGCATTCAATAAGTTGTGTTACTTGCTATTAGACAAATTGCCAAGTTTAATGCACGTATGGGAAACGGGCGGTTCACATCATATCACAGGCTTCGGAAACTTGACATTCTTAAGTGTATCCCACTGTGGCAGTTTGCGATATTTGTTCTTGTCAACTGTAGCCAAGCTCCTAGTCAATTTAAAGACTTAAAAGTTGGGAATTGTGAGAAGATTGAACACGTTATTGCAGAAGCAGACACTGAATGTGCTGATCAGGAAATTACATTTCCTCGATTGAATTCCATGACGCTTGAAGATCTACCAAACCTTATCTGTTTCTCAACTGAAGCTTATACTTTGAAGTTGCCATCTTTGATGGAATTGAAGGTTATAAAATGTCCAGATTTAAGAACATTTGCTTCTAAGGTTGTCAACACACATTCTGTAATCCAAGTACACACAGAGTTGGGAAAGTCTGAGTGGATGGGGGACCTCAATAGCACTATAGGGAACATTCATGAAAAAAGGTATGCTCCTGAATGTTTATTGGTGTTTAGTCAATAATATAACAATAAAGTGTTTCTTTTTCAAACCTGATTGCATCTCAATAATACACATTCTTTTCTTTTGAATACAGGGAAACACAGAGAAGTGCAGAGGTGAGTATATACATGTTGCCATCTCCAACTTCTCACTGATGTTTGCAAATCTTACTAAAAAAAATATGCCATATTATGCCATATTGAGGAAAGAATTAAATTGAGTTAGCAAGATCAAATTACGGTTCTAATTATATAAACAAAAAAAATTACATGTGAGATTGTTTAAGCTTTGATTTGACAATAAATTACAATGTATTTCATGTGTGTTTGAGGTTGTTTTAATTCAAGTGTTCTATCATTGCGATATAGTAGACTAAAACAAACAAACAACCTAATTTTGATGTGGGAACATCTCCAATGGGCTCCTCCCTAGATGAGATTCTAAGTTAAAATTTAGAAGGAATGTCAGGAACCTAACTCCAAATATGCTCCTGTCTTGATCCTAAAATAAGGAGACCCCTGGGTGCTTTAAAATATGAGGGAGAAATGTACACTTATATTTGTACATCGTTCTCTTCACACCCTCTCTCTTGTTGAATAAAATACTTCTTCTTGCAAGCAAATCACACAAAGGAAATCAATAAGACTGGATTTCTAGACGGCTAGCATTTACGTTAACTGGGTTTTTGATAGATTTCTTTAATGTATTTTGCATCTCCATCTGATGATATATAGGAATTGAAGGAACTTTTCTGTCTTTAGTGATATGATCATGCTTTTGTTTTGTTAAATTATACTGATAGGAATACTGGTCAGCATGGTCACATTCTTTACGGATTTGTGGGACTCAGTGATGATAGCATAATTCAATTTTCCCTAGCTAGTTTCTAATCTAAGTATCTCAAATATGAAGTTCTATAGTTTCTTCATTAAAAAAAATTCCTAGGCAGAGTATTTGGAGCCTTCTGAAATTTGAAGCCTAGTCTAGAGATTTCTGAATGTTGTGGCTTTCTGCATCATTATCAAAAAACACTCTGAGGCTCGTTTTAAGTCCCAAGTTGACGATTCTCACATTTAGTGCATTGGATGAACACTTTCAATGTGGTGTAACTTATTTTGTTTATTCGATTTTAGTATAAGCTGATGAGTATTATTTTTCTAGTTTAATATTGTTTCCCTCCTTTCAGCTGAGTTCTGTTCTGAAGGTTGAGTTTTGTTCTGAAGAATTTTATGACGATGTGCATACAGAGTGAGTTCTTGAGTTTGGAATAGCAAGTTGCAATTCCACATCTCTAACCTCTTCAATTCTTGAGAAACAGTCCCAATATCAATTCCAAGTGTTGAAGTGTATTATAATTCATGTACTGGATTTCATTTGTATATCATTCAAATATTAGAGCAGATCTGATGGTTAAAGCATAAGTTCATGTATTTTTTAGAGTTATCAAGGATTGATGTTAAATTCTCTCTTCAAATAAATAGTTCCTGAAGATCCCTTTGCTGCAATTTTTTCGACTTTGTTAGCCGAATACAACATCAAAATTTCATAACCTCTCCTATATATCTTTCATTTTCCAACACATCAAACCATCATTGAGTTCAATGTGCCATCAAATTTCAAAGTTCAACAACCAAATTTTGACAGGCCTACTTACCAGCCTGCATTAAAGTTTTTACAGTTCAAATAAATAGATAGTTCTTGATGATCTCTCTGCTGCAATTTTTACAGTTCTTGACGTCCAGTTAATTTTTTCATAACACACAAGTTCAAACTTGGGAACATGAGTTACTAATCAAAATAATAACACAGAATTCCAGTGTTGCTGCAGACATAAAGACTTGCGGCAAAAAGCTTTCACTACTACAAAATCTTGAAGATATTTTTACAAGAATTGTGCCAAATGAAGCCTAGTTCAAATTCAATGACTAAAGCAGGATACAACTAATACGAAATTCAGAAGCATTGATGACAAATTTCCCATCAATGGGGTTAATTTTTCATTCTTCAATTTCCCATCAATGGGACTAATAATTTTTCAATGTCACCAAAATTAACATATTAAAAAACTTTGGTTGATCACTTGGTGTCAACATTTCAAAGAGACAGGCTAGCAGCCCACACTCAGTATGTGTGGAGTTTTATTACAAAAGATATGGGTACTATTAATAGTAGAACCACTTAATATATATTTTATTTTATTTTGTCAAGATTCCAATGTGGGATTTTTTACATTCTTCAACACTTGGGAACATTTATCTCAAATCTTGCCAGTATAAATACAAGCAGACCGGCATGGTTTCTATGAGAAACCCATTGCCCATGCGGGCTTCATGCTCAATTGTCATGACAACGACTATTCGATGCTTATACAATATTAAGATTCAATCAGCCCTAGGGAAGCCAAACTCGCATACCCACCCCCATTGTTCGATTCACTTGCCATCAATATAAAAAGGAAATTAATTATCTAGTGATTTTTGAGGATTTAACATTTCAAATCACACATCTTCCAAAACACTTTTATTTTGGAAGCCAAGTGAGAATAAAATAGCAAATACGGTGTCCAAGGCAACCTTGTGATAATTGGATTTAGGACAATAAAAACAATTACTTTATAAAAAGGCAAAACATTACTTTTGGTTCCTGTGGTTTATCACTTTTACCATTAAGGTCCCTTGTGGTTTCAATTTGAACAGTTTCGTCCTTGTGGTTTCAATTTCAAGCAATTTAAGGACAACTCTCAATTTCTATTCAATTTTTTTAACTTCTGTTACTTGTCAAGGGGTGATTTGGTCAAATTATTAAAAAATTCATTTCTTTTCAAAATAACAAATACAAATGAAAAATTAATAATAAATAACAAAAATTCATTCCTTTTTTAACTCTCGTGCTCTCCCCCTCTCTCTCACGTGCCCTCCCCCTCCCACCATAACACCATCTAACAAGCCACTGCCCAATATCACCCACCCAGCAACCACCCTTATCACCCTCCCAACAGAAAACTTCTCAAGACAAGACAACCCACCTATCTCTCTGTCTCTCTGTCTCAAGTCCAGCCCAAAAAATTCAGTGCAAGCAAAAGACCACATTGCTCAAAATTTATTACAATATAGCCAATAGATCTACAAAAATAAAAATAAAAAATTATAAAAAATCGCTCCAACCCAACCCACCCACCAAGAACTACTCCTATTTCAATTTTATTTTCACTTATTATGGCTTATTTGATGGTGTTTTTGAGAAACAGAACTTGAAGTTAGGAAGGGTAAAATCTATAGCTATCTCCAAGTTATTAAAAATCGATTGATGAACAAAGCTGTATATTGAAGAATATCTAGTTTTAGGTTATGGTGGTGGTGGAGGGATGATTAGCGGGCTGTGGTGGGGTGAGGTGGAGGGCCAAATCGGAGAGAGAGGGAGAGGGATGAAGGGGGTCGGTGCACTGGTGTTGGCAGTAGGGATGGGGTTGGGGGTGGGTCACAACTAGGGGTAGGGCTGGGGCTGGGGATAGGGTGCTATCAGGTAGTGGAGAAATGATGAGGGAGAGATACAGCCAGAGAGTGACAAAGGCTTCTAGGGAGGGGAGAAGAAGATATATTTTTCATGTATTAATTTTTCCATTTTGTATTGTTATTTTTAAAAGAATTAATTTTTTAATAATTTATTGACTAAATTACCCCTCTAAAAGTAACCGAAGTTAAAAGAATTTGACAGATATCGAGGATTTTCCTTAAATTGTTTGAAATTGAAACCACAGGGACAAAAATGTTCAAATTGAAATCACAAGGACCATAGTGATAAAAGTGATAAACCATAGGGACCAAAAATGACTTTTTGCTTTATAAAAATATGCAATTTGAAAATTAAAATATTGTTTTCACTTTCCTTTACAGTGTGTTTGGACGATGAAATTTAAAAGTACAAAGGATTTCATAAATGACAGAATTTAAAATGACGGAAATTAATGTTCTAGAATTTGTAAAGTTTCTTGTTTGGGTAACGGATTTATAACATGGAATTTGACATTTGTTTATAAAGTCATCTTTTTTAAAAACTCAATTTCTCTTGGAATTTTAGAAATGACGACTTCTAGATAGAATTTAAAGTTGGGATTTATGATCTCCAAATTCCATGTTTTTTCCCACGAGGAATTTCTAAATTTTTATGTTTTTTTTTATCCAAACACGGGAATGGTTCATGTCAATTTAGAAATTCTGACTTTTGTCAAAATCCCAAGTTTATTTTCCTCATCCAAACGCACTGTTAATATGTGACACCATTTTTTAAATTATGGAAAAAAAATTGAAAGCTCCCATTTAGTTATATTTCCATACACCTCCCTTTTCCTGTGTACAAAATTTTTATGGAAGAATGTATTTTCTACCAAAAACAAAATCAGACCCTCTCTTCCCTATAAATGTAGAGCATTTCTCCATTTTCAGACCATGTGCATCTGATGTCTTCTCTCCTTTGTTTTGCCTTGTTGCCTCCATTCTTCCTTATTTAGTCATTATAACTCTTTTTGTTTGTTTGTTAAAAATAGAGGATTAGGTGAGGTTAGCTCTTCAGTGACGTTAGAACTCTCTCGCTATCTCTTTCTCTTCTTCAAAATATCTAGGAGTGCTTCACAGATAAGCATTTCATCGGTACTCTCTACCTCCATACAAGAAAAGGTGCCATTTGTAGCAAGTGAAAATAATCATTCACATAATTTATATAGAGATGTTGCCAATTTCTCATAGGTTTTTTAGTGACTTATGGTCTGATTCGTGAAGCAAATATAGTGGGAATGGTGTTGTGGAGAGATTTCTAAAAACTCTACAACCAAACTTTGAGAGTATAAATCACCTAGCAAGCCATATCTAATATGAAATCAAAGTAAGAGTGAAAGCATTAAATAAACTAGGGATTTATGCAAGTCTCATTTGGTCCCAATCTTTATAAGTCTATGAAAGTGTGCACCAAAGACTCTCTAAATCCTATTTGAGAGAAAGATAAGATGTTCATACCCTTGGAGCAAATCTTGAAACCAAGAATGGTGTTCAAGTAGAGGGAGTGGTTCCTTTGTCGTTGGCTCTCCCTTTGATCTTGATTCTCCACCTTATAGCTCTCCAAATAGGTACAAAGTTATGCACCTCCCCAAAGATCTTCACCAGGATTGAATGGGATGAGAGAATGAGTAGACAACAAGTACAGAGTGGTGCTAGCACCTCACTTGATGTGATAGATTGAAGGGGTTAGGGAAGAGAGCTTGTTGTTTTCTCTCTTCCAATTTCACCAACTTGAAAACCCTAGGATGACAGAATTCCATAGCTACACACTTATAGGATCAAAAATGTCATTAGAGTGACCAAAATGCCCCCAAACCCTAGTGTAGCCACACCCCCCCCTTTGTGTGTCATCTTTTGCTATCTTGATCTAACACATTAATCTTATAATGTGTCACTAATTTGCCTAAGTCCATATGGTCAAATTCTTTTTGAATTTCCAAGTCACATGGGACCTGTAATTAAAGTTTCATAACTTTAATTGAATAATTAAATTAATCTAATCAATTTAATTACTTTAGTGACTTGACTAATTCAAGCACTCACTTGTCTAATGAGTGTTGGTCCCGGTCATCCTTAGTTGACCATGTCAAGTGTCGGATCAACTGTTTGACCTTTGACCTTTGACTTTTGCATTGACTTTGACCAAGTCACAAATCATTCACTCTCTTTATAATTTCCTAATTGATTCCTTTTCGATGTGCGATCTTATAGGTTCTAATTAGCAAGGCAGTAGGTATGAATGATTCACTCTAAATCAAGTGTGAATTGTATCCCTCCATACAATTCTCCCTATTGGCGAAGGCTAATTATAATTAGTCATTATAGGGCTTCCCCAAGCCATGAGTGACACCTAACAGTATGTCATGGCTATCCAAGCTAAAAAAAATTCATTTAGAGAACCTAGTCAGTTTGTGATTACAATGCAATTCGATCCTTTTCTAATTCAATACTCTATGTCATATTCTCAAGATATGGTAAACTTGTGTCAAAATTCCTAATATCACATCTCTAGATTATATGATTCAATTTGATGAAATTGCAAACGTTCTTGTTTCAATTTTCATCTAATACTTTGGCCAAAGATTCACGAATCATATCTTTAGAGTATTCTCTCTTCTTACTAAGTGCAAAGATTCATTGTTGTACATTCACGTGTCTTTGCGTACACACTAAGAATCCTAAGAACACTTTTAAGTCATATCATTTTGATACGACCGTATAGTGCCCTCAAAGAGAAACAACATATACACAAGACAACTGTGATGTCTCAAGTATAAGGATTAATTTTCATTATCACAACTTAGAATTTTTTGTTTCACACTTGTGAGTAAGACTTCCATACAAGAATTCTAGAGTTGATCGTGTTCAGTGGAATCCATCTTCTATAGAGCACCTATACATCTGTCTCAGTGTCTCTACACGAATTACTTAAGTCTAGTCATCCTCCCAATTGAGCAGACATAATGTGTACTAGTCTTTGTGGGTCACCATTGTCCAATTGGTGATCCTATGACAAGGAATATTTTAGGATACAATATTTTTATGTATAGAAAGGTCTCGTGCATTTAACTTCTTTAGACTACTTTCCATTTATATCTTAATCCATGGACGTGTTACTTTGTGTACATTATGTATCTAAAGCAATGTTCTTGCCCTTTTGATTATTATATATTATTTTCTTAGAAATATCCATTTTATATTGGTTTCTATGGCATATCTCTAGCACAAAGAGCCCTGAGCTTGTCCACCACGGCACCAAGTGCTTCATCAGGCTTTCTCAAACCTCCAATAATCTGCTTGCCTTCTGCACTTGTAAGGTTAACAGCACTCTCAAACTTAGGCCCAGAAGCACTAGGCACGCTTGATTCTGGAAAAACAGGAAGCCTCCTCCCAACAACACCCCCTTCAGCAGTTGCGTTTAGGCCCGATTGCGGCTCAAAAGATGGAAGATCTTCCCCCTCCTCTAGCTTTATAGTCTTCACCTTCAAATGAATCTGCTGGAACCTTCTGTCCCCTGGTAGAAGGTCCCAAAGCTATTTCTTTCCCTGGTCTCTGTAAAGATGAGCACTTATTGTTAGAAAATACAAGGAAAAGAGGGAACTCTTTTTTAAGCATAGGGTTCAAGACAAACCCGAGTCACTGGCGCAGCACCCATCTCGGGCATTCTCTCATCCCTAAAAGGTGAATCCCTCATTGATCTTTTTTCACAAGTTTCTGAAATTGCAAAGATATACATGTTAATCCTCAGGAACCTCCTCCGAATACTGAACGAAATAGGCCTGAAAGGAGAATTCTACCATCTTCAAGGGCCGATTCAGGATTGACATCTGGAGTTAGGGGAGCAGAGGCTCTTTGGTTTCTCTGAAGTGGTACCTCTTCTTCATCATCATCATCCTTTATCAGATGAGCCTTCCCTTTATCTTTGGGAGTCGGATTCGAAGCAGAAGGTCGAGAAGGGATGGGTGAAGCTAAAGTTCTTTCTATTCTCTCCTCTTCCCAGAAGAATGCCACCAGAAGATGGAGCATTGCCTCGACCTGTGAACAGGAGAAATAGAATCAGCTTCTTTCAAATAAAAAGGAATCAAAATTTTGGTAAGAACCTTACCAACATCCTCAAGGCCACTCGGTCCACCTAAGAAGGTTTCTATCAAACACCAAAAACAATCCAGATTGTTAGAATATGGTATACCATATTTAAGCCAATGGTCAATTGTTGAGGTTTAGAAAGTTACCTATCACCTCCATTCCTTGAAGACGTTTTAACTTCCTCATCATATATGCCTCTTCCTGTTTTGTCATCAATCTGGCAAAAGGACAATCCTTGAAAGCCAAAGTGTAAAAAAGTTTGGCAGATTCAGGGAGCCAAAAGAACAGCTAGTTTTCCAAGAAATCATGAAAGGCTGGGGTACAGAGAGGTGATGGATCGTAGGGAGGCATCCTCACATTATTGCTCATGTTCCTCTAGGACTTTCTTACAGCCTTAATATCTTAAGGAGTCATGCTCAGATTCCACCAAGAACTCCCCTTATTCACAGAATTATACTTCAATTCTGGAATAGCCTGAACAGCCCAAACTTTCTACTGAAAAATGAGGATTGTACGCCTCCACTCCATACTCACACCTCTTGTTAGTATGAACCCCACCAAAGAAGCGATCCTAGCTAGATAAACAAGAAAAGCTAATACTAGCGTGAATTTTGGCTCTGAAATCAGTCAACTTTTTCCAATGCCAGGGAGCTTGATGAAGCCTTCTCTTTACAAACCAAGGCATATCGTAGGATAGTGAACGGAGCCATGTTTCTTTCTCCCTCTACCTACAATCTCTAAAGAAAATGAAGCACTCCTCAGTACTATCCAACCTTTGGAGTTGATAGCTGTTGAGGCCCAAAAAATTCACAGTTGGGCCCGAATAAATTCTTGGCCCAATACGACACATCATTGAGAAAAGACCCAATTTGGAGCACGCAAAAGTCCGCCATGCACGAGTCACACTCCACGTGCCATGCCAAATAAATAATCGTCATGTTAGGAATCGAGATTAAGATTATAAAATGCATTAACTCTGCAAATCCATGTTAATTATCTCGTCAAGCATCATAATTAAAAGCATGTCAAGCGACATGTCATGCCAAGCAGGAAATCATTATTGCACACCCAACCACGCAACAAGCCTAAGTGGGCCCAAGCCACTCGAATGCCCGGGGCTTGCTTGAGTGGATTGTGGTATGGATGGTAATAAGTTGTCATGAGGCCCATTGATGGGCCGAGAAATGGAGGTTCCGAGTTGCTTGGGAGCCTCGGAACTCAAGCCCATTTCTTAGGCCCAAACATGTGGGTGAGCACAAAGGAGAAGATAGCCCATTACCTTAGCCAAAACAGCCCATTAACTTAACCAAAATAGCCTAACCCTTGATAAGGTTAGCCCATTTGTTTGATGAATTAACTTGTTGTCTTAGAAGCAGCAAAAGCCCCAGCACATGGCTGAAGAACAAAGCCACATAGGGAGCTTGGGGGTCCACATGCGCAGAGTTGTTGGAAAGCTCCAGCACATGGGAAAGAACAAGTTTCAAGCAAAAACATCTGAAGGACTAAAGGATTTTAATGCGCAGGCTACCAGGAGGAGAGGCACCCTTCAAACCAGCATGTATACCTATTTTCTTTCCTTCATCAGATCTAGCCATGAAAGGAGGAAGGAAAGAAAAAGGGAAATAGCTGAGAATGGGAGTCTCCCACTGAGACAGCTGAGAGAAAGGGCCTTGAAAACCCAAAAATTCCTAATTTTGTGCAAATGGGCAGAGAATATTTCACCAAGATGGGAAAAGTCAAGGGAGGAGAGGGGAAAGGAATGGAAAGATTTGGCCAAATTGGATAGAAACCAAGGGGTTCTTGGGAAGGAGGAGCTTCCAGCGGCTATAAATGAAGCACCTCCTACCCAACAACCATCAACCACATCCAGAGAACAAGCTTCCTCTCTTACCTCCAAAACCCAGCAATTTCGTGCTCAGTTCATCCTTCTCCCCCTTGTTTTTCCTCTTGGCAGATCGTTCTGATATTTGACAGAACCTTTGTCGAGCTGCCGGAAAAACACTTAAGCCACCCATTGCCTAGCCTCTCTCCTCTTCTCAGCCAAAACCTCTGATAATCCTTTCCTCCTTTTCCTTAGAACCCTTGTTTTTCATAGAAACTCACAGCTCTTTCCTTTTAAGGCTAAACTCATGACAACTTTGCTCCCATGCCACAAGCCTCTCATGCCAAGCTAAGATTCTACCTGTAAGCACTAAAAATTCATCTATAAGCTGTTGTTATTTTTGTTGGTTAAGAAAATCACAACAACAACAAAAAACACACATTCTTCCTAATTTTTATTTGGTCTTCCAACTTTTTTTTCCATATATTTGTTTTGTTGTTGTTGTGTTTTTTGTTATAAACTTGGCTAATTGTTCCAAATTTCTATGGGGGTACAATAAGGGTTTAGGCAGCTTATCAATTTCTGGTTTTGTAAAAGTAATGTCACATGCTCACCTTTATAGGATAATTTTTGAGATATTTAGTGGCTGTTTGGCATTGCTTATTTAGGGTGATAAGTGATTTTTTTTAAAAAAATTTAGGAAGCCCAGCCCCTTCGGTACTATGAGAAAATTACTTATTGTTAAAAAATGTTTGTTAAACTGCTTTCTCTCACAACAAATCTAACAGCGATTATTTTTACAGCACAACAATGTCAAACTAGCCCTTGGTCATATACCTATTCTTTTTTTCTTCTTTTTTTGGTCAAATAGTCATATACCTATTCTTAGCACTAATAATGTAGATAAACCCTACACCATTTAATGTCTATAAACAAACCAACAAAAAAAACTCAAAAAATGACAGTTGGACCTATTGAATTTAATTTTGATTATTAAATTACTTAGATGCCCTATTGAGTTTTTTAAGTTTTTTTTTAATGAGGTTTTGGGGTTAGGTTTGTTTTAAGAAATCGAGGGTATTTTTGTAATTTATAAGAAGTTAAAAGTCTCTTTGTTATGTTGTAAATTTTTTTATATATAATTTGGCCCCTATATTGGGAATAATATTGAATCTCTCCCCCCCCCCCCCCCACCACTAAATAAAGGTAAAGAACAAGGATTTCTTGGTGTTTTATTATCTTGTTTCCTTTTTTATTGACGGTGTAAATACTTTTTTATTCGCGGTATAAATAGGATTTCTTGTCAAGCAAGACTGACTTATAGAGCACTCTTGTAATCTCTGTAAATTGCTTTGATAATCTTGGGTTTAGGAAAAATTCAAATATTTTTCAGTGATCATGCCGTATCTTGTTCGTGAGAATCTATTCCTCGGCAACATCGGCGATGCGGCAGAGGTTATCCGAAATGGCAGCAAAAAGATCACACATATTCTCTGTGCAATTCCCACAAAGGAAATCAAGAAGGTCTATGCTGGCGGGTCTGTTGGTGGGTCAACTTCTGTTGGTGATGGGTCGAAAACTTGTTTGCTTTCCGATAAGATTTCGTACTCGTTGGAACGTGCAGGCAAGGATTTGAAGCTGGAGAGGATGGGGGTTCCGCTAAGAGATATGGACGATGAGAATTTATTGGATTATTTGGATGCGTGTGTGGATTTTATTGATAAGGGTAGGAAAAAGGGCTCTGTTTTGGTGCATTGCTTTGCTGGTGTTTCCAGAAGGTACATATTGCTTTCTCAGTTCATGATTTTTAGTTTTTAGAATAACAAGAGTCTATTAATAATGTCGAAATTATTCGGAACAGGCTTACATTCTGATAGCTTTTTCAGTTTTCTGAATTGTCAAGTTTAAAGTGTTTACACCCTTGTTTGCATTTGTTTGTTGCAGTGCATCTATCATTACAGCATATCTGATGAGAACAGAGCATTTATCACAAGAAGGTGTGAACAAATCATTGCTTGTTTTAAGTATCGCCAGTCTTCGTATATAACTACAAGTTGCTGTTATATTTTTGGAATCCAAATAGCTGCTTTTGTTTCTTCAGTTCAGATAAAAATTAGTTTCACAAGCTTGTATGACTTTAAAAATGGAAGATAATTTTGACACTCCAAATGTCGCCTTCCCCACTACTTTACTCTCTCACAAGAGGAGTGCGAAACTCATATGGTCCTCTTGTGTGAGAGAGTAGAGGCGTGTGGGAGGTGATAGTTGGAGTGCCAAAATCATCACCCTTTGAAATATATGAATTCCTGAGCAATTGAATTGAAGAAAAGGCAGAGTGGGTTACAAATGCTTAACTGCTTTAGTCTTTCTCTTCCTCTTATGCAATCCCACAGATGCACTAGGATCCCTGAGGCAAAGCTGTGAGTTTGTTTGCCCCAATGATGGTTTTCTAGATCAGGTGATTCAAGGAACTCTTATGTAACATCTTGTACAAGGTTAGACTACTTTCTGCTAAGCCAGCCCATAGTGAATTTTACTCTTTTCTTTTATCGTGTTGCAGCTCAAAATGTACGAGGAAATGGGCTTCAAGGTTGATCGTGCCAGCCCCATATACAAGTCTTTTCGCCTGAAAGTATTGGGTACAGTTTTATTTTTTCTTCTCCATCTTCCCCTCCCTCTAAATTTATTGTTCTTCATTGAACATCTTGAATTCATGCTTTCATATTTTAGTTTTTCAAGTTGCGGTAATATACAAGATGATGAAAGTGCTCCATGGGACATAGAGACTAGGCTATAATTCTTGCGCCGTTGACTGACTAGAAATTGTTGTACGTAGGCTTTTCTTGAGTCCCATGATATTAGAGGCACCAACTCTTATCCCAGCTTTTTAATACCAACTGATGAGGCACATAATATGGTAGTCGCTTACTGTTTGTAAATAAATGAGGCTCAAATTTAAACAACTGAAGTACTACCGCATCAGTTTGTATATGAGTTGGTGTGCCTAGGACTATATGAAAAATTCATTGATAGGAAGGTATTAAGGAGCCATTGCTTACCAAATTGGTTGTATATCATTGAAGTAGGATGTGAGATGGTTGGTCCAGCTTTTGGTGGGGTTATTGCTCAAAGAATGTTATTTTGAGAAGCGAGAGGGTTTGAATTGAGCATGGAGACACTGCTGGATTATGAGAAATTGCGAAGCTTCCAAGGTTCTGAAAGGAACTCAAAAATGCCAAAGGTTTAGAATTCCAGAAACAAGATTGTCTCAATTTAGTTCACTCTATTTATACATGATAGAATCTCGAGAAAACCGTATAGAGTTAAATTGTAGCATTCAGAATAAAAATAATCTCACTTGTCAAATTAGCTTAGCGAAACCAACACAAAAAATGGCTACAATGCTGCTACGGTATCCATGAACTATACTTCCCAATCTGTTTTTTAAATTGTTTGCCATTCTCCTCTACCTTACATAACATTTTAGCAGAAGAGAAAAAGAAAAAGAAAAAGAAATGCTAACCAGAACAGCAGTGACAACTGTGAAGGGTGTTGCAACTGCATGGCAAATGTTCTTGATGTTTATTACTATGTGAAAAGTTGTTCGTCCCAGAATAGGAGACATTATAAGTTATGCCTACTCATTTTCACTGGAGGTTTCAAATTGAGTGGCAAATGTGAATTTCTGTTTTCCCTGCTATAATAGAAATATTTTATCCATACTTTCAGGTGAATCTTATCGTCATGGGGATAAAATAGACAATTCTAAATTTGGGGCAGATCCTGGGTTGCCTAGTGAAGTTGCCTCTGGAGTAAAAACAGCTCAAAATGGAGGAAAAACTGGTACACCAGCATTCCGCTGCAAGAAATGCCGAAGAATTGTTGCATTGCAGGACAATGTTGTGGATCACATTCCAGGCATGGGTGGGAAATCGTTTGAGTGGCGAAAGCGAAAAAGTAGCAACTTGTCTGAGGGTTCTGAATGTTCATCCATTTTTGTTGAGCCCCTAAGGTGGATGACAGCAGGTAACTGTGCCATATTTATAACTGTATGGCTTACCTTTTTCATTGCAGTAATAGTTAATCATGCGAAAGTGCTCCCTTGTCAAAAAAAGTTTCCTTGGGTTCTTTGATTTGATTGTTATTTCATATTTATAAATGCTCTACAGTTGTTTAACTGGGTTATTATATGATCAAATTGTCACTTGAGATTACATGTCAGCTGCGAATTGATTTTCTTGTTGACCAATTAATCCAGTGTGTTGACAAATGATGGAATTTGAAACATTGAAAAAAGTGTCGAATATACTCAGACAGAATCCACATCCTTTTCACATTCCTATTTCTGAACCTATAGGGCTTTTCTTGGTCTTTTCCTTTCTTTATTTTTCTTCAGCCGATTTTGGTTTCCTTATACCTTAACTTGAATGAAGTAGAAGTAATTTCATGTGGAGGCATCTTTTGTTCAATGTGATTTGTCATAGAAACACGACATAATTTAATCTTTCATATGTTTTCTCATTTCGCAGTTGAAGATGGAGCACTGGAGGGCAAGTTGTCATGTGCACATTGTGAAGCTCGCTTGGGTTACTTCAATTGGTCAGGCAGCCAATGCAGTTGCGGGAATTGGATCACTCCTGCCTTCCAGCTTCATAGAAGCCGTGTGGATGTCAGCACTGTCTAATATCCGTCAAGGCAAAGCTTGAGTTGAGGCCCTATCAGGATGAAGTATCCAAAACCCCTCTAAGCAATCAACGAAAAGGATGTAGTTTATGGAGTTTCTCATACTGTATGTACCCAGATCAAAATTGAGCAGCTGCAGCTAGAGAAAATGCTTCCTTGATCTGTGTTATATGAGATTTTGGGGATTTGGGTTTTGTAGTTCTCATTTTCCAATGCGAACTTAGTTTAGGTGCTGAAAATATCGTTCTGCATAACAGGATAAGTTGAGTTTTGACCATATAATATGAACAAAATCCCTGATTGGGAAAGTAATTAATTTTTCATCTGTTATATATGAATTGCATTTGATCATTGACAAGTTCTATGACAGTCAGCCATAAGTACCAGTTTTCTTTTTTGTTTTTTTTTTGTTTTTTTTTTTTTTTTTTTTTTTTTTTTTTATATATTATTATTATTATATTTAAAGAAAGTATTAGTTATTGTTATAGGCTATGCCGAATGAAACTGTATTGAATTTGTGTCTCATGTTCTTCAGTTTATGAGATTTACAAAGGTATGCACATCTAAGAAAATTGAGTTATACCAAGTGAAGTGAAACAAAGGGGACTCCCATTATTTAACAGTCCGAATGCAATATACTGCAACTGTGCATCCACAAATTTGTTCAAATGTCTTTCCTGGCGTGCATATGAAAAGCAATTTAAATGGATCTAAGAACGATGGTTCTTGTAGATAACTCCGAACGCAAGAACAAAAAAAAACAAAAACAAAAAGAACTTTTATAAGAATAAAAGGATCAAAATTGGTGAAGATGTTGCAATTGATGGAAGAAAAACAAGTACTTTTGTATAAGAATAAGAGGTTCAAGATGGGAGGAGCTGGAGAGAGTGATTGTGTGATTGAGCTACCACCATGCCTCATCTCACTTTTTTTAGGAGGATGATGCGGCAGCTAATAGTTTTTAGATGAAGGGAACAGAAAAGAAAGAAGATTAACATTAGGAGTAGAAGAATGTGTTTTTTAAGCACAAAGCTTAAACATGATTTTAGGCCCTCATTAACTAAATTTGTGGTCGTCTTAGTTTCCCTACAAGTACAAGACTCTTCACTGTCTTAAGTTCAATTCTTTTATTTTAGGGTAGAGAAGAATGAGAGCACACCTCCTCCAATTGATTTTGAGAAAAGTTTTACAGGAAGGCCTGAGGGTGTCCAAACAGAAACTTCCTTCATTGAACTATGGAGGTGAGACTGAGAGGCTATCAAGAAATGGCTCTCAGGCTTCTGCAAGAAGTGCTACTGTTGATGAGTGTAAAGCACAAAATACCACATTCACAACTGATGACAAGAGTACTGAATGCAGTACTTTAGATGGAGGAACAGAGGAAATGACTGATACCCAATGCAATACTCAACTTGCTGATCGTACGGTGAGTTTTTTTTATTTTGTCATCACTTCTTCAGAGTAAGCATTCATTGAGCGTTTTTTGAGATGGGACTCTAAAAATTTTCTTCAACTGTGAAAGTGCATCATCCTTCGATCTTAGGAAGCCAAACCCTACTGTTGGTCCTTTTTCCCGTCTTTCGTCCTTTTACCAACTGCAGGGGTCAGCTCTGCTCTGAGGAACGAGGAGGAATTATTGGATCAACACCAATGCCCCGATCGGATGGTGTCTCTTGGCTCGCAGAGAGAATCCTTTCAATTTCTGAGCAAAATTGAAAGTTGGATCAGTTTGGCGGGAGCGAACGGGCCTAATCCAGGCCTTGGTTGTCAACTTCTTCTCAGTACTGATCCTCGTTGTTGCGTAGGCGTGCCACTATTGAGTAGATAACCAGCCCAATAGATCTGGTGTGGATGTGAGCGACTGATTATACAGTTTTTTATAACTCATTATAAAAGTTTTACCAATTAACTCGAAAAATAGGTTCATGTGCAAAACCAACATGACAACAAGTTGCGTCGCAAAACTGTACAAGTCTCAACAAAGTTGCAATTATTTCCAAATTAGGATTGTACAGAACTGATTAATTTCTCTTTGGTAGGTGTTCATGTATAAAATAATATATGAGCTCTATCTAAGTGGCACATATGTGCCTTTACTTTGACATTACAATGGAAGATGATTATATTTGCTTTTCCTCTCAGCCAGATTTTATGAATTGTCTATTTTTTTCTGAACTGATTCTAAAAGTTCTACCAATTAACTCAGAAAAAAGGTTTGTGTGCGAGCCTTCCATTTGGAAAATAATACTAACCTGCTCAAGTAAATTGCAGCATACAGTCCATTAAATCAGCAAACAAAAAGAAAACATTTTTGGAAGACAACATTACAAAACTATCATGATATCTAAAGAGACAAACCTGAAGAGCAGCAAGACCCACCCGCCAATTATCTACTTGCCATCTAACTTGTTCCCCAGCACTAATAACCCGCTCCCTCTCCTCAAGACAGCTTGCAACATGATCCTAATATTTCATCCATTATACTGAGAAAAATAACACCTTGTACTAAACCAGAACAACCAAACAGGAATGTAAGAAGTTCCGGTCACCTTGCTTAGAACAAAGGGATGGCCAGCCCGACACAATATGGTCCTGCAATCACCAGCATTAGCCACAAAAAGCTTGTTTCCAACAATAAGAGCAGCTGCTGCAGTGCAACCGGGATGCCAGTCCTTCTGGATAACTCTCTTGGATTTACGAGAAAAATCCAGCTCAGCTCTAAACGCAATATCTGTCTTAATGAATGCTTCGAATAATGCACCACTTGGACTGCATCAAAGGATAAATCAATTATGGTCAAATAACACACACACACACGCACACACACATATATGCATAATGTTGAAAACGAAATGGAAACGGAAGAAACCTGCTAGTTGAACTTAAAGCTTGCAAGAATCCTGGAAACGCTCGAGCTGAAAATTCGGCAGCTGCTGCACCTGCATTTGGTAAATCCTTGTAGCATAACATTGGAATTTGGATGCGTTAAGAATTAGTAGGACTGAATCAACCGTGACACCAGTAAAAATCCTAAATACACAATTAGAATTAGATATATCACCGAAAATCACCTCTATGACCATCAAAGATACCAAAAGCATGTATGTCCCCTTGATGAAACATTTGGGGCAAAAGGAAATGAGTGTCCTCCATGGTCTCCCGTCTCCCACATGTAGCAAAGGATCCCCAAGAAAGTATTGGATTATATGCCAAGGGATCATTTGATGCAAGCCAGATTGCTGTACCAGGTTTAGGTAGACAAGCTCTTGTGATGAAATTTTCTCCCTGAGAAAACCAGTTAATACCCTCTTGGTAAGCTTGAAGGCTGCTAGCAACATAAACCGGCTGATCACCAAGAGAATTAGAAGATTTGGGAAAGACAATATCTGATTCTTTCATATTTTCTCCCTGTTCCAAAATTGTACCAAGTTCTGCAACTATGTCATCAAAAGAAGGTCTGTTTTGAGAATTTGCATCCCAACACCTCTCTATCAGTGACAACAAAGTAGATGGTGCACCAGATTCAGGACCAGCAAGAACAGGTCGCAATCCATCAGACACCACAGCTGCTGTTAGTTGCTGCTCAGTGTAGTTCATCTCCAGTACAGTGTGTGCCTGCCAGCAACACAAATATTACGCATCAGTCAGCTACCATGATCTTAAACAGTGATAAATTTGAAGAGTCAAATCCATAAAATAAAAGACCTATTCATATTAAGCTTCAAAATTTATGTTGTATAACAAACACAATTCCATCAAAAGATGCCACTCTGAAACCCAAGAAAATAGTATTGTCAGAACATATACATGAATCCATCGATAGATGATAAGGAATTTTACTAAATATAAAGGACGACTGTCAAACAAAAATATGTCATAGGATAGAAGCAAAGGCTTGACCAATGCATAGGAAGAAATTTTCAGGCACAGTAATGGATTGTTGGGCAGTTAGCAATACTCTTCCGTGTTGAAGTCAATATATAGAACATAAAGGCACCAGGACCAAATGGCTTAAAGGTATTTAAATAACTAAATAGCTAATTAGACATAGGTCTGTTATTAACATTTTTTTCTACAGAAGTACTGCATGTTTTCAGTATCCGATCCTTGAACTAGTTCATTAATAAAATAATAGAAAATAGAAGTCCTTAAATGCTTCTCACTATGATTAAATGGAATTTCAACTATCCAGTAACTTAAATTCCAAATACTAGTACAAATCATTAACAGTTATTATGCTCAAATGTCGTTTGTAAAAATCTTAACTCAATACACCTAGAGTTTCTACCTCCACCAAATTCCTTTAAATTCTACTAAATTCTAGATTGAAACTTTTCATCCACGAATAATGTGCCACATTTGCAACTGGAACATATAATGCGCCTTGCGGTGCCTCGTCGACAAGAAAAATATTTTAACCTTTCTGAATCTGGATGAAAGCTATTTCTAACCAATATTTGATTTCTACAATATTATTATTTCTGCATTTAACCATACTGAAAGCCAAAAAATAAACCGGAATTTTCAATACAATTCCCTCTTTTTATACGTAAAAATGCAAACATGTGTATTAGCAACAAGAATCATATGACACATCAATCAAACAATATATCAGCATCGTAAATCATAACACAAGTAAGCCAAATACAATTGAGAAAGGCTAACCTGGGCTTCCGCACGAAGATCAGTATATGGAACAACACCAGTAAGAAGCTCACTGCAAGAGGATCATCGTCAAATCACAAATTCATGGGAAAAAGAGCACAAAAACTGTAAACTGCATATTTTTCTATACAACAGTAGCATCAATAATGAATTACCAGTATAAATAGCATTTATCACAATGTTACTATTCACTATGATTCAACTACATCTATAATTCTAATTTTGCAGTACTATATTATAGTATCTTGCAAGAATGATCCTTGACTGTGAATTTATATATATTTACCATAATTATTCAAACGAAGTCTATGTATTTTTTTCGCACACGTCCAGACATGCATGCACCTAGTGAGACTCATAGGTGGAGTTGTATATCGGATCCTAAGTATGCTCCAGGTAAATGGTTATTACTTTCTACCAACTATTGGCACCTAGATGTTGAACGAGATACACACGCAAACAGGTTCTATTATAGACAAAAGGTCGAGTTCTGGAAATTGTAATTTCGTAGGAGGAAATATGGTTACATAGCGTAGCAAGAATTGGTCAGTGCAGAGACAGAATTTAGAGCCATAGCTCAAGAATCTGTGACAGCAGAGGGGCTTGATGAGCGAATCTTTCTTGAGAAACCAATGAAACTCTTCTGCGACAACAGATTAACATTGAACACAATCTGGTTAAAAATGAAAATACTAAGCATGTTGAGGTGGAGATACTTTATAAAGGAAAAATTGACATAAGAGATTATTTGCACTCATTCATGAAAACCGAAGATCAACTCATAGTCTAACAGATATCTTAACTAAGGCAGTGTCTAATAATGTTTTTCTATTCTACACTGAACAAGTTGGAAATAAAGATATCTTTGCACCAATTTGCGAGGAAGTGTAAATCCCTCCAATATTGGACAAAAAAAGACAGAAATTCATCCCCAAATTACTCTCTGAAGGAATCCTACTTCTGCGAAAAGGACTCTCCCTCTCCAATATATAGACAGCTCTTCACCTCAAGAAGAAAATCTAGCAAAGACCATTCAACATTATGATATCAATTTTACCTCTATTGAGATGTCTCAATTATACTCATTTTATTCACAGTAAGAGAGTGACTTGGGTTTAATTGGGATAGTATTGAAAGTGATTTAAAATAATTAATACCACAGCTACCCTGGTTCTAGGATTGCATGATCTTATTTTTCTTATTTCGATGTTGATCCAATCTTTAGCATCAACATACTTTATCAGCAACGTCAAAAGTCTGATTAGCATCTCCCCACAAGTTAAAGGTGCTAAGGTTAGGTACAAATACCATATAGAAACTTTGTCCATTAAAAATATTTAGGTTCCCTGAAAGGTCTTAAAGGTTCTAAGGCTCAATTCAAAAATCTATAACAAACAGCAAATAGCGTCACTTGAAAGAACACAACTTCAGTTACATTTGTCTTGTAGGCATAGATCTAGTAGAATAAAATTTGCTAGTTTTTAGCATAATCAAATCTTAAATCCTTACTTAATTGATATACCAAAGCTGTAGACATCTGATTTTTCTGTATGTATTTCCTTCTTTAGTATTTCAGGTGCCATGTAAATGAGAGTGCCAACCATGTTTTTTTTGTGGAAACCACCAGTAGGTTTTCCAGATGACCTCCAATTCCCAATAGAAACTCCTTTAAGATCTTTCTTGTACTCAGCCAAACCAAAGTCTGCTAAGTGTGGATAAAGATCTTTGTCCAGCTGCATCGTAAGGGTATGATATAAGTTAAATTCATCCAAAACAAGTCAAAAGAGGATTTCTGTTTGCTACAGAATAAGATAAAGGAAGGCATTTACAAGAATATTTGACGGTTTCACATCCCTATGTACAATCCCGAGGTGATGCAGATATTGCAAAGCCTTTGCTGGAAAAGGAAAACAATGTAAAATCATGCAACTAAATAATTTTGGAAACCTCGAAATGAAAATAGTAGTAAAAATAAAATGCCTGTTTCCGGCAATAAGCTGTTATAGCAAACTCATCACATAACACAAACATGATGTTACAGTACAACATCTTGCTGAACCATCATCAATTTATCCTATAGACCATCTTGCGGTTATCCTCCATTCTTAATTTCTATGGCCCCAAAACTAAAAATCCTAGCTCAACCCCTGCAGACACACACATACACATGCATGCACACCCAGAGTTATTTTAAGAAATATTCAGACACCCTTTGTGGTGAGGCTAGAAACCATAGACCTCTCAGAGGCTTAACATATACATGTGTATGTATGTTTATATGTATAAATCTGTATGTGTGTGTGTGTGTGTGTATTTATTGTGATACTTGATACCCAGGTGGTTCAATAAAGAGGGTAAAATGACAGAGCCCATTAAATCATAAAATCAAAATCACAATTATAACTTGCCCTTCCTACAAAATTAGTTCACACATTTCCTCTGTTAATGGTAGGGCTAAATACTAAGATGATCTGAACTCATAAAAACACTCAGAGAAAAACACAGAAGCAACTAAGTCATACCTAATTGGACAGCAACCGCAAGCACCTGATTGATATTCGGACTCCATTCTTCCATGTGTAATTTCTCAGATAAGTTCGGAGGCTCAAAGAATTCGAAGAAATACATGTAATTGGGTGGCTTTGCATGTGCGGCAACCAGTTTTGCTATTCCCGGATGATCAAGCTTACTTCAATGTTTATATATACTCGAATCATACACATAAATAGATTCATATGCATATACATACATATACAGAACTATATCCTCACAGCATTGAAACATGTAATGTGAATTATACATGAACCATAAACATACCATAGCAATTGCAACTCCTTGTGGAACTTATCAAGATCCTCAGAAGTAGACAAGATGGGTTTCTTCACAGCAACTTTCTTTCCATCCAAAATTGCTTCATATACAACACTCTCAGCCCCTACACACACAATCAGCACCAAAAAGCATACCGGAAAATAACCAATTAATCAATTAATTAGAAATCTCCAAAATAAAAGGCAAGTGGCGATAGGCATTAGGCATTAGCCAAACAGAGCCTTAGCTAGAGCCTGGACTGGAAAGAGGAAAAGGAGTGTGAGTTACCCCGGGCAATTGGTTTGAGGAGAGTGTAAGAGGAAGGTGGAAGATGGAGAGGAATGGAATTGCTGCTGCAGCAACCTCTAATGCACGCGTTTGGTTCCACAATTTCAAGCCCCATCTCTCCAAAACACACACACACACACTCTCTCTCTCTGGCGTTGTAAGTCGGTGTGGCGAAGAAGAAAGAAAGCAGCAGCGATTAAATTACGAAAAGGGAGTGTACGGGTGTTTTTTTTGTGGGAGGTCTGCTGTTAGGAATTTTCGTTCTGCTACCGTATGAAATTCATAGTACTGCGATATTTTGTTTTGTTTGAGTATGCATAAAGTTTATTTTCGTATCACTTTAATACATTCGTTAGTCTCACCATTATGTTTTTCGTTAAATGTGATGTTACCATGTGAACTCACCCATATTTTGGCACGTGGACTAAATAATAAAAATATATTTATTTAATTAATTAAATATTTACAAAATCTAACAAAACTTTTTTATTTTTTTTACACTTTCTGAATGCAACTCCCATCTATGTGGTTGAGGTCTCAGCGGGAAACTGGAGGTGGTGAATTTTTTTATTAAAAAAAAATCTATTTTAGGTTGAATTTGAAATTTTATAAAAAAGAAAGATTTAACAGAATTGACCGCATTAAGAAACATATACAAACACAATGAGGAAATGACCCAAACCTTTTTTTTCATTTTTTTAAAATAATTTAGTTTTCAATGATAATAATTAAACAAAAACTCAAATGGATGAAACTAAATTATGAAATTTGGTTTTTCGATGTGAAAGGAAGAGACAAAAAGTGATTGTGTGATGAGAGTGCAAGCCAGGCAGCACACTAAGGTATAGTGTCTCTGATCTGGGGTCTAGTATCCCCAATTTTTTGCTTTGCAAAGGTTGGGGGGACCTACTAACCCGAGGGTAGGGGTGTGCTTAATGCGACTTCACACAAGGTGAACAGCTCAAGACCATCATACCTCACCTAACAAGGCTTAGCTCAAACAACCAATCACTTTAATGCCCAGATTAGTTACAAAGCCCACGCTAGTAGACTCGGCAATATCTTAATGTTATGTAACCCTTTATAAGCATTTGTATTATTGAGTCTTTTTCCAATGTGGGACTTTACGATAATCATCATTATGGCACCCCAATAGTGATTTCAAAATCCACACTAGCAAATTCTCCAATATGAAATGGAGTGTTTCTTCTTAACAGTTGCTTTATTAATCATTAAATTGTCTATATAATTAATTAGTCGATGAATTGCAATCATTTATGTTTCAAAATTTCCATTATATCGTTTTGTGTCGGTGGAGTTAAGTTATGCGAACTTAAAACGGGCATCACAAAGAGGATTGCTTCCTTCCAAAAGCAAAGCATGTGCACAATTAAATGAGGAGAGAGTTAAGGCTTCAGGAGTTTGTGGTTTTGGGATTGGAAGAGCTGTAATAATTTTCAGCACACCCGAACTTTTGTATTCAAAAAAATAAAGTATTCTTCAAAATTATAATAGGGTTAGTTTAGCCGTACCCGTATAATTAAGAGGTAATTATTCTCAAATCCCTCATTTTGGTAGGAATATAATTCATATATACGGAATTTTTATGTACGACATGTCGTCGCCAATAAGCAAATAAAAATAATCAACATCAAAACAGAGAAATTCAGATTTAAACAAGAGAAAAAAAAAATCTCTTATAAGCATTCTATGATGATAACAAAGTAGTAAGTCATTATAAGCATTGATTGAGTGTTTTTTGACATGGGATTCTAAAAATTTTCTTCGACTGTGATAGTGCATCACCCTTCGATCTTAGGTAGCCCAACCCTATAAAATAACATCTAAAGAACTTATGCGCAAAAGCACTTCCATGTTGGTAGACTGAGTCACCAAGTGATTTTGCTAAAATCACTTCTATGGAAACAATCACAAAACCAGCTCTTGACACAGCTCCGTTCTCCTCCTTCCTTCAACTGGTCGATGTGGAACAATGGGTCAATACCCTGTCTTGAAGAAATCTGTGCTGTCTTTGTGCTTCAATGCAAGTACATCTAAATCCTCTCCGCAGCCTTCTGATCATCATAGGTATAATTCATCCAATAATTATAAAATAAATAAAATTAGAAACTGAACCAATTTGTTGATTTATTAATAAGTTGCAACAAATGAAAGAACATAAAATATATATATATAGTTGTTTTGGAAGTTGGGAGAGAAAGGAAGAGAAAGTGATTGTGTGATGAGACGCCAAGGCAGGCAGCACACTGAGGTGTAATGGCTCTTGATGTGTGGTTGAGGTCCAGTTTGTTTTTTTTTTTTTTTTTTTTTTTTTTTTTTTTTTTTTTCCCAACCAACCCCAATCAAATTTTCATAGAGTTTTGCGTTTGCTACCCACCCGTTTCGGTTGGGTGGCCCTACTTACCCAAGGGTAGAAGGCGTATTTTGTGCGACTTCACCGTAGTGAATGGTCCAAGAGCACCACACCTCATCTGACAAGGCTTTGTTCAAACAAACAATCTCTTTAATACCTTACTTACAGACCAACGCTACTAAGCTCGGCATAACAAATTATTACTTAAGTCATTATAAGCATTTATTATTGTGTGTTATTCCAGTGTGGGACTTTACCCCAATAGCAATATCAAAATCCTGACTAGAAAATTATCTTTCTAGTCTAGCTCTCGAGTATCTCTTCATTGAGAAAATTCCGTCAACCGGAAAATTCTCGAAACACCCAATAATACCTATATACTTATACCTACCACAATAGATAACCAAGTAGTAATCATAAACTCTTCAAGTTGCTTCATAACTTAATTGTTGTGTATTTAGGCAAGCAAAAGAGAAGCATTAATTTTACGAAGACATTAAAGCTTGACTATGATGTTTAAGTTGTCTGTACATGTGTGGACATCTATCAAAATGGACTCAGAGAAAAAAAAATTTGAAAATATCAGGAAAAAAATAAAAATAAATGACATATCCTCAACCAATGGCATCTCATATCGTGCACATATACATTACCAAATATAATTAGCTGCTCTTTTTGGCTGAAATTAGTGTAGAGAAAATTTGAACTCAATTGTGCAAAATATATGACTCCAAACAATCTCATTTCCTCAAAGCTATTTTTATTAGCTTCAAAATTAATATGAAATCATAACTATTACAGTGGAACATATTAATACATCCACTTGGAGGTTAAAATATAAACATAATAATAGCAAGAGAGCCAACAATAGCATGTATTTTCCAAATATTTATTCATAGTATAGAAAATAAACTCTCAAGCATATATTCCAAAAAACTAAAAAACAATTCAAATAGCAATCAAAACTTGTTTACACTTAATTTCCATAAAATACTAATACCACAATTAGAATAATAGACTTTCGTAAATAACCCGATCTCATCCAATCCATATACTTTAATAATAATCATAATAATACTAAATAATGATAAATAATAACCCTTAGAGATCCCATATATATCCTCATTAACCCATATTAAATAAATTTTCAATCAAAACTCATTATGCAAGAAATTCCATATTAGAAACGAAGTACAGTTAAAAACAAACGTCCACTCATTTATTAAATAATCATAGCCGAGACCCAAGACTCAACACAACCCATCGATCAAGTATCCCATGCTCATCTATTCCATAACTTCAATTATCAAATTAATATCTAAGAATTCCATAAGATACTATAAAACAATCTCGTAATCCCAACATAATCAACATAACTCAAATAACAATCAAGACTCGTTAATAAGGTCGTTCTAAGACTCCTCGAAGGGTGAAACTATCTCAAAAGGCTCACGGTCAACCGATGGGTTAAACTGGCCTCAATCGGGCCCATGGGGCCCATGACCTCCAATTTCTGATCTGAAAGTTCCTACGAGTTCAATAGGGTTTAACATACCTGTCCTGCAAGTTTGGTCCGAATCGAACAGTCGGATCACTCGCGATCACATGATCGGACGGTTACTATTTAACCTAATCTTTGAATTATTGTACCGAAGCATTCGGGGCTCCAATTCACGATCCGCGAATTCCTACACAATCCTAGAGGTGCCTAGATCAACATATATGAAAATGGAGCCGATCCAATGGTCCGAACATATTGAACCTGGATAACGCCTAATATGAGTAATCCGATTGACGATCAAACAATAACCAAAATCAAATCCGAGTATACTGTCGTGCTCAGGACGACATGAGGATCATTTTAGGACCAAATGGGTCACCCAAAAAGTGTCGACGCATCGGCAAGCGTGGGTGTCTAGAGAAATTCCAGTGACTGGAAATCTCCAAACCATCGGTCAAGACCTATACTTACATAATCAGGACAATAAGTAGAGCAATTTTTGTTCTTGCCCCATACTTGCCGGAAACACGAGCCGAAAACCGGCCAAACTTTAAGCGATAATTTGAGTTCCAAAATGCAGAAATTGATCCTAATCAACCCAATCATCAGCTAGAACACATTGAAAAGAATGAAAAAGCATACCTAGATCGAAGAAATTGGTGTCCAGAATTGCCGGAACGAGTGTCGGAATTTTTAAGTAAAAACCGTCGGTTTTTGACTTTTTCAGGCAATAGGTGCGGCGGATTGCGGCTGAGAAGGGGTGGGGTCAAAATATGGCGGCTGCAAAAACTGGGGGGGAGTTGTCGCGCGATGGGGAGCTCAGAGAGAGAGAGAGAGAGAGAGAGAGAGAGAGAGAGAGAAGCAAAAATCAGATTTTAAAAACCCCATTTCGAAATATTTATGGTTATGCCACTAGGCTTCTGTAGCTCGTAACTTCTTCGTTACTACTCCGATTTGAGCCCACTACATGTGTCCGGACTCAGATCGATGCGATCTACGTCATAATTCCATTCTTTTCCTCAAAATATTTCTGAAGTAAAAAGTGACCAAAATAACCCTATCTCCGAGGGCAAAATTGTAAATTTCCAATTCATTAAATTAAATGAATTTATGAAGATTAATTAATTGATTAAAATTGGATCGGGATGTTACAAGAGAAATCCATGATCATGAAAGAGACTACAGACACTCCAATGAAAATGCATATTTTTCTTTTCTTTCTAGTTTAGAAGAATGGTAATGACGAAAAGTTATTAATTTTCCCAACCCAGATAATGCAGAGCCATTTGGGATCTTTCTAGAATGAATATCTATAGCTGGTTCTGAATGGAAATCTTTCATATTTTCTTATTTCTTGGCAGTCCCAAAGAAGGTACTTGTTCCAATGATGAAAGCGTAACAGCATGAATCATGATCAAAGCATTTGGGATTACTAGTATCGGATTTGAACATAATCTCCAGTAAATTGCCACAGATAAGTAATTAACTTGTATTATTTTCCCCTGGAAAGGGTTGTGAAGGGTTAAGGATTTATTGTAAAGGGTTCCTCCATAAATCCCACTTAAAAGAGGTCAAGGATTCCTCCATAACCCCAAATTCCATAGTTTCATCGCTTTCTTAGTCTTCCCCTCTTGTCCATACTTGTAAGCAATGCATCCAATTCTTTTTCACTTTGTCCATTGCGTCAAGCTCTCACTTTTCGTTGCCTTGGCATAGAGTTTGTTTTTTTTTTTTTTTTTTTTTTTTTTTTTTTTTTTTGGTTGGGGAGGATGCTTCTATTTATATAACAAGCAAACATCGTATGTTATTAAGCTTTGGATCAGATGCTTCTAGGAAATTCTGCTTGGAATTACCTTCTCTTGAAGCAATGCTGCTTCGTTATCTTTTCCCTTGTCTATTTATAGCGTACAAAAACTCATAGTGGCTTTTCCATTTGAGTTCTCTGCTTATGCATTGCTTTCATATTTCTCATAATTCAGTTGTTTGTATTGCCTTCTCCTTGATTGCCCCATCCTCGTGATTTTTCATTCAACGTTACATTTCTCATAACAGTTGGTGGAGAAACTTACACTTACAAGGATATTAGAGGTACGTACATCTTGGAAATTTTCTGTCTTTGCACTATACGGTTGTTGGTTTTCCTCTGATACATTGAAAAAAGCACACACACACAAATTAGATAATTTGATATATGTATATAGATGCAAATAGTATATCGATATTGTGAAATATATATTTTTCATTGTCTTCGTACCTAAGAATTTCATGTGAAAAAACTAAAATAAGGTGTAGTATTAGGGTTCAGTTTTCCAACAATACCCTTGAATTTTTTAGTAAAAATTATTAATACTTTAAACAAATTTTTTCTCTTACAATACCTGGAAGAAAAAAAATAGATTCAATCCGAAGAAACCTTAGCAGCAAAACTCCGATGACCAAAAAACAAACATTGATAAAAGATTCATTTGCCTTGCATCATATAATTTCCATCGATTATTATTATTATTATTTTTGGAGCTATTTAAAAACACTAACAAAGTATACCCTTCACAACCATCAACGCCTAGTCAAAATAATTTCCATCGATTATTTTTCATGACAATTTTTTATAAATATTACAAATAGGAAATTTAGTTCTCTGTGTGAGTTTCCACGGATTGCTTAAGGTGATCCTCAGCTAATTTGAACTGGGTTTCCACTTTGACCACGGCTTTCACTATTGCCCGACGAAAGTCTATATTACCCCTAAAAGATAAACCATATACTAGGCAAAAATAAATAATTTAACAATAAAATTACTAAAATGCGACGTGTGAAGGAATTTAAGGATACATAATTTAATAATTTAATAATAACTGAATCCATGTATAATTAAATAATTTAATGAAGTTTGATAATTAACCCTAGTTAATTAACAACAACCTGATTTTTTTTTTTTGGATTGTTCTTCTTTGACTTGAAAATGTTATGTCGTTGTCTTCAAAAAAATAAAAAATAAAAAATAAAAAGATAAATGAATCTTTTATATGATAAATTCATTAATTAATGTGTCACGCTAGACTAGAGTATAAATCTATAGCCAAGTGTGTGATAAATAAAAGATAAATTAAAAGGGCATAAATTATGGATCATAATAAATTTCTCCTATAAAATAACTCCAAAATCTTACAAAAATACCATAAATAAATAAAGATTTATCATTCTCATATAATTCAACCTTAACTGGTTTAGTCATTGACTCTACCACTAATTCATCTAGGAAAAAAATTAAAAGGGTGAGGGATGATCAAACCACCGCTCAGAGAATAGATTATGTAATGTGCCCGTCAAGCAACGTTGTTTTACACACACTCAAAAAAAATTCATGAAAAGATACACCAATCAACATCATGTCAAATCATCACTTCTGATGCAGCGAAGCAGCAACAAGTTGTTGTCCAGCATCCCAAACAGTCCCAAAATATAGAGCATAGAAGGATAAAGCTATATAATAGAAGTTGGAACGAAGATAATTGAGTTCTAGAGGTCAAAAATCCCAAAAGCAACTCTATAGACTAAAGTTTGGAATTATATTCATAAAAAATTAAATACAAGAGTCTCTAAATAGCCTATTTACACGAGTAAAGCAGCCTAGCATTCCTATCCATGGTTTATTAAGAAAATCTAATTGACAAAGGAAATTAAACCAAATCCTACTAAGAATAGGAAAATGATTAACAAAGTAACTTATTAATTTGATATAGCTAAAACTTAGCCTTATTGGATGGTGATCCCACTTAGATTAGGAAAGTCTAAAAGATGCTCTTTCATCAACTCGACTAAGTTGGGAAGAATTTGTCCTCGAATTCCAATCTTTTGGTGAAAAATGCCCAAAGATAACCTCCGTTTAGATAAGTTGTCCACAGAACTTTGGCCGTGACATTGAACCTTCCCATTCCAAATAGATAGATATTTAGAATATTAGATCCTTCCTAGAACAGTACCAGTTATCTTCTGCAACCAATCTCTCAACCCAAAAACATTTCAATCCAAAAATCCAAAGGGTTGAGAAGGTCAACGAAGTTCTTAGCAATCTATAAATTAAAAGAATCAACACCAAGAAAATCAACATACTCAGAAGTATCTCCTTTTAAGGAATTCATCTCACCTCCAACAATTCCTCACGAATTTCTTGAATCAGTTTTCCTTCAAACGTGTGTTGATTGTGTTGCTTCAAAAGTTCAAATCCAACTTCCCCTTTGGTCCCTTGCCTTAAAGATAACACTAAATTCAACTTGTTTAGTCTCACCAAATACCCTGTCAAAAGCTTTCCCAACTCTCAAACAAACTTCTCAATCTTCTTCCAAACAACAGTCAAACATAGGAGGGTTATCTAAATTTAGGAGACAGTCAAACATAGGTCTCACCTCCTTGCTCTCAAATTCCAACTAATGGGCTCTCAAATGACCATTAACCTTGGCATCTTTGGGAGCATTGCATAATCCTCCTTGACCCAACTGCAAAGTACACTTTCTCCCATCCTTATATAATGAATAAGTGTTAGCTTTAGTAGAATGCATCATGTCTTTGTCAAGCAACCATGGTCTTCCTAATAGGATATGACATGCATCCATGGGACAACATCACACTAATCTTCATCCCTAACAGTATTGAAGTGACTGGTATCTTGTTTCCTTTTCAAAATCATGCAACCTTGTAAGGGTTAGGATGCTTCTCAATTGTAACTTTAGTTTTTTTATTGCCTCCTTCGAGATAACATTTTCACTACTTCCTCCATCAAGAATCACGTTGCACACATTTCTACCACAAAGGTGGTTTAGAATATATATGATGTGGACGCTAAAGACCCTCAATTTTTGGAGTTGTCATCACCCGCCTTACCACCAAAGATTCACCTCCAACCGGCAAAAGATTACTAACTTCCTCTTCATTGCCTTAAACATCATAAGTGGTTTTTAAAAACTGAATTTATCATCTTTAACCTCTGCCAAGTTTACTCTTCTTTGTGGGCAAGTGTAAGATAAATGCCTTGCCTCTCCACAATTGAAATATCAAACTTCTGAAGTACTCTCAGCCTTGAAATTTTTGACACCAGCGTTGTTTTGAGGATAAAATTTTCTCCCCTTTTTCACTCTTATCAGTACCCACCAACTTCCTACACCTTATTTTGGTACTTGGATTGGTTTTGTGATCACTTTGGACACTATGAAGAGCAGTTGTATTCTTTGCCAACCCATATTATCGCCTACTGCCACAACATGATACCTTTTTTTCTTCCATTAACGCATGTTGTCGAGCATCTTCTAGGTTGAACAAACGGACCACACCCGCCCCCATGTCATCGCTAATGGTCTTATTCAAACCTGAACGATAATGACATGTGTCCTCTTTTGATTACTATCTTTCAAACCAACTCGAATTGAGAGATTACCAAACTTTGATTTACATTCTTCAACGAACGTATCTCGTTGTTTTAAGCTATGAAACCTTTCATATAACTCCATAGTGTAATCAGCCGTTAAAAACTTCTTTCGTAACATTGCTTTCACATGTGTTGATCTTCTACTTCCCTTTTCAAGCATGTTGCTCTACACCTTATGATCTTCTTGTAAATTCTTTATTGTCTTTGAACTTAAACAGTAACCTTGGTCAGACATGGTTGTGGTGAAGGTATAGTAATCTTCTTTTCCTATGCAGTCCTTTAACTCTCTCTAGATGGGGTGAGATATCAATATGAGTGTGTCTTGATTGCTAGGGAAGGGACCTCTCTCTATATATACGCATTGCTTAAGTATTTTGCCCATCAAAGAACACTTAAACAAATCCTGATTGCACTATGATAGAATGTTTTAATCCATGTAGGACTAGGAATCCTCAAAGCCCTAGTTTTCTAATTAAACTGCACTTTAAACTAGAATTTCAGATATGCTCGAGTTCTGTTTCTTGATGAATACTAAACTGCAACTCCTTATGTGATTAGAAGACAATTCCAATATGGTTTAAGACAATGTAATGTCTTACAGTCTCCCACTTGGTCAAATAATCACAACAGTTAATTGCATTACACACTTTAAGGCCTTGTGAAACATAACTGAGCAAAATCCCTACTAAGCCACTGTCAATCAAGAACAACAAAGAATTATTGAAACTACTTGAACATCTATTAATTCAAAGTTCCTATAATTACATTTGAGATTCTTCAAAACCACATAAGGCTTTGATCAAGATTAAAACTGTTGAATGTTCATGACTAACCTGTCTGTGCTAATAGATGTCATGCTCATTCATAGTCCCCTAAATGACTGCCAATGTCTAGTTAAAATTGAACAAATGCCATGAATATACTGTACCATCGCAGCTACATCAATTGCTGGCTTTACTGCCTTATATGTATATTCAAGTATCAAACATAAGCAGTAAAATAACTGAACAAAATTCCACTTTATGAATCCTCAAACTTTTTGAATATCCATCGAAACCTTTACTAGTTAATCAAAATATAAATGATAAAACTCTAGTTAAAACAGAAACACTCCCACTGAAACTCCCACTAATTCAGCCACTCATATTTTCTGTCAATCCCATACTTTGAACATGAATATGAAAAACTGCAATTACCAGTCCTTTAGTAAGAGGATCTGCAGTCATATCTGTTGTATTGATGTGTTCCGAACCAGTGTACCCATCTCTTATCTTTTCTGGAAGCATTTGTCCTTTTGTTCCCCTTTGCAAACAAAATTGCTACACTGTTGTCATTCCATAGTTGTATAGGTCTATGTTAAGACTTAGCGACACTCAATCTAGTGATAAAATTCTTTAACCACATAGCTTGAGAAATAGCCTCATAAGAGGCGAAGAATTCTGCTAACATTGTGGATGCAACTGTGAGAAGCTGCTTGATACTTCTCCATGATACAGCAGCACATGCAAATATGAACACATACCGTGATGTTGATTTGAGATCATCCTTATAACCTACAAAATCAGCATATGCAAAACCTTCTAATTTCAAATTATTGCTTCTTCTTAAAACCAAATTGTAATCTTTGGTTCTCTGTAAATATCTCAACATTTTCTTGCCTGCAATCCTATGATCTTGTCCAGGATTAGATTGAAATCTACCTTGCACTCTAATAGGAAAGGCTATGTCAAGTCTAGTGCAGACTAGTGCATACATAAGATTGCCTACTAAGGAGGCATAAGGTTTGTCATTCATCTAAATTTTCCCTTATTCAGTCCTTGCTCAAATTGTCTACTTTTGAAATAGGCATATCAGTTCCACCACATCCTTGCATATTGAATCTCTGCAGTACCTTTTCTATATAATTCTTCTGTGATAATCCAAGAACCCATTTCTCTCGATTCCTGCTAATTTCAATTCCCAAAACATAGGATGCTTCACCAAGATCTGTCATTTCAAAATGTTTAGACAGGAATTCTTTATAGTTATATAACATTGATAAATCTGTGCATGCCAGTAAGATGTCATCCACATACAATACCAATATGATGAAATTCCTCCCACTCTTCTTCATGTAATTGCATTCATCCAATGAATTTTCTGTAAAAACCATATTGATTAACAAATTTGTCAAATTTGATATACCACTATCTAGAACTTGCTTAAGACCATCAATCGATTTACACAGTTTACATACTAGATTTTCTCCCTTCTCTTGAATGAAACCTTCGGGTTGTTTCATATATATTCCCTCTTGTAGATTTCCATTCAAGAATGCAGTCTTTACATCTATTCGATGTAAGTGTAAATCGAAATGTGCTACCAATGCCATGATTACTCTAAATGAGTCTTTAGTTGAAATTGGTGAATAGATTTCATTGTAATCTATCCCTTTCTTGTCGTGTGGATCCTTTGGCAACTAGTCTTGCCTTATATCCATCAATTTGTCCCTTAGGGTTTCTCTTGGTTTTGAAAACCCATTTGCAGGCTATAGGTTTGCAATTTTGTGGCAGGTTCACTAGTTCCCACACACCATCTTTCTCTATAGAGTTAATTATGATTTCATAGCTCCCCACCAATTTTCACTTTTCTCATTGGACATTGCTTGCATATAGTTCATGGGATCTTCAATTGCATTCACATCATGCTCAGATTCTTGTAAATATACATAGTAGTCATCAGGTAGTGCTCTTTTCCTTGGTCTTTGTGATCTTCCCAACTCTTTGTCCATTTGTTCATGGTTTTGTTCGGCTGGTTGATTTTCATTTGTTTTTTCTAGTGGCAGAACTTGCTGTTCTTGAGTTTCTTGGTCAAGTATCATTGGATCTCCAACTATTTCATATTCCTGTACAGATTGCGTGCTACTCAAGTCAAAGCTAGGTAACACTTGAATTTTGTTATTTGCATTAGAATTCATTGTGTCTCCATTTTCTATTATAACTTCATCAAAATCGAAATTCTCTTGTTCTGTTGCCTCATTTTTAGATTTTATAAGCACTGCTCTTTGAGTTTCTACAAATCTGGTTGTATTTTGAGGGCAGTAAAATCTGTAGCCTTTAGTTCTCTTTAGATAGCCAACAAAATAGCCACTGGCTGTTCTTGAATCCAACTTCTTTTCCATAGGATTGTATGATTTTGCTTCAACTTTACAGCCCCACACGCTGAGGTAATTCAAACTTGGTTTTCTTTTAACTCAAACTTCATAAGGGATAGCATTTACACGTTTAGTAGGTACTCTATTCAATATATAATTTTCCATTTTCAATGCTTCTCCTCATAATAACCTAACACTAACTTTGGTAAAAAATGGCTGTGGTGAAGGTGTAGAAATATTCTTCTCCTATGCAGTCCTTTAATTTTCTCTAGATGGGGGTGGGATATCAATATGAGTGTGTCTTGACTGATACGGAAGGGACCTCTATATAAATATATGCATTGCTTAAGTATTTTGCCCATAGAAGAACACTTAAACAAATCCTGATTGCACTAGGATAGAATGTTTTAATCCATGTGGGATTAGGAATCCTCAAAGCTCTAGTTTTCTAATTAAACTGCACTTTAAACTAGAATTGCAGATATTCTCGAGTTATGTTTCTTGATTAATACTAAACTGCAACTGCTTATGTGATTAGAAGACCATTCTAATATGGTTTATTACAATGTAATGTCTTACACTTCTACCATAGGTTTCCATTCTCTAGACTTGCCTCTGAATCTAAATAATCTCTGCATGCATATTTCCATAAAAATCAGCAACTTCAATTTTATTTCCTCCACCATTCAAACCCAATGCACGAACCAACTGCTCTTCCAATCCACCTCGATCACCATCACCATGGTTGCATTCCAGAATCTCCATATAGGCATCTGTGAAATTCTGTCTTTGGAGGGCTTGCACCACTCTCGACATATCTTCCATTATACGTTGCATCTCAGTCATCTATCTGTGTTGGGCTTAGTTCCCTTGTCTACAACCTCTACCATGACCAATCATGGTGTGGAGGAAGGATTTTCCTAGCCTCTGGTACCAATTTGATGCAGGGTAGGGTCTATAAGTTGTTGTCTAGTGAACCAACCAGTCCCAAAATACATATAATAAAATGATAAAGCTATAGAATAGAAGTTAGAATGTAGATAATTGAGTCCTAGGTAAAATATCCTAAAAGAAACTGTAGAGACTAAAGTCCGGAATTACATGCATAAAAAATTGAATACACGAGTCTCGTAATAACGTATTTATACTAGAGTAAAGCAGCCTAGCAATCTTATCCCTTGGTTTCATAAGAAAACTAGAAATTCAATATAGCTAGAAATTCAATATAGCTAAATCGTAGTAAGAATAGGAAAACGATTAACAAATTAACTTGTTAATTTAATATAGCCAAGACTTAGCCTATAAAACTTATTCCTTTTGGTTCCAATGGAGGCTAATAATAAAAAAAGGCATAGTCAAATAAAATAAAATTTTAATAGAAGTAATATAATCAACCTATGTATTTAATTTTCACATAATCAAAACCTTAATCCCTTTAAAGAAACATAATCTTCGGAAAGGCAATAAAAATTTAAGTACAAAAAATGTCTTTCATTTTGTTGTTTTTTAAGTACAAAAGATGTCACATTTAAGGCAGTAAAAATTTCGTTGATAATGGTAAAATTGTACAAAGTGTTCAAATAAATATAAAATATATGCAACATAAAATTTGCCAAAAACAGCCAATCCTATTTTTATATTGATCTATTTTTCATTGGACTTTGTACAGATTGGGAGACAATATACAGAGATAAGCATTTCATCCACGTGTCTTTGATCTCACAAGGAAATGGAGATTGTTATTTCAATTGCGTCCAAAATTGCAGAGTCCTTGGTGACACCAATAGGCAGAGAATTTGGCTATTTGATTTACTATGATACCAACATGAAAGATCTAAAGGATGAACTTAAACAGCTTTTTGAGATGAAAGATAGGGTGCAAGAATCGGTTAAAGCTGCCAAAAGGAATGGTGAAGTTATCAACTCTGATGTTCAAAGTTGGCTAACAAGTGTTGACGAGTTAATTCAGAAAGTGTTGCATTTTGAGGAAGAAGTCAGCATGAAAAGGCGATGCTTGTACCGGTGGAACATAAGTAGGAAAGCCACTAAGATTACACAAGATGTTCGTCATCTCCAAAAAGAAGAACATTCAATAATAATGTTGCCCATCCTGCACCTCCACCGATGATATGGTCAACATTCAAAGAAGGTTTTAAGGATTTTAAATCCAGAATGACATGTGTGAATAGCGTGATAGAGGTTTTGAAGAATGAAGAAGTTAGAATGATTGGGATTTGTGGTATGGGGGGTGTGGGTAAAACCACAATGGTGAAAGAAATCATCAAAAGATTGGCAGGATTGAAAGTATTCGATAATGTTGTGATGGCAGTTGTGTCCCAAAGCCCAAGCATTCAAAAGATTCAATTAGAAATTGCAGAGGAGCTGGGGTTTAAATATGACGAGAATACCGAAAGTGGAAGAGCGCGAAGGCTCTACGGAAGACTCATGGAAATAAATAAGATCCTCATTGTATTAGATGATGTGTGGACAGAGCTCGATTTTGAGGCTATTGGACTTCCTTATGGACCTCATAAAGGGTGCAAAGTTCTGTTGACCTCGCGAAACTTGGAAGTGTGCAATGCAATGGGAAGTCAAGAAATTTTTACAATCCCAGTTTTAACACCAGAGGAATCATGGGAACTCTTCCGTGAAATCGTAGGTAAACCCTTGGACTATCCTGATTTGGCAAAACGAGTCACGAATGAGTGTGCAGGTTTACCTATTGCAATTTTAACTGTTGCGAAAGCACTAGAAAATAAGAGGAAGCATGTATGGGATGATGCCCTCAAACAGCTACAAAGTTCAGCCCTTGGAAGCATCTCTTCGATGAATGACAAAGTTTATTCAAGCATACAATGGAGTTATGATAGATTGGAGAGTGATGAAGAGAAATCATGCCTTTTGCTTTGTTGTTTATTTCCTGAAGATTATGATATTCCAATTGAGTATTTGGTTAGATATGGGTGGGGTCGAGGGTATTTTAGTAACGCGGATTCGGTGGAAGAAGCAAGAAATAGAGTGCATTCTTTGATTGACAAACTTCAAAGAAGGTTTTTGTTGCTAGATGGCAAATCGGAAGAGCATACCAAGATGCATGACATAGTTCGTGATGTTGCCATACAAATGGCCTCAAGAGATCCACATAGATTTCTAATAAGATGTGATGCTGAAAAAACAGGGTGGCCAAAGATATACGACCATTACACAACAATCTCACTGATACCAATTAATATTGATGAGATCCCAGTTGGTCTGGATTGTCCAAAACTTGAGCTTCTACACTTAGAAGGCGAACGTTATTCGGAAAATAGCATGGACATCATGTGTAAAGGGATGAAAGAGCTGAAGGTTTTAGCATTGGTAGACATGGGTGGGATATCAGCCTTGCCGAGGTCACTAGGACTACTGAAGAGCCTTCGAACCTTGTCCCTAAATGGTTGTTATGATTTAATAGATATATCTGATGCTATTGGAAGATTGGAAAATTTAGAGATCCTCAGCTTTCGTAAATGCTCTAGAATCTTAGAGTTGCCGAAGGAAATTGGACTTCTTAAACATTTAAGGTTGTTAGATATCACGGATTGTGATCGTCTTGAGAAGATTCCACATGGTCTCTTATCGAGCTTATCTAGTCTTGAAGAGTTGTATATGGAAAATAGTTTTCGCAAATGGGAACAATCAGCTACAGAAAGCGAAGATAAGAGGATGGCAAGCCTTGTTGAGGTGATGTCTTTGTCTAATCATTTGAAGGGTTTTAGTCATAGAGATACCCGATTTCAACTTCTTTCCAAAAGACTTTTACTTGACAAGCCGGGCAACAATAAGATTCCACATATCCAACAGATTGTTTGCACGAGAGCTTTTTGGAGGTCAATCAAGTACTGGTTGTTATGCATTCGAAAATAAGTTGGAGATTTTTCGAAGTGATGCAACGGAATTCATGGAGATTCAAATTGTTCGTGTCTTATTTAAGAAATGTGAAGATTTAATCTTGGGAAGGATTAAGAATTTAAAGTATGTCCTCAATGAATTAGACCAAGAGGGATTGCAACACTTAAAAGTTTTAAGAATTCAGGACTGCCCTGAGATAGAATACCTTGTAAATGGAGCAAGTTGGACTCAACAAACAGCCTTCCCTCTCATCCAATCAATCCTACTCGTGTCGATGCCCAAGCTAAAAGCAATATGCCACGACCAACTTCCACAGAGCTCTTTTATCAACTTAAGATCTCTTGAATTACTATATTGCCCTGTTTTAAAATATGTATTTTCTCTATCAGTAGCAAGCAACTTGGTTCAACTCCAAAGCTTAAGTGTTGCCATTTGTCCCCAAATGAAAGAAATCGTCTCAAAGGAGGGGAGGGAACATGAGACGGCATCGGACATCGTAGCTTTCCCTAAATTAACAAAGTTGACATTCGAAGATCTATCTGATGAATTTGTTGGTTTCTACGAAGCCAACAATGAGGTATGTTACATATATAACTTATTATTTCGATGCTTGAATAGTATAATGTTTTGTTATTGTTTGTGCCTCAAATTTTTTATTTTTTTGGTTTACTTGCCATGAGGCCTGAATTTAGTTTGACTATTATTTACTCATTTTCTTCCTATAAAACTGAAAATATTCTCATACTGATAAATGAGGAATCTAGTTTACTTGCCTTTACCAAAAATAAAAATAAAAAATAAAAAAATAAAAAATTGAGCATGTGCAGACCACAAATAAATAAATAAATAATTTAGTCCATTTCATATATTTATTTGTAAAAATTTTGGACTCATTTTTGTTAATGGTCTCATTACATAATATATTTAGAAATCTCAAACTATCTAAAGAAGCAACGAATTTAAGTTGGTTAAAACTTTCATTTTGTTTGACCTGAGATCACAAAGTCTAGCTTTTATGTGATTATTATTCTGCAAAGCAGAGGAGAGGTTTTGTCTGAACTTGAAGTAATTTAGAAACTGACTAGTCCTCCGATTAAAACTTGGTTTTATTAATATTTTAATATGAAGTCATATTGAAGTAATTTAAATAATAATAATTGAGCTTGTTATTAATTTCATTTTTGAATATACAAAATGTTTCTTTAAATATTTATTAATTAATGAATCTTTTCAGGTAACGGATGGGTCTAAGGATCAAAATGTGGTAGGAACTTCATATGATGAGCATCAACCTTCTAGAAGCTTTGAAAGAGCAGTATTTCCATCAAAGTGCATTTTATGGTTACAAAATCTAGAAGAAGTGAAACTACGAGAGGCCAATGTAGATGTGTTCTTTGATCTGAAAGGCCATATGGTTAGGGATGGGCAGGCAGTTCCAGCATTTTCTCATTTACAAAATTTGTACATATGGGATTCTACATGTCAACACCTTTGGAAGAACATTCCTTTTTTTTTTTTTTTTTTTTTTTTTTTTTTTTTTTTTTTTTTTTTTTTTTTTTTTTTTTTTTTTTTTTTTTTTTTTTTTTTTTTTTTTTTTTTTTTTTTTTTTTTTTTTTTTTTTTTTTTTTTTTTTTTTTTTTTTTTTTTTTTTTTTTTTTTTTTTTTTTTTTTTTTTTTTTTTTTTTTTTTTTTTTTTTTTTTTTTTTTTTTTTTTTTTTTTTTTTTTTTTTTTTTTTTTTTTTTTTTTTTTTTTTTTTTTTTTTTTTTTTTTTTTTTTTTTTTTTTTTTTTTTTTTTTTTTTTTTTTTTTTTTTTTTTTTTTTTTTTTTTTTTTTTTTTTTTTTTTTTTTTTTTTTTTTTTTTTTTTTTTTTTTTTTTTTTTTTTTTTTTTTTTTTACAACTACTACAAAAAGTGAAAAAAGACGACCACAAAAACACGACGGTCTAAGTGAAAACCGTCGTTGTTTTTTAAAAGACGACGGTTTTATAAAACCGCCGTGTAATAACACATTAGACAACTAAAAAATGGAGTTTCAAATGGCTGTTCCTAAAAACACGACGTACTTAATTAAAAAACCGACGTCTTATTGAAATAGGATTTTCAAGAGGTAAAATCATAGCCAACAAATAACGGCGGAAGTTATGAACCGACCGACGTAGAAAGTAAAGACGACGGTTTTCAAAAAAAGCCGTCGTTTTTACCCAGAAATTAACACGACCAAGTTTTCGTATAAGGCGACGTATAATTACAAATAAATCCACGGCGGTAAAATACAAAATACCGCCGTATTAAATTAATGTACAACTACGGCAAAGGTAAATATAACGACGTCTTTCTCGTATTTCTACGACGACATCTTTAAATCTTACCAAGTTGGGGTTTTCATATAACGACGTATTATAGAATTTAACGTCGTATTTGTCCACTTTATACGTCATACATTATATTTAAACCGTCGTCTGAATAAGAATTTTTTTTAACAATTTATTTCTTCGATTTTGTTATCCTACGTCGGTAGATCTACCTAACGACAAGAATTGAAATAACCACGACGGTTTATATAGAAAACCGCCGACATAATCAGATTATTCTGAGATCACAAGGGTTAGGAAATCTTACAAGATGGAACTCTGTTGCTCATCATAATCTTACCAGAAAGACAATATTTTAGAGGTTAATGATGTATGTGTATTTGTGTCTTTGAGATACACAAACGCACATACACATTAACATCCAAAAAATTGCTTCTGAAATTTGACGACGGCAGCCTCAGATTTGCAATCAGAGAGACAATTTTTTGGAAGTTGATGATATGTGTGCGTTTGTGTATCTACACAAACGCACGCACACATCAACATCCAAACAATTGCCTCCTAAAATTTCACGACGGCAGCCACAGATTTGCAATCAGAGAGACAATTTTTTGGAAGTGAATGATGTGTGTGCGTTTGTGTATCTACACAAACGCACACACACATTCACATCCAAACAATTGCCTCCTAAAACTTCACGACGGCAGCCACAGATTTGCAATCAGAGAGACAATTTATTGAAAATTGGTGATTTGCAATCAGCCACAGATAACCAACATTCAAACAATTGCCTCCCAAGAGATGAGGTGAGACAGAGAAAGGGGCAAGAAGAAGTTGAAACCCTAATCGAATACTAAAACTGAAAGAACCCGTGGAAAAAAACCCTATTTATAATTAAAAAACCAAATCCACGTCGGTTATATTACACATAACGACGTTTAACAAAAATAATCCTCGTCGGTAACAAATACATTACGTCGTTTTATTCTTACTTAAGACGACAAGAAACGACGACGGTATAACAAAAACAGTCGTTGTTTTATATTTTTATTTGATTTAAATCAGTCACCTAGAAAAGAAACTTTACAAATTCTAGAACATTAATTTCCTCGGGAAAAAAAACTATATCTATAAGGCACTGTTTTTGAAAAATAAACTATAAGAAAAAGGGGAAAAAATTATATTTATAATAAAAAAATAAAATCCACGTCGGTTATATTACACATAACGACGTTTAAAAACGAATCCACGTCGTGAAAAAATAATACGTCGTTTTAGTTTAGTGTTATCCACGTCGGTATATTACAATAAAACGACGTATATTATAAAAATAAACGTCGTAAATTTAAAACAACCGTCGTGTTAAATATTTCTACCATGACGCGAGATATTGAGTTATCGACTTTTATTTAGGAGTTTACTACGGCGGTACCTACAACACTACTGTCGTATTTATGTACCACGTCATAAGTTCAAATTAGCGTCGTAGTTTGTCTATTAATACGTCGTCGTTCTATGTAAACCGCCGTCTTATTACTATGAAACGGTTTGTATACATATACAACTTTTCGTCTACCTGACTTACACATGCACTGTTTCCAAACCCGAGAAAAACATTTCAATCTCCCAGAGAAAACTTTTCGTCTTTTTTCCTTGTCAGAGCACTGTCAGAGTATCTCATCGTCTTCCTCTTGTCTTCGTCGTCGCCTCTGAACTTAAACACCAAAATCCGAGAGAAAGCTTTCATTGCACGCAAAAGGTAAGCTTTCATTTCTCACTATTTTTGTTGCTATTTTGCATGCTCATACTGTTTTTGTTTTGAAAATCTTTTTACCTTTTTTCTGGCGAAAATCATTTTTATTCTTTCCAAGTTTGATAAAATACACAGACAGAGAGGGAAAGTTTCAACTTTGAACACAACTAATTCAACTAAATAAGACGACGGTAGCTTTTTATTTACGTGGTTAAATATGTAGACCACGACGGTTCGTCAGTCGTCCTAGCGTCGTCTTAAAATTGATCTAAGTTGTTTTTAAAATGACGGTCAATTTTTTATTTGCTTGTTTAGTTGCAGGTTTGATTTCTCTGAACCATGGTTTTCGTTTTTCCTAATTTGATAAAATACAGAGACAAAGAAAGTAGGGTTTGGTATCTTATATAGACGACGGTATCTTATTATTGACGCCGTGTGAATGTTCATACCACGACGTTATACTAAGATACCGTCGTCTATAAAAAGATGCCAAAGCTTTTTTTCTTTGTATTTTATCAAATTAGGAAAAACAAAAACCATGTTTCAGAGAAATGAAACCTGCAATCAAACATTCACAAAGAAAGAAAAATGTTTTTGGTTTCTTATAAATACGACGGTAGCTTATTATTCACGTCGTGTGAATATCCATAACACGACGTTATATTAATATTTACGTCGTGTTAATATGAATATCACGACGTCGTGTAAATATCGCCGTAATAAGTTCTTATTACGTCTTATTTAATATTGTTTCGTCGTTGTTTAAACATTTATATTGTTCTTCTTTAATCATTTATTACGTCTGATGTTATGTTATTACGTCGTGTAAAATCTTATCATACGTCGTAGTTTATAAATAACCGTCGTTTGTGTTCTAATTTTTTTCACGAAATATTTTCACTTGCAGGTTTGTTTATTCTGTAACCATGGTTTCTCAAGACCAAAGTAAGTACTCTGGCTCCAAAAAAAATGGAGGTAAGGAGCTTGGAATGGTAACTCCTCAAGACAAGCCCTTGAAGAAGATGAAGTTTGTTTCATCTGCTGAGAAAGAACCAAGCAGCACGACAACAATTTCTGAGGATTCAAAGTCAGGTCGAGGTATGAGCACAATGCCTCGTGTTGTGAAGAGAAAATTGCAGAAAATCAAGCCAGTTGTTGAGTACAATAAAAGGGGGAAAGGATGTGGCCCTGCACATACTGAGATGCAGTCCTACATTGGTGTGTTGGCACGCTCCAGAGTCCCACTTGTGGACAAGAAATGGGCTGACATCCCCAATGATATAAAGGAGCAGATTTGGGAAGCCGTTGACATGGCTTTTGTGGTAGGTCAAGGGGGCAAGACCTCGGTGTTATCTTCTGCTGCCAAGAAATGGAAGGATTTCAAGTCTACACTGACGAGGCATTATATCCTTCCATACATCAAGGAGAGGGAGAAATTAAGCCAACCCCCTGAAGTATATAAATTCATAGAGAAAGCAGAATGGGATGCCTTTGTAGCTTCAAGGTTATCCAAAGACTTTGAGTCTGTGCATTCTCAACATGCACAGATTAGGGAGAAACTTGAGTACAATCATCGATTGTCTCGAAAAGGATATGCTGGTTTGGAGGATCAATTGGAGGAAACCATGCCTGGGGTAGAAATTGATCGATCTACCTTATGGAAGAAAGCTAGACAGGACAAACATGGTAACATCCCGGATCCAAAGGTGGCAGAGAAAGCAAAATTAATTGTAAGCCTACACACTCTGTTTTAAATTTTTATTAAACTGTGTATAATTCTTATTACGTCTTATGTTATATTTTTCCGTCGTGTGAATGATTTTACTACGTCGAAATATTTTAAAAAACGTCGTGAAAGATCTAAATCTGGAATCACAACTCTGTTTTCTGTAATTATAGCATAAGACGTCGGTGGTTAATTTTTTCCGTCGTGTTAATGTTATTACTACGTCGAAATGTTTTCAAAAACGTCGTGAAAGATCTAAATCTGGAATCACAACTCTGTTTTCTGTAATTACAGCATAAGACGTCGGTGGTTTATTTATTGCGTCGTTTTAAACAACTAACCACGTCGGTTTTAATTAACGTCGTTATAAATATATTATAACGTCGATTTCTATATTGGTGCGTCGTGTGAAATTATATAATGCGTCGTTTGTTTATAAATAACCGTCGTGTATTTTCTTGTGCTGACTTTTTTTTATGTCTTTGTTTTAGGATGAATTGCAAAAACAAGTGGCTGAAGGCAGTCTGAGTTTAACTGGCAGTAATGATGTGTTGACCTTGGCTTTGGGTCCCGAGCATCCAGGGAGAGTAAGAGGGGTAGGTGCTGGGATTTCCCCTAGGCAATTCTTCAATTTACCTAGACCACAAAGGGTAAAGTTTGCTGATCAATTGAAGGAAAGTGTAAGAATTGTCCTTCAAGAAGAGACTAAGAAGATGGAAGCTAGAACCAAACAATTAGTAGAGGCTGAGAGGGAACATTTACTAAGTCAGCTTTCCCACCTCATCCCCAATTTTGATCCAAGCATGCTTAAACCGAAAACTAGCCCCTGTCAAAACCAAGGTCTACAGCAAAGTCCCAAAATCCAATGTCTGATAAAGCAAGCTGTTCTGGGGCTGAAGTGAGATCCCTACATTTAGAGGATGATACTGCCAGAAATGGGGAACAGCAGGAACAAACGGTAACATAACTGAACTTTGAATTCTCTGTTTTTTTTTAACATTAGACGTCGTTATTATGAATAAACCCGTCGTTTTAAAACCATACCACGACGATTTTATAAATAACCCGTCGTGTTTATTTAAATACCACGTCGTATTTAGTTTACTTGTTTTACACGCCATTAGACGTCGTACTTTGTGGCTTTTAGACGACGGTTTTTGTCCTCAACGACGTGATATAAAATTACCACGACGTTTATTATTTACCATCGTTTAATAATTTTAAGACGTCCATAATTCTTACATACCGTCTTATGTTATGCCTTACCACGACGTTTTGGTTTAATTTTTTTACTCTCTGTACAATCTGTCTTATATATATATTTCTTTATTATTTAAAACAGAAATCTGGGGCTTTAGATAATCAAGATGAAGAGAAGAAAGAAGAAAATAAAGATGAACAGAAGATGGGAGAAAAAAAAGATGAAGGGAAGAAGGAAGAAAAAAAGAGAATAAAGATGAAGGCAAAGAGGAAGACACAAATGTTGAAGAGAAGAAAGAAGAAAAACAAGATGAAGAAAAGCATGACGAGGAGGTATATTCTCATAACTTTGCCTTTTTAATTTGTTTTTCACATTTCAGACGTCGATATTTTTCTTTAAACCGTCGTTTGTTTTCACATTAGACGTCGGAATTTATTTTCTACGACGTAATAAATAATCTAAAACGACGGTATTTAATTACCGTCGTTTAAATTATAATCAGACGACGTTTTTTAATTTAAACCGTCGTTTTTAATGAATTACCACGTCATTTATTTTGCTTTATTTCTTTAAACAGGGTAATGAAGTAGTTGATTATTCAAATGTGGAGGTGCCATCTTCCTTACAATCCCTTTGTGGTTATGTGGAAACTACACTAAAGCCACAGGGGAAGATCATGACCTTCAACATTGAGAAGGAGGTGTTTGGTGCAGATCGAAGTACCTTCGTCTTGCATGAAGATATTACACAGTTTGCAGGCATGGAAGAAATTGGGGCTACTGTGGTTGCAGTATATATGAGGTTTGTCCTAATCAAATATCAAACATTATATCATAAGACGTCGGTTGTTTAATTATTGCGTCGTTTTAAACCACTAACCACGTCGTTCTTTTTTACCGTCGTGATAAATTAGTTATCACGTCTGTTTCTATTTCAGTTCGTCGTGTGAAATTGTATAATACGTCGTTTGTGTATAAATAACCGTCGTTTGTTTTATATATTTAGGTGCTTATATGATCTTTTGAGAGAAGCAAATATGTGCAGCATGGTTGGCTTTATCGACCCTGCTCAAGTTAGTGCCAACGCTGGGTCACTAACTGACAGATCACGAATTGTAGCCAGTCGACTTCAGAAAACAGATGGTGAACAGATTTTCATGATGCCTTACAATCCAGGGTTAGTCTCCTTAAATGGATTTTGTTTGTATGATTTTCACTTATAAAACTGTTTAACTAATTCTGTGTCGTTTGAAACATCTAACCACGTCGGTTATTTATTTATACCATCGTTTGAAACAACTAACCACGTCGGTAGTTAATTCTCGTCGTGATAAATTTATAATCACGTCGATGATTAAGTTCTTACGTCGTGTGAAACTATATAATACGTCGGTTTTTATAAATAACCGTCGTTTTTTATTTTATTTTTGTGCAGCCGTCATTGGGTCTTGCTGATTGTGAGGGCAAAGAGGGAAACCGTCTATTTTCTGGATCCTCTGCCTGGAAATCGTGTGGTTGATGAGGAGGGCAAAAACATCGTGAACAGTGCTTTAAAAATTTATAATTCCCACATAGGCAGACCAGGCCGTAAAGCACCAATTTGGAAAACTCTGCCAGGCACACCAAAGCAACCCAGCAGTGTCGAATGCGGGTATTATGTCATGCGCTTCATGAGGGACATCATCATGGATCCTTCCTTGGAGTTTGAGAAGAAGGTAAGAAAAAAATTTTCAGAAACATTTTATTTGGTTTTTGTATTATCAACGACGGTCATTTAAAATTACCGTCGTTGAATCGATAGACTACGTCGGTTATAAAAAAAAACGTCGTCTGTGACTGAATTTCTTTTTATTTTGTAAAGCTTAATAATCGTTGTTTATGGATTGCAGTTTGCCAAGGGAAAAGATCAAGCGCCATACCCCCAAGCAGCCATTGATGAAGTCAGGAAAGAATGGGCAGAGTTTGTTTGCCTTCATATGGATTAGAGGATTTTTGGAACACTTGATATTTTTATATGTACTAATTTTGTCTATAATATATAATGTACAAATTTTGTCTATAATATACATCCTTTTTTTCCCTGAAAATTTGCAGAGGTTTTCATATTATAAAAGAAAAAACAATTTGCTGAGGTTTTCATATTATAAAAGAAAAAACAATTTGCTGAGGTTTTCATATTTTACACATATATAATTTATGGTTTTAAAGTTTAGGGTATTACTTTTAACGACGGTGATTGAGTCGTGGAATATTGAGTTTACGTCGTATGGTGAAAAATCCGACGTGGTTTCTTTTTAAACGACGTTTTGTTTACCTGTTAGTCGTTTATTATTGTTTACAACGTCGTTAGTTACTTAACCCCGCCGTGGTTTGTTGTTGATATAAGAATATTTTATTATTTTTAATTCAAAATTTTAAAAATAAATTTAAAATAAATTCAAAAAATTCAACTTCAACTCCTATGAAGTCATTGATATATTTTCTTCCCCCTAAACCCCAAAAAAATGCAGTTTGTGTAATAAAAGTTTAAAATGACCAACCAAAATAAAATTGTTTTATGAGTCATAGCATCACTTATATAGTTTGATGGTTTAGGGTTTAGGGTTTGGGGTTTAGGGTTGTTATTTATTAGGGTTTATGGTTAAAGTATAATTTTTGGGGTTTAGGGTTTATGCTTGTTATTTATTAGGATGTAAAACCATAAACAATTTTATAAAATTAAATTTTACAAATATATAATTTATGGTTTTAAAGTTTAGGGTATTACTTTTAACGACGGTGATTGAGTCGTGGAATATTGAGTTTACGTCGTATGGTGAAAAATCCGACGTGGTTTCTTTTTAAACGACGTTTTGTTTACCTGTTAGTCGTTTATTATTATTTACACGTCGTTAGTTACTTAACCCCGCCGTGGTTTGTTGTTGATAGAATATTTTATTATTTTTAATTCAAAATTTTAAAAATAAATTTAAAATAAATTCAAAAAATTCAACTTCAACTCCATGAAGTCATTGATATATTTTCTTCCCCCTAAACCCCAAAAAAATGCAGTTTGTGTAATAAAAGTTTAAAATGACCAACCAAAATAAAATTGTTTTTATGAGTCATAGCATCACTTATATAGTTTGATGGTTTAGGGTTTAGGGTTTGGGGTTTAGGGTTGTTATTTATTAGGGTTTATGGTTAAAGTATAATTTTTGGGGTTTAGGGTTTATGCTTGTTATTTATTAGGATGTAAAACCATAAACAATTTTATAAAATTAAATTTTACACATATATAATTTATGGTTTTAAAGTTTAGGGTATTACTTTTAACGACGGTGATTGAGTCGTGGAATATTGAGTTTACGTCGTATGGTGAAAAATCCGACGTGGTTTCTTTTTAAACGACGTTTTGTTTACCTGTTAGTCGTTTATTATTATTTACAACGTCGTTAGTTACTTAACCCCGCCGTGGTTTTTCATAGTTTTAACGCCTTTTTTGATTTTGCGTGGTACATAGTTTTACCACGACGTCCTTAATGTAATAAGCGTCATGTTTAATGTTAAATTTTAACGACGCTTGTTTTTCGGTCGATGTTTTAAAAAGCGCGCTTTCTTAAAATATTCGCGGGACCTAAAATTTTCAGATTTGGCTCTTATTTTTATACTTCTAACCCTGAACCCTAAAATTTTCTGATTTCGCGCAACATAACATTTCGCTCTCTCACTTCATCTCTAATTCAAAGTTGGGCCAGGCTGTGTCAAATCCAATTTGGTCATAATCTGTGAGCTCTGCCAACCTGTAAGTACAAACCCTCTCTTCCCCTTGTAAATTCATTGAATGATATATTACGTTGTTTTGTTAAAGGGTTTTAGGTATATGTTTTGCGATCTGTTAATAATGTTGTTGGAGGTATGGGTTCATGGATTTTCTGTTTAATGTTTTCTTGATCACTCTCTGTTATGTTGAATATGGAATGGATTTCATTTTGTCGGATCTTTTAATCACTCTCTGTTATGTTGAATTGGGAATGGATTTATTGTTTTCATGCTTAGTATATGTTGGTTTCATGTATATGTTGGTTTCTTGCTTGGTTTCATGTCTATGTTGTGTTCTTAATAGGGTTTTGGGATCTTGAAAATAAACTGGATATCGACGCGTTTTCAGGCATACGACGACGGTTTTTACTTTAAACCGTCGTTTTTATTACTTATACACGACGGTGTTATTTAACTACCGTCGTGGTTATAATTAGACGACGTAAAATCCGTCGTCTATATATGTCAAATACGTCTGTTTTTGTTTAAAAAACCGTCGTCTCTGTTGTATATTACTTGCTATTAGACTTTATATAATCTGCTATAGTGATGGTCATTGCTTGTCTTTTCACTTTATTATATATAATAGGGTATAGTGTCGGAGATGGATAAGTCATGGATGCACTCGGATAGAAGATCGAAGGCATATGAGTTAGGGGTGGAAGCATTTTTGAACTTTTCTGTAGAAAATCTTCTAACTACCACACATATCCGTTGTCCATGTGTTAAATGTGTTAATTTGAAATTGTTTGGGGTTGGAATTATAAGGGATCACTTATACTTTAATGGAGTTGACCAAAGCTATAAGAATTGGACATTTCACGGAGAACCTTGGGAAGCAGCTACTAATGCTAGTAGAAATGTTGAAGAAGATGATGACCATAGTAGGTACAGTTTTGTGTCTGAAGAAATAGAGATGGATGATAATGATTTTGGTGATTTTGGATCTGATCCTTATGAGTTTGCCAATGTGATTGGGGATGGAGATCAACCATTGTACCCTGGTTGTAGAAAGTACACGAAGTTATCGGCATTAGTGAAGTTGTATAATTTGAAGGCAAAATATGGGATGAGTGATGTCTGTTTTACAGAATTATTGATACTTCAAGGCGATTTGCTTCCAGAAGGAAATACAATACCGGCCTCTATGTATGAGGCAAAAAAGACTTTGTGTGCATTGGGGCTGAGTTATGAGAAAATGCACGCATGCCCCAATGATTGCATCTTGTATAGGAAGGAGTATGAGGATTTAACTCATTGTCCTAATTGTGGTATCTCAAGGTGGAAGGAAGGCAAAGATTCAATCTTGAAAGAGGGTGTGCCAGCGAAGGTGGTGTGGTATTTTCCTCCAATTCCAAGGTTTAAAAGGATGTTTCGATCACATGAGACCGCTAAGAGTTTGACTTGGCATGCTGCTAGAAAATCAATTGACGGTTATATGTCTCATCCAGCGGATTCCCCGTCTTGGAAACTTCTTGATGATAAATGGCCCGAGTTTGGTAATGAGCCGAGAAACTTGAGATTGGCTCTTTCATCTGATGGATTCAATCCCCACAGTTCTCTAAGTAGCAGATATAGTTGCTGGCCAGTTATCTTAGTTACATATAATCTCCCTCCATGGCTGTGCATGAAACGAAAGTTCATGATGTTGACCTTATTGATTTCCGGTCCTAAACAGCCCGGAAATGATATAGACGTCTACTTGGAGCCTTTGATTGATGATTTAAAATCTTTGTGGGATGGGATTGGAGGAGTGTATGATGCACATAATGGAGAATACTTTACACTCAGAGCTGCATTAATGTGGACAATTAATGATTTCCCCGCCTATGGAAACTTATCTGGTTGTGTTGTTAAAGGATATAAAGCTTGTCCAATATGCGGCGATGATACACCTAGTCACAGGTTGAAAAATGGCCACAAAATTTGTTACATTGGGCATAGAAAATGGTTACCGATCAATCATCCATATAGGAGGCAACGTGCAGCTTTTAATGGGAAACCTGAATATGGCACGCCTCCTGAGCCATTAACCGGAGAAGAAGTGCTGCATATGGTTGAAGATGGTGACAGAGTTTGTTGGAAGAAGAAATCAATATTCTTTGATCTCGAGTATTGGAAATACCTTCCTGTGAGGCATGTCCTAGATGTTATGCACATTGAGAAGAATGTTTGCGATAGTATCATTGGTCATTGCTGGGATCCCTGGAAAAAATAAAGATGGGATTGCTGCTCGATTAGATTATTGAACATGGGGGTCAAAACTGATTGGCAACCAGAGAGTATGGAGAAAGACGTACTCGTTTGCCTCCCGGGCCTTGGAATTTGTCAAGAGCAGAGAAGAGAGAGGTTTGCAATTCTTTCTATGGTATGAAGGTCCCTGAAGGTTATTCTTCAAATATAAAAAATCTTGTATCTTTACAAGATTCAAGACTTCTTGGCCTTAATCACATGATTGTCCAACCTTAATGCAACAATTGCTCCCGTGGCAATTCGTTCGTTTTGGAAAGCCTGCAAGGTATGCAATAACTCGTTTGTGCTTCTTCTTTCAATCTATTGTGCAAAGACGTTATGTTTCCAAGCTAGATAAGTTGGAAGAAGATGTAGTAGTTACTTTGTGTTTGCTTGAGAAGTACTTTCCCCCTTCATTCTTTGATATCATGGTTCATCTAGTAGTACATCTTGTCAGAGAAGTTCGTCTGTGTGGGCCAGTATATTTTAGATGGATGTATCCGTTTGAAAGATATATGAAAGTGCTAAAGGGGTATGTTCAGAATCGTACTCGTCCCGAAGGTTGCATTGCTGAGCGGATATAGCTGAAGAAGCTGTAGAGTTTTGTACCGAGCATTTATCTGATGTTAGTACAGTTGGAGTGCCTTCAAGCCAAAAGATGGGAGTTTCAAAGCCATTATCAGGTTGCACAGTGAGCGTAGTTGATCGGGACCTGTTGAACCAAGCACATCTATATGTCTTGGAGAATACGGAGGAAGTCCTACCTTATATCGAGTACGTATGAGTTTTATTCTTTAAGTTTCCATTTTAAATTATTTCTTATGTTTATCTTATATGTTTGGGACCGTAATACTTGAATTTTGTGTGTCATGTAGGCAACATATGATCCACATCCAGACCGCTTATCCAAAATTTAGAAAGAGAACAAAGTGGCTGCAGGATAAGCACAATAGCACTTTCATTCAATGGCTACGCTTCAAGGTCATATGTTATTGAATAACATATTGGACTTTTAATTTTCTTCTTTCTAGTTAGATTGAATTAATTAATGATTAATTTGCAGGTGCAAAGTGAACTTAATGAGGAAGACAATCATGGCGTATCAGAAAATTTAAGGTGGCTAGCAGCTGGTCCAAACATGGCAGTGCCATTATATAGGAGCTATCTCATTAAAGGTATTAAATTCAACATCAAGGCACAAGATGATGTGCGGACAACTCAAAATAGTGGAGTTTATTTACTTGCACATACTATGCAAGTTGCTAGTGCCAAGGATAAAAACCCAATTCTCTCAAATATGGGTTTCTATGGTGTCATTCAAGAAATTTGGGACCTTGACTACCAAAAGTTTACAATCCCAGTCTTTAGGTGTGATTGGATTGATAATACTTCTGGTCTTGTAGTGGACGAACTTGGATTTACCCTTGTAGATTTGAGTAAAATTGGACATAGGAATGACCAATTTGTTTTGGCTTCTCAAGTCAAACAAGTATTTTTTGTTGACGACCCGATGCATCGTGGTTGGTCGGTAGTGTTATCAATGCCTAATAGAGAATATAATGATGTTATTGGTGATGATGTCTTAGGTGATGTGAGAATTGAGTGTGAGCCATTTACTAGGGGGATGCCAAATGTTGACACATTTGATGAAGTGGTGGTTGAGTTAGGGAGTCAAAATATTCGAGATGGGTGTGAAGATATATGGGTTGAATGATGCTTTATGTAATTGGCAGTGTATGACATTAATTTTGTAATATATTGTAATGTGATTTCTTCACTTTCATTATACAGGTTTTGGCCACAAAACAATCAGTACAAAAATTACTGGTTCCAGATTACAAACACGACGGTTTTGATAAAGAACCGCCATGTAATTCAACATAACACGTCTCCAATCCCATAACACCGACGTCTAAAAGACGAGAACTTTAACCTGAACGTTACAAAAGACGACGTCGTCATGAATTTACCACGTCGCATGTTCTTTCATAAACGAAGTGGAAAAGGATGAATTCACGACGGTATTTGAAATCCATTAAATTTGTCGACGTTAAGATTTATGAATTAGACGACGTTAATTTTTTAATGAAGACGTATAAATTATTAAACACGACGGTCTTTTTCATGGTACCGACGTTGTATATAAACGACAACGTCGTCCTCATAAATTACTGTGTCGTAATTAATGACCCCATCATTTTTTCCACGTCGTTTATTTTCAAAATATGACGTATAAATTCTGTAATACGGCTCTCATTTATTTGGAACCGACGTTGTTTATTCATTTCAACGTCGTCTCAGTAAATACATACGTCGTAATTAATGAACCTGACATCTATTTCCACGTCATAATTCGTAGAAAAATCGAAGTGGAAAATTTATTTTACGACGGTATTTGAAGTCCATTAAACTTGTCGACGTTAAGATATATGCATTAGACGACGTCAATTTTTTAAATGAAGACGTATAAATTATTAAACACGACGGTCTTTTTCATGGTACCGACGTTGTATATAGACGACAACGTCGTCCTTATAAATTACTGTGTCGTAATTAATGACCCCATCATTTTTTCCACGTCGTTTATTTTCAAAATATGACGTATAAATTCTGTAATACGGCTCTCATTTATTTGAAACCGACGTTATTTATCCAATTCAACGTCGTCTCTGTAAATACATGCGTCGTAAGTAATGACCCTGACATCTATTTCCACGTCATAATTCATAGAAAAATCGAAGTGGAAAATTTATTTTACGACGGTTGTGGGAAATGTTGTGACGTAGTAGGTGTCAATAACGTCGTCTATTATGATTGTAAAGACGTCGTATTTATATTTGTCGTTAAATATTTATTTAACGGCGTTAAGTTTAAGTTCTCGTCGTTGTATGTTTATCTTGCGGCCATGTTCTGTTAATATATGTCATCTGTTTCCTTTTTAACGACGTTTTTTTGTTGGAGTTGGTCGTCTATTCTCATCCTCGACTGTTTTTTTTATGTCTTTTTGCAGCACAAAGACGTCGGTTTTTATTTTTTGATGACGTTTTTTGTTTTAACAACGACGGTTATTCACCGTCGTGGTTTGGTTATGGAAAAGATGTCGGTGGATTCCACGACCATTTGAAAACAGAATACACGACGGTGAATTCCCGTCGTGTTTTTCCTTTTTTGTAGTAGTGACCTTCCCTCGAGGTCTTGAATTTAAGGCCAGAGCTTAGCAATTATTTCATATTTCTATTCAATTTATGGGTTCTGTAAATAGATAATGAGGCAAACCACATAAGTATAATAATGCCTAATACGCTATAGTAACAAAATTACGGAAATTCTCCTATTCGAATGGTTGCCATTGTAAACAGAGAGGAAAGTAGGGAGGGGTAATACATAGCATCCGCATGGTAATAATTTCCAGACATTCTCATAGAGAATTTCTCTAGTTTTGTTAGTTTAAAATTATATTTTTAATATTAAATTTATCTTTGTATAATGTTTTCCACATTATCATAAGTTTTTTAGTACATATGAGGACTATTGCTAACCCTGACCCCCTTTCTCCCAACACACAATCCTAGAGCCATTTTCACTTTGAGAGGGGAGGAAGAACACTCCCAACAAAACTACGGAAATTCTCCTATTCAGATGTCTATATGTTATTACCGTATGGTTGCCATTGTAAACATAGAGGAAAATAGGGGGGGGGTAATACATGTTATCCGCACGGTAATAATTTCCAGACGTTCTCATAGAGAATTTCTCTAGTTTAGTTAGTTTAAAATTATTTTTAACATTAAATTTATCTTTGTATAATGTTTTCCACATTAGCATAAGTTTTTTTTAGTACATATGAGAACTATTGCTAACCCTGGCCCCCTCTCTCCCAACAAAAAATCCTAGAGCCGTTTTCACTTTGAGAGGGGGAGGAAGAACACTCCCTTCTTCTCTTGCTCCCTTTTCCTCTTCCCCCATTTTCAAGGACAGAAGGTTTTCCCAAGTTTTCTTTGTTTTGTTATGATTTTCCTTCAACCATCACAGGTGGCTGCGTCTCGACTTTGAATCTCCACCTGCTTTTTGGTGTCGGATCTCCACATGCATTTTGGCGTCAGATCTCCATCATCATCCTCTTTCTGGTTTCTTTCGATATTTCCTCAAAGATCATCTCTGCAAAAAAAAAAACTTGAATTCAAAATCATTTGATCATTTAATTAATGGTAGTTATTTTAGTGTTTTCTTGAAAACCCGTGTTCGTCTATTTTGTTGATCACAACTAGATGTCTAAATGATTTCAATTTATCTAATTTTTTTTGTAAGGATGATCTCTTAATAATGACATGAAAAATATATAATTTGAATTGTTGAAAAAAAAATTCGTAATTGACCTTGAAAGGTATTCTTATTTGAGGGATCCCGAGGTATCTTTAGGTTTGGTATTTATGTATGTTTGTGATCTTAAAAAGACCCTTAAAGGTATCCCTCAATAAAATTGTATGTATGCGTATGTTACATGTTCTTCACGTGTAATACGGATAAAGGGTCATTCGGAAAGAAATGTCCTTGAAATCCATGAAATTTGACCTGAAGGTTCCATCGGAAAAAAATCCCTTTGTCCCACCAGAAAAAGGTCCCTTCGGAATCAAAGAAAACAAGCATTTACACAATCCTGTGCTGAGAGAATAAGTAAAGAGGTACTTGTAGGTACGTTAGTTCTCTCTCTGGCATGGCTCGTTTCTTGCTCCATTGCGCAGATACACTATGCCACACTAATTGCAGGAACACATATTTGCTAGCCAATAAGAAGACGACACATGGAAAAGGAATAAGTAAATCTCCATTTCTATGTTTCACTTTCAACAATCTTACACTACTACATTTTACTATTTGCGCGACGAAACTTTCCGCGACAAAGGGAAATTCATTGCGCAAAACACACTCCAGCGATGGGAAAAAAAATTCGTCGTGCAAACAGACGAAATCTTGCGCGACGAAATATTTGGTTGCGCAAAGATGCTTTGCACGACAAACAATTGGATCGTCGCGCAAAGTGGGGAATAAAAACCCGGGAAATTTTTTTTTGGTGCCAAATATTTGGGCGACGAACTATATCGTCGCGCCAGAATATCTTGCGCGACGGTTTCAATTTTTGTCGCGTAAAAAAACTGAAATACGGATTTTTTGGCGGCAAATTATTGCGCGACGGGGATACGTTTCGTCGCGCAAAGTATGATGTCGGTACGTTCTCGGGTGACGGAAATTTGCGAATGCGCGACGCTGTTTAGAGTTTGCTCGACGACAGAGATCTTTTCGTCGTGCAAAAGTCCGATGTTGACAAGTTTTTGCGCGACGAAAAAATGTTATTTTATGTGACGAAAAAAATGTTTTGCGCGACAAAAATTGTGTTTCGTCACGCAAACTCCTTCTTCTACATATCTGGAATATGCCATTGCAGAGGCAGAAATAAATTTTTTTTAAAACTTCTCTCTGTGTGTGATGCACTGCTGCCTCTGCTGAGAATTCAATATGCTCATTGGGTAAATATTATTTGTCGTTTGTTTAAAAGTACTAATGTAAATTCGTACTAACGCTATTAATTTTGTTCTCATTATAGATATTTGTAATTTGCAATTGTGGAGAACGATTGAGAAGATATGTTATTCATTTTATATTAAATTAATTACATTATGTTGAACTTAGTTTGTTATATTTATATTTTTTGTTGTGAAATTATATTTATATTATGTTGTTAAATTGTGCGTGACGTAGCACAATGTGTTGTGATGTACGAAGTTAATTGAAATTAGCTTCGTACTTTTATTATTATTATTTTAGTAACACTTAGTTTCTCGTTCGAGATTAGTTGGATTTCGTGCATGGATGCGTAAAGCATGACTGCGTTCCAATTAATTTTTGAATTGTCCAATTATTTGGACAATTTGGTAATGCATAGTGTTGTCACGTAATCTATGGCTACAGGATTAGGTTTCGATTGTGGAGATTTCGGTGTCATCTCGGTATGTTCTTCAGGTGGTACGTAGGTATTTATACCTATGGCCACCTCAAGAACTGTATCGAGATGCTGACGAAATTCATCCACGTCGAAATCTAATCTCATGTAGCCGTAGGTTACGTGGCAGGACTATGCATTCCGAATGGGATAGAGCCCTTACCAGAGGCATAAGGTGACATTATAACTTCGTATGAAGTTGTTGTGATTGTTGTGTTGTGATGGTGGTTTTAGGAATTATGAGGAGAAGGTGGATACATAACCCGAATAGATGTGCAGACGAATACTTGGATGGAATCGAGGATTTTATTGAGTTTGCACGTAGACACAACCCGGGTGCAACTATAATCCGTTGTCCTTATAGGAGGTGTAACAATATGCTGTGGGAGACAATTGAAAATGTTGGATTTAATTTAGTAAGGAATGAAATGATTGAGACATATAGCATTTGGAACCTTCACGAGGAATAATTAGACCATGCTTCGTCTTCAAATTCCACAAGAGTGGACAATGTTGAACCTAATGTGGATCATAATGATCAAGTCATGGATAATATACAGGATGCTTTTCCATTTGCATCGACCACCATCAATCAAGAAGGGGAAGATGATGTGCCTACACCAATAGACAGTGCGGAGTTTGAACAATATGAAAAATTGTTAAAAAATGCCAACCAAGAGTAATACCCAGGGTGCGAGAGCTTTTCCGTTTTCACGGCCATTGTGGAGCTAATGCACGGAAAAATAAAGTATCTTATGTCGAACCTGTGTTTCGATTACTTTTTGGGGGTTTTCAAGAGAATGCTTCCGACGGACAATTGTTTGCCGAAAGACCATAGACAAGCGCAAAAGGTGTTGAATGGTCTTGGATTGAGTTATGAAAAAATCCATGCTTGCAAAAACAATTGCATGTTATTCTACGAAGAGTATGAAACATTGGATACATGCCATATATGCAAATAGTCGAGGTTCAAGATAACATCTCAGAATAGAACGACTAAGATCCCACAAAAAGTCATGCGTTATCTGCCCCTGAAACCTAGGCTACAACGATTATATATGTTGACTCATACTGCCACAGACATGAGATGGCATAAGGAAAAACGGGTAGACGACGAAGTGATGCGGCATCCTGCAAATGGGGAGGCATGGAAAGAGTTCGATCGAACATTCCCTGAGTTTGCTGCTGATCCCCGAAATGTTAGATTGGGACTTGCCACTGACATATTCAATCCGAACGGGGTTCTAAACCAACACCATAACACTTGGCCGATTTTCGTATTCCCATGTAATTTGCTGCCTTGGAAATGCATGAAAAAAGAATACATGATGATGACTGTTTTGATAACTAAGGATCCTGGCGGGTCAATCGATGTTTATTTAAGGCCGTTGGTTGATGAGCTCAAGGATTTATGGACAAACGGTGTGCGTACGTACGATAAAGCCACTGGGAAGATGTTCACTTTGCGGGCAGCAGTGATGTGGACTGTGAATGATTTTCCCGCATATGCAATGGTTTCTGGGTAGAGCACAAAAGGTTATATGGCATGCCCTGTATGCAAGGAAGATGTAACTTCTGGTTGGCACGCGAGAAAAGTTTGTTATCTTGGTCATCGAAGATGGTTGTCATGGAAAAGGATAAAGAGTTTGACGGGAACACAAAGCATCGCCTCAGACCTAGAGAATGGTCCGGTGATGAGATCTTTGAACAGCTTAACCGTTTGGATTTTTCTCCGTTCGGGAAAACAGTTACTCGGACCAGACCTTCTACACATTTGAACTGGATGCACAAGTCTATGTTTTTTGGGCTCCCATATTGGTCGAAACTAAAATTGAGGCACAATCTCGACGTTATGCATGTTGGGAAAATGTCTTTGACACATTGATGGGCACGATTCTAGATATCGAGGGTAAGACAAAGGACATGATCAAAGCTCGTCTTGATTTGGAAAGAATGGGCATACGAAGATGTTTATGGATGAACAGGGACGGTGATAAAGCTAGAAGGGATCTGGCATTTTTTTCCATGAAACTGAATGACAAAAAAGATTTTCTAAAGTTTGTATCGTCGGTAAAGTTTTCCGATGGGTATGCTTCTAATATCGTGCATTGCGTGAATGTTGACGGGAGTAAATTTACTGGACTAAAGAGCCATGACTGCCATGTGTTTATGCAACACCTACTTCCTGTGGGTATTCGACACATTTTGCCAGAAGATGTAGTGAAACCAATCATGTTGTCCAGATTTTTTTCCCAACTGACGGCAAAAACATTGCCAAAGACAGACATTAATCAGTTGCGCCATGACATTGTCCAATTCCTATGCAAGTTCGAGATGATATTCCCTCAAGCTTTCTTCACAAATATGATCCACGTGATAGTTCACTTGCCAAAAGAGACATTGCTCGTTGGTCCTGTCAACTATCGCAGAATGTATCCAATAGAAAGGTATATAATCCTCATAATTTGTTTATGCATCCTTATCTCACGCTCGCTAATTTGTATAATTTCTTTTTATTTTGCCAGGCTTCTCGAAGAGTTAAAAAAACTGTACGCAATAGGGCGAAGCCCGAAGGATCAATTATAGAGGCTTGGGTTCAATATGAGTCACTTACTTTCTGTGGAATGTATTTAAAAGATGTGGACACGGCTTTCAATCGTCCTCAGCGCAATAATGACGGAGGTCTGAGAAATGAGAAACTTTCTGTTTTTTCCCAAAGCGCACGACCCTTTGGAGATCCGGTACGAGGAGAGTCGTTTTCCAGAAATGACATGGAGGTAGTGCATTGGTTCGTACTTAACAATTGTGATGAGATAATGGCATACTTAGATGAGCATGAAGTGATGATGAAGCGAGAACATCCATCACATTTGTATGCCAAGAAACACTGTGATTTGTTTCCACAATGGTTTTTGGAATATGTAAGTTATAAGTGTTTTGTATTTGTTATATATATATATATATATATATATTGTATTATTTAATGTTATCAAACTAACATGTGAATTCATTTGTATAATATTAGGTGAATAAGTTGAAATCATCGAATTCACCCTCTTATAGTGAAGAGTTATATAACTTGGCGTTCGGCCCGATTCGCGCTGAATTATTCTCGGGTTGCCATGTTAACGGCGCCAAGTTTTTGGGGATTGCACGAGATGACAAGTTGTGTACGCAAAACAGCGGTGTCCATGTCCCAGGTGGTGGCGAAAGTACGGACATTGATTTCTATAGTAAACTCACAACTGTCGTGCAATTGCTTTACAAAGACCGATACCAAGTGATCATGTTTAAGTGTCGATGGTTTGATACAAACCCAAATAGGCAGGGAAGTGTTAAAATAGACCATGGCTTACTATCAGTGAACATTAACAGAACTTGGTATGATGACGACCCTTACATTTTGGCAAACATGGCAAGACAGATTGTGTATCTAGATGACCCTAAAGCCGGAAGCGGTTCAAAAGTTGCTCAGCAGATGGATTAGAGGAACGTGTATGCTATACCAGAACTAGACCCAACTGACAACGACGTCGACAACGTCACTGACCAACGGTTGGAATCTTCCATGGAAACTGATGCAGAAACACTTCGAGATACAAATGTTATACAAGACCCGTTTCAGCTTCAAAGAGTGTCTTCAATCGAAATACCGATTCAGTCAATTACAATTGACCTCGGTGATCTTCTAAGATACGAAGTTCCAGTGGGCCCGAACAACGAAAGTGATGAGGAGGAGGATTGGGAGACCGAAAGTGATGATAGCGAGGATAACGAAAGTTATTATAGTTCAGATGATGAATAATGCAATTCATTAGCGACTACCCATGATGATAAATGAAATTTGTTGTAATTTAATTATGGTAGTGTAAATATGGCAATCACAAATTAAAATCAAGTTGCACACAAAATTTGCAATCACAAATTAAATTACAACATATAATATATAAATTTAAATTTAGATATATACCTAAATTTGAAAACATATTTGAATCTGTCTATTTGATTTTCAATTGCCATTTATGAATATAAAAATTACGGTTTCTCTTTTTTGTGTTTAAAATCTTCAAATTGAATGAATACCACTTGTAGATGATTTTTTCATTTTTGGTTTTGTTTGAAGGATATTATAATATTAAACACTATTGTTATAAATTTATTGTATATTTCTCCATGTATATATATATATATATATATATATATACATATAATTTAATCACATATGTCTCAAGTTAAATTGATTTTATCATAATTGATGTTAACATTTTAATATAACTTACACCTTTGACCCAAAACAAGACTATATATATTTTTTCCAATAGTCTTAATTAATATACTCCTATGTTAAAATTAATCCATTGGAAAAAATTATATATTTTTGTAGAGAAAAACAATATATATTTTTTCTTTTTCCAATAGTCTTAAATTAATATACTTCTATGTTTAGCATATGAATATATGAGTACTGAAATAAAACATATATAAGACCTATAACAAAAAACAATGTAATTATAATTAAAATTTCAGAATTTTCGGAATTTCTGGCGGAATAACAACCTTGCGCGACGAAATTATTAAATATTCGTCGCGCAAAGTGCACATGAATCTATTAAATATTCGTCGCGCAATCTCATTTAGTCCTTTTACAAACCCGGAACACTTAGCAGAAATTTTTGCCAAAGGTTTGTGCGACGCACAATCTCTTCTACGTCGCGCAAAGTGCATAGAACAAAGACTTGCGCGACGAATTTATTAAATGTTCGTCGCGCAATCTCATTCAGTCCCTAAACCCTAAACCCTACTCCCCCCGGAACACTTAGTTGAAATTTGTTTTACCAGAGGTTTGCGTGACGCATAACTCTTCTACGTCGCGCAAAGGCCACATACCAAAGGTTTGTGCGACGAATCTATTAGATGTTCGTCGCGCAATCTCATTCAGTCCCTAAGCCCTAAACCCTAAACCCTACTCTCCCCTTGAACACTCAGTTGAAATTTGTTTTACCAGAGGTTTGCGTAACGCATAACTCTTCTACGTCGTGCAAAGGGCACAGACCAAAGGTTTGTGCGATGAATCTATTAGATGTTCGTCGCGCAATCTCATTCAGTCCATAAACCATAAACCCTAAACCCTACTCCCCCTGGAACACTTAGTTGAAATTTGTTTTACCAGAGGTTTGCGCGACGCATAACTCTTCTATGTCGTGCAAAGGGCACATACCAAAGGCTTGCGCGACGAATCTATAAAATGTTCGTCGCGCAATCTCATTCAGTCCTTTTAAAATTGTGTGAAATGTGTATAAAGTGATCAAAATAGGCAGGGATTACGTTCTATGTACATATACATGAAAATGTAAATAGTGTGATCGCATTTAGTTTCTCAAGTTTTAGTTACAAAGATAAACTAATTACATGTTTTATATACTATTTGAAACGTGTCTATCTATTTTTGGTTATAATGAGTATACATAAGAAGTAGACACATGCCTATATATATATTGAAAGTTTATTATATATACATATATTTGCATATAATATATACATATATATTGAGTATATATTACTTTATTAGGACCATGTATTTTTCGCCAATATGCTTCTTTGAATATAATATGTGTGGTTATTATAACCTAACAAAAATATAAATCATGATAATTAAGAATATATAACTTTAAGACTATATGTTTTTGACAAATATACTTGTTTGAATGTAACAAAAATGCATATGTGTTTGTTATATCCAAATATAGGGAGTCTAATACTATTCCATTTTGTACTCTATGCATGCATGTATTTTTTGTACTTTATAGGAAGTTTAAAATTTAAAAAATATATATATTTTTTAAAAAAAAACACTTACAAAAAAAGTATATTAAATGGGACCTAACAATTGTAGTATTCTAATTATCTAGAGCAAACATCAAGTTATATTTATACAAACCAAGATTAAACATATATTTAATTACATGAGACATAAACTCTCTCCCTATATATATTAATTAAAACATACATATAATTATAAGTAATATGTAATTTATAGGAAGTTTAAAATTAAAAATATATATATATATATATATATAAAAACCTTTGCCTTTTGTTGGTGAATAGGACAAAAATTAATTAAAAAGAGCAAAGGGCAATACAGTCATTTTACTGTGCTGCCTACTAGGACAGAAAAGAACAAAGAACATAAGTAGGGCAAAACAGTAATTTCACTATTCCTAAGCTACAGTGTATCATATTTCTGGCGGAATAACAACCTTGCGCGACAAAATAAAATATTGTTTGTCGCGCAAAGTGCACAGAACAAAGGCTTGCACGACGAATCTATTATATTTTCATTGCGCAATCTCATTCAGACCTTTCACTCTCTCCCCCCCCTGAACACTTGGTTGAAATTTTTTCCAGATGTTTGTCACAATCTTGCGCGACGCAAATCTTGACTTCGTCGAGCAAAATGATCATATCTTTCAATAAACCCTAAACCCAAAAATTTCTGGCGTCATAAGAAGCTTGCGCGACGGTTTTGCCCCTCGTCGCTCAAGGTCACCAAAATTTGGGCGGAAAACTACCTTGCGCGACTTTACTTTTTTGGTTCCGTCGTGCAAGGTTGATTAAAACGGACCTTGCGCGACGCACTGTACTCCTCGTCGCGCAAGGTCATCAAAATTTGGGCAGAATGTAATAAAAATTTGGACGGAATGTAATAATGAAGGACTTATTGAGAATCATGATAGTTGATGAAAACATGGAAGACACTGAATTCTCCAAGCAGAATGCCAAGGTTGCGCAAGCTTTCTTCGTATTCTCCTTTGGATATTTAGGCTATGAGTATGAATATGGAGGGTGATGGGTGATGGGTCGTCGGTGGTCCTTTGAACAATGACCTAAACTTCCTATTTATAAAACTCCTAGAAATCCTATCTAAGGTATAATTACAATTGTTATAAAAGTAGGATTCCTTCTAAAATAGAGTCTTCTTTATTTCTTCTTGTTTGACTTGATTAATCTCCAATCTTCATCTTCTTGCCCTTCTTAGCACACTTTCTCCTATTTCCACAATTCCTTCACAAATCTCACATAACCAATTAAAACAACCAATTTAATCCAAGGAAATTAACAAATAAATAAGTAAATGAGGCATAAAATATATATATAATATAGGCTTATCAGTGTGCCAAATTAGACTCAAACAAAAAGGGGAAGGAAGAAGAAAAAGTTTGCTCCAAAAGGACTTTTAATAGGCACTTATTATTACTCCCACAAGAGAACTTTCACTTCGGGTAATATAATGTATTGTAAGTTGCTGCTGGAGGTTGTCAAGTTTGAGTTCAGGGGTTGGTAAGAAGTAAACCAAAGACAGATGGAAAACAATAGTTTGCCTTTTTTGAAAATCTTATTAATTATAGCTCTGTTTTTGTACTTAGAATCAAAATGAGTAGGAATCAGAATAAAAGGGAATGGCAATGGGAAGTAATCAAACAAAGGCATTTCCACTAATCTGAATGAGGGATTTCTTGAGAATGATTCCCATTCCATGTAAGTAAGCGTAAAATTACAAATATTATATTAATCAGAAAGAGGTCTTACTTAGAAACCAAATAGAATGATATTTATGTACAGACTCGCTAGCATTATGTGTGTAGACTATGCACATGTATTTCATGCCTAATCTCATCTTCAGTATTACAAACAACTGTTTGGTTGAATAGTGCCAACAATCTTTCCATTTGCATTTGGCCCAATCAGGGACAGATTCAGGAATTGCAAATCGGGTGGGCTAAATTTACCTTAAGTACAAATGTATTAAGAAAATTTGGTGAATTTGGTGGATTTTGGTTGGGTTTTGTAGATTTTTAGGCTTGGACAATAGATTTTAGGAACTAAAAACTAGAGGTAACCCACAGGGGTCGCTAAATTTTTTTTTGGGGTAAATCATAAGCCCTAGTTTGTTATATTTTTATTTTATATTAGCATTTTTCAGTATATTTTCTTCATCGTATTTATAACTTTTTGTTATTATACGACATTTGAAATAGAGAAAATATTGGAATTATTGATAATATTGTTGAAATATTTGGAAGGGATTGAAGGGAAACAAAGAAAGAAAAAAGAAGAAGATATTTATAAGGAATTGAAGTTAAAAAAGAAAGTAATAATAAAATAAAAACATCCCATTTTGTGGGGCAGTGTACCTAACAAAATAAAAACACATCTCATCCCAACACATATCTCCCCCCTATCTCTTTTTATTATATTTTCTCGTCTTTTTTTTCCTCTCTCTCTCTCTCTCTCTCCCTCTCCCTCTTTCTTTATTCTTTTTCCTTCTTCCTCTCTTCTTCTTTTCTTTCTTCTCTCTCCGTCTGCTCCATCTCTCTGTTCTTTCTTCTTGCAGCTTTGGGATGGGCTATCTCCATTAAGTTTTTTTTTCTTCTTAAGAATACTATATGGTATTACAAATACAAAAAAATATTCGTATGGGCTGTAGCCCAGACAGCCCACTATGTGGATCTGTCCCTGGGCACAATGTGACTGAACCTCTTGATTATTGCAATGGCTGTAGCTGATGTTCCTTGAATGTTCCGATACACGACATTACTGACTCTCACACCTGATACCTATAATATTGAAACAAGATGAAATGTGCATTAGACATTTAGTCAAGACATACGTTTATGAATGAGTGCATGCTCAATTACTACGTAGGCAGTACGTAGTTTTGGTCTATTATGATAGGATTTTGGACATTTAACATTACGACATCAAGGAAATTGAGCACCTTGAACAAATCCGTTGCTCGGCCTTGCCCAAGACTTAATCCTCAAACCATTTTGACTACCCTTGAAAATTGCATTTTGAACTGTCACATTTTGGACCCCTTCCTCTTCCAAGTCTTTGGCTAAACTCCCTATGCTGTAATCACCACACCCATGTATGTATAAGCTAACTATAATATTAACTGTTACGAGGTTTTCATATGGAAGCAATGAAATATTCCAAGAGCTATAAAATCTGACCTAATGCCATGGCCAGGACCACAAGTTATTTGCTCGATCCACAAGTCCTTTGTTCCGGGGCCAATCGAGACACAATCATCTCCAGTTTTGATAGAGGTGTTGAAGATTGCAACATTTCTTGACAATTGGACATGGATGCCATCAGTGTTTGGGCTATTTCCAGCTGCATCGACTTTGATCCCTTTGATGCGAACATCTTGGCAGCCGTTTATCACAATGTGGAACATCTGGCTGTTCAATGAGATTAGTCCATCGACGTTAATGTTTTTGGAGTTCGTAAAACTCAGACTCTGCGTATCAGTGCGAACAAAAATATCAGAATTTAGGAAACAATAGAACATGAAGAGACTGGTAGGGTAAGGTAGACAACAAATTTAAACAAGATTTCACTTGATCGACAAGAAAGCATAAATTACTAACCGTGGCTCCTCCTTTGGGGCAATCAGTGCTTCCAGCTAACCTGCATGCCCACAAGGAGGTACCTTTAGTGTCAAGGGCACCTCCGATAATGGACACACCGGTTACTCCTTCGAAGCTTAGCCAGTTGTTAGCTTGGCCAAGGACTCAGTAATCAGACGAAGCTATCAATGTTCCATCAATTCGAAAAGTAATATCTGAGCTTTTGCAGTTATCACCTTTGAAAACCATAGCATTGGGAAGCAAATACCTCCCTTTTGGTACACGTATAGTAGTGGAATCAGAGGAGGCACATGCTGCAGTCCATACATCCAGAAAAGCTTGTGTCGAATCTATTACACCGTTAGGCTTGGCTCCAAAGCTTAGGACATTGAAAATTAATGTACTCTTAGCAACACATGATTGGTGTAGGATATATAGGATGAGTAGTGTTACTCTGCTAAAACAACTTGTTGTAACCTCAGCCATTTTCTCCTTTTCTAATTTTCCTTTCTGTTTGAGAGAGAGAGAGAGAGAGAGAGAGAGAGAGAGATTAAATTAAACCGATGACGTCGATGGTAACGAATGAAGTTGGGAACTGAGAGGTTGATGGAGAAAACTTGAACATTGTAGGGTACTTATACTCTTGATGATACATGCATGCAGTAAGTAATTAGGTTGATAAAAGGGATGTTTGTATATGATATTATATATACAGAGAGAGGTGGTGTAGGTTTAAAGAAAATATAGTTATGGTATATATGGATGCATATACATATGGAAAGCATATATGTATTAAGAAAGCATATGTGTGTTTTACTGTATATATAAGTAATATGGATGAATCAATTCATCCCAAGTGGGACACACCTTCCTGTCCTTAAATCCCTTCATGGCGACTCATTCCTCGGTGGAGTAACGCGAACGAGCATTTTGAAATCACTACTGGGGTATCCTAATGATGGCATAGGCTTATTGTAAAGTCCCACATTGAAAAAATACGCAATAATACGAATGCTTATAAGGACATATATGACATCTTGTAATTGCCGAGCCTAATAGCGTGAGCTTGTAACTAAGCAGGGCATTAAAGTGATTGGTTGTTTGAGCAAGCCTTATTAGGTGAGGTGTGGTGGTCTTGCACTGTTCACCTTGTGTGAAGTCACACAAAGCATGCCCCCTACCCTCGGGTTAGTAGGGCCACCCATCTTCAATGGGTGGGTAGCAAACCTCAACTTGGTATTAGATTGGGGTGTTAGGTACGAATACTAAACCTCACGGGTCAAGAGCCATCACACCCCAGCGTGCTGCCTAGCTTGGCCTCTCATCTCACAATCACTTTTTTGAGAAATTGGAAGTGGTCTCTCATTTTTGTTCAATAAAAATTGAGATAATGTCTATTTCTTTTTAATGCTGCCAAATCATCCTTCTTATTTATTGTTATTTTCCAGCAATATGTAGACTGTGTACAGTATTAATTAGGCTCCATTTGGATTGATTGATATGAAAGAAAAAATTTGGATTTGACAACAATTTGCTACAAAAACAAGAACTCAATTAGATTAAATGTATACGAACTAACTAGATGATAACACATATTCAAAATGGATTTGAAATAACTATATCCAAAGAATAATTTGAAATTCACTTGTTTTCTTTGTTTCTTTATAGTCCCAATCATGTCATTGATGTCCAAACAAACATGAATGGGTAGTCCCATTTGGTTCGAGAATTAGGGACTAAACTAACCAGATGATAATTTTGAAGAATACTAGTTTTTAAAACAATGTAAATTCGTTGTGTTTCCACATTCTTTTTCTAAATTAATCTTGATCATTGGAAAGAGCATGAATTCCAGCTTCACTATCCGGAGAAGAGCTAATGACAACTTGACAACCTCAATGTATCTAATCTTTTGTAATTGAATTTCTAGTAGTTAGATTTTGATGTACCTTTTGCCCAGGGATAATATAGCACTATAATTTTTGTTCACCTTCCCTCGAGGTCTCGAATTTAAGGCCAGAGCTTAGCAATTATTTCATATTTCTATTCAATTTATGGGTTCCGTAAATAGATAATGAGCCAAACCACATAAGTATAATAATGCCTAATACGCTATAGTAACAAAATTACGGAAATTCTCCTATTCGAATGGTTGCCATTGTAAACAGAGAGGAAAGTAGGGAGGGGTAATACATGGCATCCGCCCGGTAATAATTTCCAGACGTTCTCATAGAGAATTTCTCTAGTTTTGTTAGTTTAAAATTATATTTTTAATATTAAATTTATCTTTGTATAATGTTTTCCACATTATCATAAGTTTTTTAGTACATATGAGGACTATTGCTAACCCTGACCCCCCTTTCTCCCAACTCACAATCCTAGAGCCTTTTTCACTTTGAGAGGGGAGGAAGAACACTCCCAACAAAACTACGGAAATTCTCCTATTCAGATGTCTATACGTTATTACCGAGTGATTTGTCATTGTAAACATAGAGGAAAAGGGGGGGGGGGGGGGGTAATACATGATATCCGCACGGTAATAATTTCTAGACGTTCTCATAGAGAATTTCTCTAGTTTAGTTAGTTTAAAATTATTTTTAACATTAAATTTATCTTTGTATAATGTTTCCCACATTATCATAAGTTTTTTAGTACATATGAGGACTATTGCTAACCCTGGCCACCTCTCTCCCAACAAAAAATCCTAGAGCCATTTTCACTTTGAGAGGGGAGGAAGAACACTCCTTTATTCTCTTGCTCCCTTTCCTCTTCCCCCATTTTCAAAGACAAAAGGTTTTCCCTAGTTGTCTTCATTTTGTTATAATTTTCCTCCAACCATCACAGGCGGCTGCGTCTCGATGTTGAATCTCCACCTGCTTTTCGGTGCCGATTTCCACCTGCATTTTGGCATCAGATCTCCATCATCATCCTCTTTCTGGTTTCTTTCAATATTTCCTCAAAGATCATCTCTGCAAAAAAAAAAAAAAAAAAAAAAAAAAAAAAAAAAAAAAATCAAAATTCATTTGAATTAAATCATTCATCATTATTATGGTAGTTATTTTAGTGTTTTTTTGAAAATCCATATTCGTCTATTTTGTTGATTACAACTAGATGTCTAAATGATTTTCAATTTATCTAATTTTTTTGTAAGGATGATCTCTTAATAATGACATGAAAATAATTGTTGAAAAAAAAATTTGTAATGGACCCTGAAAGGTATCCTTATTTGAGGGATCCCGAGGTATCTTTAGGTTCGGTATTTATGTATATATGTTAGTGATATTAAAAAGACCCTTAATGGTATCCCTCAATAAAATTGTATGTATGTGTATGTTACATGTTCTTCACGTCATTTGGAAAGAAATGTCCTTGAAATCCATGAAATTCGACCCGGAGGTCCCATCCGAAAAAAATCCCTTCGTCCCACAGGAAAAAGGTCCCTTCGGAAGCAAAGAAAACAAGCATCTACACAATCCTGTGCGCGGCTCTTTTCTTGCTCCATTGCATAGATACACTATGCCACACTAATTGTGGGAATACATATTTTGCTAGCCAATAAGAAGACGACACGTGGAAAAGGAATAAGTAAATCTCCTTTTCTATGTTTCATTTTCAACTATCTCAATACTCTTGGTGCAGCATTACTAGAATACAGTTTGCTCATTTAATTTATTGTAAGTTCTTTCATTTATACTATTTTCTTCATATGCGCTTCCGTGCATGCGAGGTCTTTTTTAATCACACGAGACTTAAATTTTCCTTATATATATATATATATATAATGTTCAAATTTGTTTCCATGTTTGCAGGGCATGATTAGAAATCATTCTCCAGGAGTATGAAGATGACAAGCATACAGATTTATCTGTAGCCCGTGTTGAATTTTTCTTCATCCACTAAAATTGGCAAACCACTTGGAGAATTGTTATCAACTTTTATTCATCCACTAAATTTTTTCCAGCCCTAACGCAGTGTTGAAGCTTTTCTTTCTCCGATAAGATTTCTTCCTTTTTATGCCCGCTTTTCGTAGTTGTTTGAATGGTTTGGTCTTGTCTTGTCCACAGAAAATTTTCCGACACTAATGCAAATGGAGCTTTCTTTCACACTATCACAAGTGGCCTCTGAATTTTTGAAACATTCTCATTTTGAAATTATTTTCTTTCTCTGATATATAGCTTTTGTTTACTTTGTGTCATGGATTTATAGTGTGTGTGTCATTGTTTTTTTTTTTTTTTTTTTTTTTTGTTGAGAAGCAATATAATAATTAGTATTGAGAGTAAACCAAAACAGATTACAACTCAAAGAACAAGGAAAAAACCAAACCATGCAACAGAACAGAAGTGCATGTAAAGCCATAAACTCAAATAAAACTCATACAAGCGGCTACAAGAAAGAGGCCCACGAAATGGGAATGGTACAACAATCCAAAATCAGAGAGTCATGGCCATCTTGAAACAGCGCACGCTATGTGGAGGCTCGAGGAGGGCAGGGAAGACCATCACGATTTAAGATATGCACAAGAGAGGTGGGGGGCCTGGATACCCAGACTTCCGGACTCGACCTCGATAGTGCCAGCGACGCAAGGTGATCTGCCGCCTCATTGTTTTTCCTACCAGTCCATGCCCAGTTATAGTTTGAGAAGATGGAGTTGCATTCACGAATCCTTGATAGAAGTGGGTATAGATTCCATCTTCCACGTTTTATGTTTCCTTTCACGCTCTCAACCAGCTCTTTGGAGTCAGATTCAAAGCAAACCTCAGATAAGCCCAGCTCAAATGCCCATTTGCAACCTTCCAAACCAGCAATTGCCTTAGCCATGATCGCAGATTCCGCTTGAAAGGATAATCATTTCGCTCCCACGAACTCACCATTAGCATTTTGTGCAATAAGACCTGCTCCTGCTTTGCTAGAGGATGCCAACCAAGCATCATCAAAGTTAACTTTAATAACATGGGCATCCGAGGCTGTCCAAAAGGTAGGATTTGGAGAGGGTCCTTCGCAAAGCCTCCTCACATTCCTTTAGTTATTCAACGCAGCCAGCTCCTCCACTTGAGAAAGAATGGTTTTGATGGCCAAGAGAGGTTGTGGTTTGCATTGATCAAAGACAAAACGATTCCTTGATTTCCAAATAATCCAGCAATTAACAGCAATAATGCAAGATATGCGCCTTTTTTCCTCATATTGGAGCCCATTCGTGGTACATTTCAGCAACCATTGGTCAAAGGTGGTAATTCCCTGCTTGTCAATTTTATAATTAAGAGGGCCTCTAAACCAAATCAATTCGACCCACGGGCAAAAGAGGAGCAAATGCTCAATAGATTCCTCATGAGCTTGGCATATAGGACGTAATGGGGTTCGAGCAATTTTGTGTTTGTGGAGAGCCATCGCCGTAGGTAGCCTATCATGGGTCGCACGCCATAGGAAGTTTTTTTTTATCTTTGGCGAGACCTAAGCTTTCCAAATATTTTTCCACACCAAGGGGTCTATCCGTGATGAGGTGGAGGCTTTTCTGGCGGTGGTCTCAACCTGCAAGGCATGGATGCAATGGTACCCAGATCGCATAGAGAATCTGCCGTTCTTTTCCCCAGGCCACACTAATCTGCCTTCCTCCCTTCCATTCCCTATAGGGATAAGCTGGACAGCAAGTTTCTCCTCGTCAGTAATTGAAGCTTGAATCGGGGTAAGTTCCAAGATTTGGAATCCCAATTAATTAGAGTTTCCACCCTAGTGTTAGGATCAACTGAGGCTTGTAAGTGGGGGTGGAGTTTACCATCGTGAAGGGAGGGAATCCAACGGTCTGTCCAAATCTTTGTTTGTCTACCATTTAGAATTTGCCACCGAGCTTCCTGGAGAATGATCTTTCTTCCCTCAAGCAAGCTTGCCCAAGCCCAGGAAGCACGACTGCCTTTCTTTGCCTCCAAGAAACTACATTCCGGGAAATAACGAGCCTTCAAGAGTTGAGCCCATTTGGAATTCGGCTCCATGATTAATCTCCAACATTGTTTGGCTAGCAAGGCCAAATTGAAATCATTAAAATCTCTAAATCCCATGCCTCCCTGATTCTTTGGAAGCCCCAAAGTAGCCCAAATGATCCAATGCACTTTTGTCTCATCCTGTTTTTGACCCCACCAGAAACCTAGCAATCTCATGTTCCAGCTTTTGATAGAAGGATTTGGGGAACTTAAAAATTCCCATGGGGTAAGTTGGAACTGCCTGAGTGACTCATTTAATTAGAATGTCCCTTCCAGCTTGTGATAGCAAACCTTGCTTCCATCCTCCAATCTTTCACAGCAACCTTTCCTTCACAAAGTTCAGAGCCTCACTTTTTGACTTGCCCCAAAGAGTAGGCAAGCCTAGGTACTTTCCAGTATCCGTAACAATTGACATGCCTAGGATAGTTCACAGCTCTCTTTTCAAGTCATCGGGAGTGTTGGGACTGAAGAAAACACTAGATTTTCCCAAATTGATCTGTTGCCCCGAGGCTCTGCAGTACCCATTTAGAAGATTCATCATGTTGTGACAATTTTGAGCATTTGCCTTAAGAAACAATAAGGTATCGTCCGCGAAGAGTAAGTGAGAAATGATCGGGCCATTCCTACAAAAAGAGAGACCCTGCAATAGTTGTGCATCACAAGCTTTTTTTATTTATTAAGGAAGATAGAGCCTCACTTACAAAAAGGAACAAATATGGTGAAAGGGGATCGCCTTGACGAATCCCACGGGTAGACTTGAAATAGCTTCCTGGCTTGCCATTAATAACCAAAGCTAACTCCACAGATTTGACCAAGCTCATGATCAGCCTCACCCACTTATTAGCGAAGCCCAACTTCCTCATCATGGCCTCCAAAAAATTCCATTCGACCTGTCGTACACTTTATTCATATCCAGTTTCATGCCCAATGCATATAACTTGGTGGACTTTCTAAGCTTTAACAGATGGAAAGCCTCATGAGCAAGAAGGATATTGTCTTGTATTTGTCGGTTTGGGACAAAAGCATTTTGAGCAGGGGAAATTATCTCGGGAAGAAACTGTTTCAGTCTATTGCCCATCACTTTTGAGATAATTTTATAGGAATAATTACACAGGCTAATTGGGCGATACTGAGTAACAGATTCAGGATTTGGGACTTTGGGGATTAATACAATGTTGGTGTTGTTTAGGGTAGTGGGATTACAACTTTCAGCAAAAAAATCCTTCACAATGCCTTGAACCTCCCTGTGGATTATGTCCCAGTACTGCTGGTAGAAAATCCCATGATACCCGTCTGGCCCCAGGGCCTTAAGGGATCCCATTTGCATTGCTGCATCTTTAATTTCTTGAGAGGAGATTTCCTGTAATAATGTAGTGTTAATGTCCTCTGTAACAACAGGATCCACACAAGATAGAATATCCAAGTCATCCTCCACACACTCAGTTGAGAAAAGACCCTTAAAATGTTCCTCAATCACTCGTCTTGTAGCATTTTGCCCGGAGTACCACTGGCCATTATTCCCTTGGATTCGCAGAATACGGTGTTGTCGCCGTCGAGCAATGGTGGAGTGGTGCAAAAAAGTAGTATTCCTGTCTCCTTCATTGAGCCATTTTACTCGAGATCGCTGGTGCCAGTATGTCTCCTCCCTAGCCCAAGTCTCATTTAAGTTACTTGTGATCCTTTTGATCTCCTCATAGTTCTCCTCCCACCTTCCTTGTTTATTTCAAGCGACAAATTTTTTCAAAATTTTTGACAAAATGCGATGACAGAGACCAAAATGTGTGAGTCAAAAAATTAATGAGCATATTCATTTGAAGACTTTGGAAAAAAATAGTCCACAAGACTTTTTCCAACACTGTGAAGCTTTGCCTTTTTTTTCCCTTTAATGACATCTTCGCCTTTTTATTAACATTCAAAATTGTGTTTAGAGTTTTATACATCCACTACAATTTTTCCAACACCAAGACAATGGTGGGTTTTTTTTATTTTTCTCCGTGATATGAATTCTTTCTTTTATTCACACTTCCAAAATTGTTTGACCTTTTCACTTATCCATTATCCAACGAAGCTTAATTTTTTAAGTGCCTTCTGTATTTGATTTTTCTTGTATGCTTCTTTATATAAACGAAACTCTGTTTCTGATTTAGCAAAAAAAAGAAAAAAAAAAAAAAAGAAAAAAAAAAAAAAAAAAAGATTATATTTACCCATATTTTGTTTCAGTACCCATTTTTTTTTTGGAGTCCTATATAGTAGTGATAGTCCCCAAAAAAACACACTCGGTTTCTGATTCCATTGATTTCTGCAGCTGGGTTGGCTTACATGCAATTATTCCACCAAGTGGGCTGTGAGTAACCTTGCCTCGTGGGGGAAAATCCCTTTGTCCCATCGGAAGTGTAAATCCGGAAAAAGGAAAAGAGTCCCATCGGAAAGTCCCCCTCCCCGAGGAAAAGTCCCATCGGAAAAGGTCCCTCTGTCCCGTCGGAATAAGAGTCCCTCTCCTTCGGAATCAAAGAAAACAATCGGATTGTCCCTGTCCCCCATCGGGGGCAAAGAAAACAACAAATGTTCCTTCGGAAGCAAACTCGACCCGGAAGAGGAGATGGTGGAAGAGTCCCATCGGAAAGCAAAGAAAATAAATTGTGAGGGCACTCGGAAGGTGGCCTTTGAGTTGCAACCAAGAAGATTGATTCTATGGAAAAGATATATGGGGTTTGCTAAGAAACAAAATCAAAGTTTGGTCCGGGAAGAGACTAATCATGATGAGCAGCCGGCCTAGAGCTTGGCAATTATTTCATATTTCTATTCAATTCATGGGGTCAATAAAAAAATATGGTCAAAGTGGTTGGAGCTCAAACCACCTGCCAACAACATGTTAAGATGCTGAGATAGAGTTAGGCTTAATCTATGAAGGATAATTATCTTGGTGATTTATCTGAGTTCTCTGGCGTTCATAGTGTACTCAAGTGTCACTGGTTATGCCTATGTCACTCTGACTCTGTTTTTTCCCTTAGGCTGGATTAGCTCTTGGAGAGTTGCGAAAGGAAAATAATTTCCTAAGAAGCCTTTGGCTAGTAACTAACCCACTTTCAAGTCAAGAACATCTTTGACATCCTCAACTTTTACAAAAGCCTCTCCGCCCATTCCTTGCTCGAGAGTATTTTGACGATGTAGGAGTGTAAAACGTGATTCCATTAAGGACGTCATGTCCTTTTTGTAAAATGTTGTAGATTATGAATATATAGTGGGAAATGTGGAGTTTTTGTATTGCCATTGTATTGCTCCCTTATTGCATTTCTATTGTCATCATATTGCCGTTGTAGTGTTGTGGTAGCACTTATATTTGTTTCTTATCACCTGTTTTTTCAAGTCTGTCTTGTTAAGGAACTTATAAGGATATTTTGTAAAAGAAAACGCTTGATTGTGTAAGTTTATTTTGTAAAGGAAAATGCCAAATCATTATTCACTATCATATAAATAAGGTACAACAAGCACAGTATATGTATCTCTTCAATATGATTGATTTGTGTTCAGCTATTGGCGTAAGAATGTGATTCCATTATTGCTTTTTTATTGATTATTTATTATTGTAAGAATGTGATTCCATTAATGACGTCACGTCCTTTTTATAAATCAAACTCATAGTTGCTTTCCCTGCAACAAATTATATTAATTAAGAAAACCAACCAAAAAGCAATACAAAAGTAATGGCATATAGATTATGAAGTGGTAACAGACATGCAACACAAAAACAATATGACAGCAATAAAGTAACAATAGACAAGCAATAAAATACAATAAACAAGTTGGGGGCTTTTCTTTTTCTTGTGCAATCTGAAAAGAAAAGGGGAAAAAAAACAGAAATTGTCAAGACAAAACTGCAGAAAGAGACAGAAAGTGATTATATCAGACATTTCCCCTTACAATATTTTATATTGATAATGATAGCCACCCCAAGCTAAGGACGGCTAGGCATAAATTAATACAACTTCAGTCAGACTATGACATTATATATATATATATATATCCCTTGAAATACAATATACAAATTGCTGGCTCAAAGAAGAGTAACAAAATTTTGATTCCAAATCTAGCATTTTAGTACAATGCTGGAGGAAGTTGCAACAAATTGATGACTATAAGTCTGCGTCCATCTTGAAGATGAAATTCTTTCCACCATCTTGGAGGCCTGACATAATGCTCTTTGATAGTCACCCACCCTTCCCTAAAAAAAGTTTGTCTTTCCTTTGCAGAAAAAAGAAAGAAAAACCAAGATCAAGATCAATTGTCCTCCAAAAATATCACTTAATTCTGAAGGAACAAAACACTGTGTCCTGGTTACTGCAGATGTATTCTTAGGGCCAACCGTCTCCCATTCATCTTCTTCTGCAGAAGATACTAGAGATGATTTGAGGCCATTAATACTCAAGGGCTGTCCTTCAAGCTTAAGTAATTCATCATGCATCTGATCCATAATGAAGCTAAGGAACTCCTGGGCATCTTCTTGTCTGAAAAACAAAAATAGTTTCACTAGGCAACTTAAAATAGAAAGTAGAAAATAGACATGCTGCCATAAATATTTACACTAGATAGAGAAGAAACTAAACAATGCAAATTTAACCCTTTGGTAATTACTCTTGAAGTGTTCTAGGTTTCTTCTTTCCTTGGTCCATGAAAATATTGGTGAACTCAGAATAATACAGAAGATTGTTAACCTATTTGTTACAACATTTTACCGATCACAAGTTAACTTCCAAAATATCTCAGTCTAACCCATTATTTCACATTAAATGGGTTGCAACAGGTGTAATAAACCACAACCAGATAAATAAATTGGAAAAGAGTGTAGCATGTTTTCAGAAAATAAACAATTTAAGTGTAGACACTGTAACTGCAGGCATTTTAGTCATGAGCGATGTCAGGCAGTGGCACTTTTTCAAGCCATCAGACAAATTGTAAAGCATGAGAATTATCAATCAAGCCTAATAATACTGAAGGAAAACCATTACCAATCAATACAAGATTTATGAGAATCACAAAGTAACAAAATTGCACTACATGTCTGACCTTTCTTGTTTATGTGGAAATAATAGTGAAAAGATATTAATATAAGGACAGAAAGGAAACAGTGGATAAGGGATTTAAAAGAAAAAAAGTGGCAGCGAAGGACAACTTTTGTGACTACAAATAGATGCATGTGTCTAAAAAAATTTCCAATTTTCGTGCCTTACAATTTCAGCCAGCAATGCCATCAAGGATTAAATTTGCAATAAGAAGGCTCAACATAGAAATAAAAAAGACAAAAAGACAAAACCTAGAACAGAAAATTATTGACCCAGATCAGATACAAACCTTAGCCTGCCCAAGATGCTAGTTGGTACATCTGGAGTAAAATTTTTAAGAATGCCTTCAAACATGGCAGGGCTAAAAGGCCTACCAGTGTCAAGAACACTTGTATCTTTGTTCTTTGAACTTGAACCACTAGGCTCATCAAATTCAGAGACAAACTCTGCAAATGCACCCAATGTTGGATAGCCAACCTAATAAAATCAAATTCAAATGGACAACATATTAGTTAAGTGATTAGTCAGAAAAAGAACAAGCATTAGGCAAAGTAGCTTCCTATTTTCTGAGATCAGCAGTCTATATAAATTTTGTTATTTGCAAATAGCAATTCTACTAAAACCACGGAAATGCTAAGTAATCGAATAAACAAAAGAAACCTTAGGCACTTTGCGAGTTCTCAAGTCCTGCAGAAGCTGAACAAAAGGAGAACAGATGACAATCCTAGATGACAATATCAAATTGAGGCACTTCGTCATCCATAGAGCAAAATCAATCAGACCAATAGAAGTTTCATCCAAGCATGAAGTAATTCACAGTTAAAATACAGAAATTTCCAATATCTCTAATTACTACACTTCACAAAATCAGTCACAGGTTAGTGAAATTATCCTTCTCAAATGAAAACCGTACAAAAAGACAAACTAGTCAATAACAAATACAAAACCCACCTTAGAATCACTCGTTTGGCTCACAGAATCGAATTGGAAATCCCAGAAACACCTAAAGAAAAGCACGAATTTTGTTTGTGAGAGGATTGAGAATGAGGAGGAAGTAGGTGAAAAAAGTCGGAACTGAAACCAAGAATTAGGGTTTTTTGAGGCCCTGAAGGAGCAGAGGAGAAGAGACAGAAATCGATTGAAGACATGAAAAGAGAGGGAACTCTGAGACTGTTGAAGAGAGAGAGCATTTAACGAAGAAACCATCTCTTTCACCTTCAAGAACCCCCTCAACAAACCCTGACATTGACTGCATAGAGAGAACGAGAGAGTGCTGCTTAGGTTTTCGCGACAGAGGGAGAAAGAGAGTAGTGATGGTCAATGAGAGAAATCGCTGAGAGAGGAAGAGAGAACCGTTAGAAAGAGCTGAGAGTGAGACAGAGAGAGAAGTCAGAAGTGTTAGGTCGGCAATCAATGGCCAATAACTCCAAAATAGATATGTTTTTATATGGAGGGCACTTAGGTAATTTCACGTCCCCAAGTGATTATATCTGAATAGGATTTGTAACGTGATCATTTCAGAATTGAAGTTGTGAAACATGATTATATCAGTATATTTTTCCCTATTATATTTTGGGTTTTCCTCATTAAATATGGAAACTACCTTTCTATAAATATTAAAAATTAAATAAAAAACCAGAAACATTCCATTTGAATTGAGTTTCCTTAACCGCCTCCTCCTTCCTTCTCTATTAAACTCAATCGCAACCCCGACCTTCACTCTCATATTAAGATCTCCGAAAAACCCAAGTCACAGGTACTTTCTTCAACTTGAACAATCCAAGTTATGTTTTTTTGCGCTAGTTTTCTTTTCTTTTTTCTGTTTTTTCAAACCAAAGTTTTGCAACAAAGCTTCTACTTGTTTAGAGTCTCTAGATCCAATTAGATCTCTGCTATTATTTTCTTGGGTTCTTCTAATCTAAACATCAAATTTTTGTCTCTCTATGTTTTGTGGAATTATAGAAGATATGGTGGCCCCTCGAAGACGAAAGCCCCTCGAAAACCATCGTTGTTTTTTAAAAGACGACGGTTCTATAAAACCGCCGTGTGAGAACAACTTAAACACCTAAAAAATGGATATTTCAATGGTTGTTTCTAAAAAACGACACACCTAATTAAAAAACCGGCGTCTTATTGAAATACGATTTCCACAGAGTGAAATACGATTTCCGACGGTTCTATAAAACCGCCGTATAAGAACAACTTAAACACCTAAAAAATGGATATTCCAATGGTTGTTTCTAAAAAATGACACACCTAATTAAAAAACCAACGTCTTATTGAAATACGATTTCCGCAGAGTAAAATCTAAGCCAATAAAGAACGGCAAAAGGTATGACTAGACTGACTTAGAAAGTAAAGACGACGATGTCAAAAAAAGTCGCCTTTTTACTCAGAAATTAACACGACCAAGTTTTCGTATAAGGTGCCGTATAATTACAAATAAATCCACGGCGGTATAATACAAAATACCGCCGTATTAAATTAATGTACAACTACGGCAAAGATAAATTTATCGGTTTTCTTCTTGTATGAGTTCTAAGCAAGAAGAAGCTTAGAACTCATACTCAATGGACTCATCCAGGTTGTACAGGTATTGGTCTGGGGAAATTGGCTCGGGTTGGAGGTTGATAGGGTGGTGGGTTGTTGTTGGAGAGAGAGGAGAGAAGGGTAGTAGAGATTAGTGCATGTGGTAGGGTTTTGTTCCATATCTATAACGAGTTATTTACACCACACTATCTGAGGTTTCTTGTGTTTTCACAAAACCCCATCAAGTCTCAAAAATTACATGAACACCTCTTGAGGTTTCAGTTTGTTTTCAAAAAACCTCTTGTCGTTGATCGTTTGTCCAAAAATTGATGATTTCATTGAATTTTTTTTATGCAAAAGACAAAATTAACCTCAATAAAGTATATGCAATCTAATCTCAAAGCACAAGTTTGTCATTTGAAGAATATTTTTTTGTATAAAAACATCAATTTTTGGATGAAAAATCAATGAAAATGAGTTTTGTGAAAACAATTTAAAACCTCAGGAGATGTTCGTGTAATTTTTAAAACCTCAAAGAGTTTTGTGAAAAATCCAAAAACCTCAAAGGATGTTTGTCTAATAACTCTTCTATGACTACGTCAAATAGTTTATTTGAAAAATATGTGATGCAAGTATTCTTTCGGAAATTATTTATCTGACTTGTACTCCATATTTGTGGTCTTAAATATCCCATTGACTGAAATTGCTACTTTAAACTTCAAAGTCATCATCTGGCTTAAACTTCCAACTCAACTTGACTTGGAAGTCTTTGCATGCATGATCGTAGCAGTGGCATTGTCGATATTTTATCTTTATCAGAGACTTGGACGTCGTTAATCGATGTTCACACATTGTGTAGGTAGGGTTTTGTTCTTGGTAGCGTGTCTGCGACGCATAATTTTGAACAATATTCGAAGTGTACAAAAGCTCAACCATTTGAATTGTCATTTACTCCTTTATACTGGGCATCTTTGTACTCTTAAATCTTGCAGACTCATATCTTTAGTCCTACAGATCATCCCATTGCATAAGAATCGTGGGTCACAGCAGTGCTTTCGTCTTGGGTGGGAGAAGATTGCTGCAAATGGAGTAGTGTAGGGCGCAACAACATAACTAGACGTGTCAAGAGGCTCGATCTTGGCAGTGGTGATTGGTTTGATGATCGTGGAGAGCATGCATTTGGTGGTGAGATCAACCCTTCTTTGCTTGTTTTGAAAGATTTGGATAGGGCTCGTCAATGGGCCGGGCCTGGCCGGGCCGGGTTTTTTTAGAAAATTCAAAGCCCAAGCCCGACCCAAGGACCGGGCTTGAGAAAACCCATCGGGCCAGACCGGGCCGGGCCTAAACGGGCCTACTTCATTAAAAAAAATCATAAACTTAATCATAAGGGCATTTTAGTCTAAATTTGAGATTAAACTCACTTAATTCCAATATTTTCACATCAAACCAAATTCATAAAACACCCAATAAAGTCACACAACTTAATAAGATTTTCCACAAAAATAATAAAACCAAGTATTATTTTTGAGGTTATTACATAATTAGACCGTAATACGTTTTAAAAAAATAATAAGTATCAAAAAAATATTTTTTTTAAAGGATGGTATGAATAAATATGAAAATATTTGGTGATGTGTTCAAGAAAAGCATGATTATATTTGGTGGTACGATTATGTTTCGTGATATGATTATATTTGGTGATGTGATATGTTGTACATCCTATATATATAATTGTTGAATTAATAATTGACACAAATTAATGTGCTAATCATCCAATTATAAACTAGGAATGAGTAAAGAAAAGTAAATGAAATGAAACAAAGTATATATGTGATTTAAGTGATATAATTATACATGTATGCGGGCCTAACAGGCCGGGCTTTTGTGGGTGGGCCGGGCCGGGCTTTCTTGGGCTTAATCAGGTCGGGTCTATGGGCAGGGCCGGGCCATCTCAAAGCCCATAACGGGCCGGCCGGGCCCTCATCGGCACATGAGCCCGCGGGCCAAATGATGAGGCCTAGATTTGGATTACTTGGATTTGAGCATGAATTCCTTTGGAGGTGTCTTTCCAAGTTTCATTGGATCACTAGAGAAACTGAAATACCTCGATCTCTCTGATTATCTTTTGTTGGAGTCATTCCCCCCAATCTTGGAATCCTCTCAAGGTTGCTTTATCCTGATCTTAATAGTTATGGAACTCATGAGACTGACCTTCAGTGGCTTGCAACTCTTTCTTCCTTAAAGTACCTTAACTTGGGAGTAGTGAAACTTATTAAGACTACATCTTATTGGCTTCCCGCTGTTAATATGCTCCCTTCACTTGTTGAATTGCATTTGCCCTCTTGTAGACTTTCCATGCTTCCTCTCACTCTTCCTTCCATCAATTTCACATCCCTTATAGTTCTTGATCTCTCTAGCAATAAAGTCACCTCCACGATACCTCCTTGGTTGTTCAATCTCACTAAACTAGAGATGTTGGATTTCGAATTTAACAGTCTGACAGGAAAACTGCCTGATTCTTTGGGATATCTTAAAAGCTTAAGATACCTCGAATTGTCGGGTAACTGGCTTCAGGGTTCAATCCCAAAATAGATTGAAAATTTAACATCTTTGGAGGATTTTAACCTTGGAGGGAATCAAATGAGTGGGATCATCCCATAAAGTCTTGGGAAGCTCTCATCGCTGGTTTCACTTGATATCTATGGCAACACATGGGAACGTAGGGCTCGTCCAAATTTAATGGGCTTGGGCCGGGCCGGGCCAGGTTTTTTTAGAAAATTCAAAGCCCAAGCCCAACCCATGGACCGGGCTTGAGAAAACCCATCGGGCCAGACCGGGCTGAGCCTAAACGAGCCTACTTCATTAAAAAAAAATCATAAACTTAATCATAAGGGCATTTTAGTCTAAATTTGAGATTAAACTCACTTAATTCCAATATTTTCACATCAAACCGAATTCATAAAACACCCAATAAAGTCACACAACTTAATAAGATTTTCCACAAAAATAATAAAACCAAGTATTATTTTTGAAGTTATTACATAATTAGACCGTAATACGTTTTAAAAAAATAATAAGTATCAAAAAATATTTTTTTTAAAGGATGGTATGAATAAATATGAAAATATTTGGTGATGTGTTCAAGAAAAGCATGATTATATTTGGTGATACGATTATGTTTCGTGATATGATTATATTTGGTGATGTGATATGTTGTACATCCTATATATATAATTGTTGAATTAATAATTGACACAAATTAATGTGCTAATCATCTAATTATAAACTAGGAATGAGTAAAGAAAAGTAAATGAAATGAAACAAATTATATATGTGATTTAAGTGATATAATTATACATGTATGCGGGCTTAACAGGCCGGGCTTTTGTGGGTGGGCCGGGCCGGGCTTTCTTGGGCTTAATCAGGTCGGGTCTATGGGCTGGGCCGGGCTTCAGACACCCAAGCCCAAGCCTAGCCCAGCCCAAGGCGGGCCGGGCCATCTCAAAGCCCATAACGGGCCAGCCGGGCCCCCATCGGCCCATGAGCCCGCGGGCCAAATGATGAGGCCTAGATTTGGATTACTTGGATTTGAGCATGAATTCCTTTGGAGGTGTCTTTCCAAGTTTCATTGGATCACTAGAGAAACTAAAATACCTCGATCTCTCTGATTATCTTTTTTTGGAGTCATTCCCATTCTCTCAAGGTTGCTTTATCCTGATCTTAATAGTTATGGAACTCATGAGACTGACCTTCAGTGGCTTGCAACTCTTTCTTCCTTAAAGTACCTTAACTTGGGAGTAGTGAAACTTATTAAGACTACATCTTATTGGCTTCCCGCTGTTAATATGCTCCCTTCACTTGTTGAATTGCATTTGCCCTCTTGTAGACTTTCCATGCTTCCTCTCACTCTTCCTTCCATCAATTTCACATCCCTTATAGTTCTTGATCTCTCTAGCAATAAAGTCACCTCCACGATACCTCCTTGGTTGTTCAATCTCACTAAACTAGAGATGTTGGATTTCGAATTTAACAGTCTGACAGGAAAACTGCCTGATTCTTTGGGATATCTTAAAAGCTTAAGATACCTCGAATTGTCGGGTAACTGGCTTCAGGGTTCAATCCCAAAATAGATTGGAAATTTAACATCTTTGGAGGATTTTAACCTTGGAGGGAATCAAATGAGTGGAATCATCCCATAAAGTCTTGGGGAGCTCTCATCGCTGGTTTCACTTGATATCTATGGCAACACATGGGAAGATAGGGCTCGTCCAAATTTAATGGGCTTGGGCCAGGCCGGGCTAGGTTTTTTTAGAAAATTCAAAGCCCAAGCCGACCCATGGACCGGGCTTAAGAAAACCCATTGGGCCAGACCGGGCCGGGGCTAAACGGGCCTACTTCGTTAAAAAAAATCGTAAACTTAATCATATGGGAATTTTAGTCTAAATTTGAGATTAAACTCACTTAATTCCAATATTTTCACATCAAACCAAATTCACAAAACACCCAATAAAGTCACACAACTTAACAAGATTTTCCGCAAAAATAATAAAACAAAGTATTATTTTTGAGGTTATTACATAATTAGACCGTAATACGTTGAAAAAAAATAATAAGTATCACAAAAATATTTTTTTAAAAGGATGGTATGAATAAATATGAAAATATTTGGTGATGTGTTCAAGAAAAGTATGATTATATTTGGTGGTACGATTATGTTTCGTGATATGATTATATTTGGTGATGTGATATGTTGTACATCCTATATATATAATTGTTGAATTAATAATTGACACAAATTAATATGCTAATCATCCAATTATAAACTAGGAATGAGTAAAGAAAAGTAAATGAAATGAAACAAATTATATATGTGATTTAAGTGATATAATTATACATGTATGCGGGCCTAACAGGTTGGGCTTTTGTGGGTGGGCCGGGCCGGGCCGGGCTTTCTTGGGCTTAATCTGGCCAGGCCTATGGGCCGGGCCGAGCTTCAGACACCCAAGCCCAAGCCTAGCCCAGCCCAAGGTGGGCTGGACCATCTCAAAGCCCATAACGGGCCGGGGCAGGCTTTTTTACAATGGGCCGGGCGGGCCCTCATCGGCCCATGAGCCTGTGGGCCGAATGATGCAGCCTATTTCATGGTGTGGTTTCACTTGACTTGTCGTCATAATTGTTGTGCATGTATTTTTAAAAGAAATTAAGTTAAGTGACATATTTGTTTACAGTATAACTCTAAATATAGGTTCCAGACCATTTTCAATTTTTATAGATATTTTTTCCACTCCATTCTTTTCTTCTTCAATCAACACCATCCTCAATTTCCTACAAGTTTCAGAGCTTGGCCATCAGCAGCATAGAGAAAATCACATCACATGTGGAGAGAGAGAGAGAGAGAGAGAAGATGATATGACTTATGCGAGGATGGGTCTCTCTGGTTTGTTTGGGAGGATGGGTGTATGCGTTTTGTTTTAACCGATTCTACGTGAAACCTTATTAAAAGCCATGTTTTAATCCAGCCGTCCAATTTCATCCAACGGCTGCTATCTGTCCACAAATAAGTGTCCGCAAGAAAGAGAACGGCTAAACCTTCGGAATGAAAGCAGACGTGGTGGAATAGAATAGGAAACTGTAGAATTATATTTTGGGTTTTCCTCATGAAATATGGAAACTACTTTTCTATAAATATTAAAAATTAAATAAAAAACCAGAAAAATTCCCATTTGAATTGAGTTTCCTTAACCGCCTCCTCCTTCCTTCTCTATAAAACTCAATCACAACCCCAACCTTCACTCTCATATCAAGATCTCCGAAAAACCCAAGTCACATGTACTTTCTTCAACTTAAACAATCCAAGTTATGTTTTTTTGCCCTAGTTTTCTTTTTCTTTTTTCTGTTTTTTCAAATCAAAGTTTTGCAACGAAGCTTCTAGTTGTTCAGAGTCTCTAGATCCAATTAGATCTCTGCTATTATTTTCTTGGGTTCTTCTAATCTAAACATCAAAATTTTTGTCTCTCTATGTTTTGTTGAATTATAGAGGATATGGTGGCCCCTCGAAGAAGAAGCTTAGAACTCATACCTAATGAGGGCACTCGGAAGATGACCTTTCGGAAGCGAAAGAAGAGTATATATAAAAAGGCCGACGAGCTTTCGAAGCTTTGTGGTATTGATGTTTGCTTGATCGTCTACGAAGCCGATCAAAAGAAGGGGAGGGCAGTTCAACCGGAGACGTGGCCGCGGGATCCAACTCAATTCAAACGCATTCTCAACAAGTACAAGGATTCAAAGGATACGTCCACGCCCGGATTGAAGAGAGACTTTGATATGTCTGATTTTTATGAGGACAAGAAAGATCACGTGGATGAGGATGACGAAAAGTTTCAAAATTTAGGGAAGAAGATTTTTGAGGTGGAATACCCGACAAAGTTTCAAAATTTAGGGAAGAAGATTTCTGAGGCAGAGTACCCAACATGGGACGATCGAATAGATGATTTTTCACAGGACGAATTGACTGAGCTCATTGCTTCACTCGAATCTAAGATACAAGTTGCAACCAAGAAGATTGATTCTATGGAAAGATATATGGGGTTTAATAAGAAACAAAATCAATGTTTCGTCCGGGAAGATACTAATCATGATGAGCAGCCGGCCTATCAAGTCCCTGCTTTGATGTCTCCTCCATCACCTGTGCATTATCCAATGTTGCCAAGTGCATGGGTATCAAGATCAGAATTGGAGAAGAGCTAATGACAACTTGACAACCTCAGTTCGATTTTGATCCTTTGTAATCGAATTTCTAGTATTGTTTAGTTCGATTTTGATGTACCTTTTGGCTCGGGATAATATAGGCCTATAATTTTTGTTCTCCTTCCGTCAAGGTCTCGAATTTAAGGCCAGAGCTTAGCAATTATTTCATATTTCTATTCAATTCATGGGGTCAATAAAAAAATATGGTCTATACGTTCGTGTCCAATAAAAGCATGGGGGTTTGTCCAATAGTCCTGTATATGTATGTATGCATATGAATCTATAGAGAGAGGTTTAATTGGATATCTAACAAAAAGGATGTTATCCATGTAAGAGAGAGGTTTCAAGAGAGAAATGTTAAAATATCAACACCGGCTCAACGCATTAGAACTAGAGAATTATAGAAAAATCTGGAAAAGTGAAGAGAATACCACCGACTTAGTAACTAGATATTGTATCAGAATAATATAGCTAAGTCTAGAAAGTTGCATAAGCGTGGCTGGAAATGAAGAAGCCAAGTCGGCTAGGAATTTCTATATATGGGCATGAAGCCTTCATTTATGTAATCAAGAAGATAGAAGAAGAAGAAGAAGCAATAAGCTATAGAGCTTAAGCTTGAGTAGTGTTTGTGAGGAGTGTGATTGTTCTAGAGTTTGTCTCTAGAAAGTGAGAAAGAGTGTTAGATTTAAAAATTGTGGGCTTTTTATGCCCGCTTTCATAGTTGTTTAATGCTTTGGTCTTGTATTGTCCATAGAAAATTTTCCAACACTAATGCAAATGGAGCTTTCTTTCACACTATCATAAGTGGCCTCTGAATTTTTGAAAATTTTGAATTTATTTTCTTTCTCCGATATATAGCTTTGTTTACTTTGTTGTGTCATGGATTGATAGGTTGTGTCATGTGTTGTCACGCGACAAATTTTTACGAAAATTTTGACAAAATGCAATGACAGAGACCATAATGTGTGAGTCAAAAAATTAATGAGCACATCCATCTGAAGACTTTTGAAAAAAATAGTCCACAAAACTTTTTCCAACACTCTGAAGCTTTGTCTTTTTTTTTCCCCCTGTATTGACGTCTTCGTCTTTTTATTAACATTGTTTGAGAGTTTTATGCATCCACTACAATTTTTCCAACACCAAGACAATGAAGGTTTTTTTATTTGTCTCCGTGATATGATTTCTTTCTTTTATTCACACTTCCAAAATTGTTTTGACCTTTTCACTCATCCATTTTCCAACACTCACTGTGAATTCTGCAGCTGGGTTGGCTTACGTGCAACCATTCCACCAACTGGGCTGTAAGTAAGCTTGTCCCACATCGATCCACTGGGCTGTGAGTAAACTCCTTATAATTCTGCCTCTAACACACTAGTTCGCCTCGTGAGGAAGAATCCCTTTGTCCCATCGGAAGTGTAAATCCTGAGAAAGGAAAAGAGTCCCATAGGAATAAGTCCCTCTGTCCCGTCGGAAGCGAAGAAAACAACAAATGTCCCGGAAGAGGGAGATGGTGGAAATCCCATCGGAAGCAAAGAAAATAAATTGTCCCTTCGGAAGCTTAGAGATAACAACAAATGTGTGCGCATGTTAAGCAGTGAATATCGATAGTGAAATATGCCAAATTGAGCCTCTACTATCTGTTTGATGAAATGCCTCTTTGAGAGTCTCTTTTGTCTTTTCTCCTTTTCTTTAGTCTGCTGGCTGAAAAACAACTGAATTTCAAAGCCAAGCGAAGATTTCGATTTGTATGCAATTGAATAAGAGTTTCACTTGGTTGAAAGTTTTGAAAGTCTCCGTTCAAGTTTGTTTGAATTTGCGCTTGGTGCAAATTCTTTTGTGGGGATCTTGAGTCCTAACAATGCCTCTCTTAGTTAAGTTGCAAGAGTATTAGAATATTGATTTTGGTTGTTTGAGGAATTCATAATGGCAGCTATATGGGTTTTTATGGAGTGCAAGGATCGAAAAAATCGTAGTGCTGTAATTTTTTCATACACCTTCCTCCCCTCGATGGCTGCAATTTGTGGGCTTGTGTGACAAGCTTTCAGTGGAGTTATTGGGTTACCAATTTAAGAGAGAGAGAGAGAGAACAAGCGGAATTTTTTGCTCATCAGGCAGGAAAAAGGGTGAGTCAGAAAGAGAAAAGATCAATTTTTCCATAAGAATTTCCACTAACTAATATTTCTTGTGGAAATATGATCAGATCTATATTTCGATTTTGAATCTTTTGTTCTGTTGTTTGAACAAAATTTTATTTACATTTCGGTTTCAGTCAACGATGTTGTTCAAGATTCTATCAAATTTTGGATTATAATTAGATTTAATCATATTCGCATTTTACCTATTTGAAAAACGTCAATCTCCTGTAAGACGTGCAAGTTATAATATAGGCCTTCTTTGCTGTGGTATTTGGTGTTGGCTGGTTCCTGTAAGTTATATTGTTGGCTGTTTTGCACAAGATAGATATGGCATCATCCTGTGACAATTTTCAGTGCATATGGTTCTTATATATTTTCCTTCTTGTTCAAAGAGTTGGTCTGTATATCCTTGAATATGAAATTTCTAAATGGTCTGAAAAAAAAAAGAAAAAAAGAAAAAAAGAGCAGAACATACTGTAGTCAAAATGAGAGCTGAAACGAAACCTACTACATCAATAGATGCTCAATGTTGTTGAGCAGGATGGCATTTGTATTGTGCAAATGGTTAAAATGGCATAGCTGGAACTTTCTCTTGTCCAGGTACTGATGGGAGCAATTGTATTCAAATACTTACCTCATTGTTGTTCTAGTTTGTATGGTATTTGCGTTATTTAGCACGTCTAATACTTTATTGCTCTGTGCAGGCTAATGACTGCTATTGTCCTTCCTTTTAGCAAAGGGAACTGAGGACTGGTTATCTCACAATGAAGAGTTCTATAGCTCACGTGATAGATGAATTCAGGAGTCCAGATTCTTGAAAAAAGAAAAAGGTAATGTTTAGCTTGGTGGGGTAGCCCACCTCCAAAAACAATAGCTTTTCCTAGAACCCAAAAGTCCAAACCAGGACCCAGTTCCCCAATCATCTTCCTTGTCATCTCCATAGCTGCCGTTGCACTCCTCTTTCTCGCTGCCTCTCTCATTTCCACTAGTGGGTTCTCTTTATCCTCTCTGAAAACCCTCGAAAGCAGACCCAAAGTAAAGAACATGAACCAGAACTGCCAAACTGGCCACGAGAAGTACCTCTACTGGGGTGACAGAGTTGATTGCCATGGAAAGCACTGCAGTTCCTGTGCGGGTCCGGGCCACCAGGAGTCCAGCCCCAGGTGTGCTCTTGAAGAGGCTATGTTCCTGCAGAGGTACATTCCAAGTTTTTAAATCTCTTGAGTTTTTTTTGTTTTCTTATTTCTGTTTTCGGAGTTGATGTTGTGTTTGGTTGCTGTGCAAATGAGGACAACAGAGAATTGTGGAAGAGATCAGATTTGATATCATAGGGGCGAGTTAAATGGGTGTCGAACCCAACTGTCTTACAACTTCTATTTTATTTTCTTTTATTGTTAGAAGCTTTAAGATTGGCTTCTTTGGGATGGTAAAACTTGCTTGCTTGTTTCAAGGTGTGGTTTCACTCGACTTGTCGACATAACTGTTGTGCATGTATTTTTAAAAGAAATTAAGTTAAGTGACATATTTGTTTACAGTATTAACTCTAAATATAGGTTCCAGACCGTTTTCAATTTTTATAGATATTTTTTTCCACTCCATTCTTTTCTTCTTCAATCAACAACTGCCTCCATCCTCAATTTCCTACAAGTTTCAGAGCTTGACCATCAGCAGCATAGAGAAAATCACATCACATGTGGAGAGAGAGAGAGAGAGAGAGAGAGAGAGGAGAGAGAGAGAGAGAGAAGATGATATGACTTGTGCGAGGATGGGTCTCTCTCTGGTTTGTTTGGGAGGACGGGTCTCTCTGGTTTGTTTGGGAGGATGGGTGTATGGGTTTTGTTTTACCCGATTCTACGTGAAACCTTATTAAAAGCCATGTTTTAATGCAGCCGTCCAGTTTCATCCAACGGCTGCTATCTGTCCGCAAGAAAGAGAACGGCTAAACCTTAGGAATGAAAGCAGACGTGGTGGAATAGAAATAGGAAACTGCAGAATATAGACGACGTGTTAATCAAGAATTATATTTTGGGTTTTCCTCATGAAATATGGAAACTACCTTTCTATAAATATTAAAATTAAATAAAAACCAGAAACATTCCCATTTGAATTGAGTTTCCTTAACCGCCTCCTCCTTCCTTCTCTATAAAACTCAATCACAACCCCAACCTTCACTCTCATATTAAGATCTCCGAAAAACCCAAGTCATCACAGGTACTTTCTTCAACTTGAACAATCCAAGTTATGGTTTTTTGCCCTAGTTTTCTTTTTCTTTTTTCTTTTTTTTCAAACCAAAGTTTTCGAACAAAGCTTCTAGTTGTTCTCAGTCTCTAGATCCAATTAGATCTCTGCTATATATTTTTTTCCTGGGTTCTTCTAATCTAAACATCAAAAATTTTGTCTCTCTATGTTTTGTTGAATTATAGAAGATATGGTGGCCCCTCGAAGAAGAAGCTTAGAACTCATACCTAATGAGGGCACTCGGAAGATGACCTTTCGGAAGCGAAAGAAGAGTATATATAAAAAGGCCGACGAGCTTTCGAAGCTTTGTGGTATTGATGTTTGCTTGATCGTCTACGAAGCCGATCAAAAGAAGGGGAGGGCAGTTCAACCGGAGACGTGGCCGCGGGATCCGACTCAATTCAAACGCATTCTCAACAAGTACAAGGATTCTAAGGATACGTCCACGCCCGGATTGAAGAGAAACTTTGATATGTCTGATTTTTATGAGGACAAGAAAGATCACGTGGATGAGGATGACGAAAAGTTTCAAAATTTAGGGAAGAAGATTTTTGAGGAGGAATACCCGACAAAGTTTCAAAATTTAGGGAAGAAGATTTCTGAGGAGGAGTACCCGACATGGGACGGTCGAATAGATGATTTTTCGCAGGACGAATTGACTGAGCTCATTGCTTCACTCGAATCTAAGATACAAGTTGCAACCAAGAAGATTGATTCTATGGAAAGATATATGGGGTTTAATAAGAAACAAAATCAATGTTTCGTCCGGGAAGATACTAATCATGATGAGCAGCCGGCCTATCAAGTCCCTGCTTTGATGTCTCCTCCATCACCTGTGCATTATCCAATGTTGCCAAGTGCATGGGTATCAAGATCAGAATTGGAGAAGAGCTAATGACAACTTGACAACCTCAGTTCGATTTTGATCCTTTGTAATCGAATTTCTAGTATTGTTTAGTTCGATTTTGATGTACCTTTTGGCTAGGGATAATATAGGTCTATAATATTGTTCACCTTCGGTCAAGGTCTCGAATTCAAGGCCACAGCTTAGCAATTATTTCATATTTCTATTCAATTCATGGGGTCAATAAAAAAATATGGTCTTTACGTACGTGTCCAATAAAAGCATGGGGGTTTGTCCAATAGTCCTGTATATGTATGTATGCATATGAATCTATATATGTGTACCTATGATTTGGAGTATATATGTTCATTGAAGTGAGCTTGATCATCCGGGAATAGCAAAACTGGTTGCTGCACATGCAAAGCCACCCAATTACATATGTATTTCTTTGAATTCTTTGAGCCTTCAAACTTATCGGAGAAATTACATACGGAAGAATGGAGTCCGAATGTCAACCATACATGAGCAGTGAGCTAGAAAGATTCATATAGTTTATGTCTATGCTGCCCACACTCTTATGGCTGAGCTGCCATTCAGTCATACATGAGCAGTGAGCAGTTCTCTCTCTCTCTCTCTCTCTCTCTCTCTCTCTCTATGGATGGAGCTAAGATTATTCTCTGAGTTGGTAAGGTTAAATAACGAATAAAAAAACACATCAGTGGACAGGCCCTCTATCTCTATGTGTTGATGAATTGGTGGTAATCTCAATCCAAGGTTATCAAGTTTGAGTTGAAGGGTTGGTAAGAAATAAACCAAACGTCGATGGAAAACGGCAGTTTGCCTTTTTTGAAAATCTTATTAATTAAGCCTTCGGTTTTAATTTCTAACCCTCAAAAAGTATGAAAGCTCTGTTTTTGTAATCGGAAGTCAAGTACTTTCCTTGGTAGTGGACAAAGCATATTTTATTGCGACGGGCTGTAGCTGATGTTCCTTGAATGTTTTGATACATGACATCGCTTACTTTCACACTCGATACCTATAATATTGATACACAATGAAATGTGCATTAGACATTTAGTCACGACATACGTTTATGAATGAGTACATGCTCATACTTCACGCCTCGAGAACAATAATAATTTCCCATAGCTGAGGCTAAAAGTTCTTCCACAAAGCAAAAACGAGTAAAACAACATACTCAAAGCAAGGAAATAAGTGAAAGATTTCATCTCATCACGCCACAGCAAAATGTCTGCAACTGCAGGCAATGCATTTCAAGGTCATTCTACCTGGTGCTATACGTAGTCTGTTTGACGTTATACAAAACCCTGTTCAAGAGCCTAAGTAAAGATGTGGACTAAATTACATAGTAATTAGTATGGCACCGTGCAAGAACAAACCACCATGATGCGTACCACTTGCACCAAAATTGAGCGCAAGGATCCAAGTCAACAAACCCAGCCCTACCCAGCAAGTACTTTTGAAAATAATGTGTAGCTGATATCAAAATAGCGCACAACATAATATGGTACAACGGAAAACAACCTTCTCCTCCTTTGCCTAGCAGCTTCTCCACTTTTGATTGCTCATTAGAGTCACTGTAACTTGTGAAAGATGAATATTTGGCTAAATGAGATTGAGTTAATGGTTAATGTGACACCTTCCTGTCCTGCACACAGGTAATCGGCACTGACGAACCAGATTTTTGTACCTTGAATTTTCATGCTTTCCAATAAGCAATAACTATATGACAATACATTGTAATGCCTACTTCATATCCAACAAAAACCACTAGAAATCATTTTCAAAACGAAAGGAATAGGAAGCAGCCTTCATTAAGCTTCTGCTATGTGCTAGAAGCAATCAAATATTGGGGCCTGACTAGCCAGCCAAGACAACTTTAAAAAAGTTGAGAAGGTTCAATTGGATATCTAACAAGAAGGATGTTATCCATTTAAGAGAGGTTTCAAGAGAGAAATGTTAAAATATCAACACCAGCTCAACAGATTAATCAGCCCAAGAAAAATAAAGCCCAACCCATGAAAGTTTGGTAACACTAGAACTAGATAATTATAGAAAAATCTGGAAAAGTGAAGAGAATACCACCGACTTAGTAACTAGATATTGTATCAGAATAATATAGCTAATTCTAGAAAATTGCATAAGGGTGGCTGGAAATGAAGAAGCCAAGTCGGTGGGCTTGGACTATGTCGGCTAGGAATTTCTATATATGGGCATGAAGCCTTCATTTAAGTAATCAAGAAGATAGAAGAAGAAGAACAAGCAACAAGCTATAGAGCTTAAGCTTGAGTAGTCTTTGTGAGGAGTGTGATTGTTCTAGAGTTTGTATCTAGAAAGTGAGAAAGAGTGTTAGCTTTTAAAAATTGTGGGCTTTTTTTTTAGAGTTGTTTTGTTGTAATATTTTGTGAGTGTAATAGAAGTAATTCATTTACTTGTTTTGTCTTCAACAATTAAATATTAGAGTTGTGTACTTTAATTTCTCAACAATTGGTATTGGAGCGGGACGGTTCAGAACCGATTCTTCTAGAGGTTCCTTGAGTCATGAAGAGTTCGTCTTTACAAGTTTGTATCTTTAGATCAAGCTTATTCGGTCTACCAAAATCCTGCCGACACGATGGGTGATTTTCAAGTGGTTGGAGAAATCAAGAAGCTCAACAATAAAAATTACAACACGTGGGCGACATGTATGGAGTCTTATCTACAAGGTGAAGATCTTTGGGATGTCATCGGCGGTAATGAAGTTACACGGCCTAAAGAGGACACCAATGGCACTTTGCGTAAGTGGAAGATTAAAGCAAGTAAAGCTATGTTTGCCCTAAAGACCACAATTGAAGAAGAAATGTTGGAGCACATAAGAAATGCCAAAACACCAAAAGAAGCATGGGACACATTTGCAACACTCTTTTCAGGGAGGAATGGCACAAGTCTACAGCTTGCAACATTTTTTCAAGGAGGAATGACATAAGGCTACAACTTCTAGAGAACGAGCTGTTATCTGTTGCACAATGCGACATGACGATTGCTCAGTATTTTCAAAAGGTAAAGTCAATATGCAGTGAAATTTCTGAATTAGATCCTACTTCTGCTATTGTGGATTCCAGGATAAAAAGAATAATTATTCATGGTTTGAGACCCGAATACGAAGACTTCATTGCCACTGTTCAAGGATGGCCGACTCAACCATCACTTGTTGAGTTTGAAAATTTGCTTGCCAACCAAGAAGCTATGGCTAAGCAAATGAGAGTGGTCTCACCAAAAGGGGAGGAGGAAACGTTCTACACCAACAAAAGTAAAGGTAGCTTTAAGTAACACGTCGGTGGTGGATCTAAAAGAAATGGTGGCAAGGTGAATGGTCATCAAGGAGAAGGAAGTTCCCGACCAAGGGGAGCTCCAAAGTATCATGACAACTGTGGTCAGTCCAAAAATAATAAAAGATTTGAGAGTAAATGCTACAACTGTGGAAAGAAGGGCCACATGGCGAAAGATTGTTTGGTCAAACAAAAGGCCCGCCAAGAGTAATATTGCTACTACTTCCAACCTAAAGGAGAAAAGTGAAGACGATTGCGACGCTGAAGCATCTCTCGCTATAGAGGAAGATAAGTTAGCTCTCATAGTAATGACGCATGAATGGATTGAGTACAAGTACAGGTGGGCCTTTAAATTGGAAAACTGAAAAAATTGAGCTAAATTTGGCCACAAAAAGCGGGTTGACCCAAAACTAGATTGAACTGGACTGATTTGGCTTGCTTTCGGTTCTTCTAGTGAAAAAACCAAGCCAAACCCAACTCTATATTTTTTAATTAAAAAAAAATATTTAAGCCTAATGCTAAATTTCTAAGCCCATAACTAATCTTCCCCAATCCCAACTCTAAATCACCTCTCTTTTCTGGGCCAAATCACCTCCATTTGCATGAAAATAGGCCATTTGTGAATTTTTAAGCCCAAAAAATGAAATTTTAGTTGGACTTTGTTTATAAAAATAATAATAATAATAAAAAGGAAAAGAGAGAACAAAATAGTAGCCCTTTTTTGGAGCTACAATCTTTATTTACAAATTACTAAAAAAGTCTTTGAGCGCGTCTTCCAATTCCAATTCAAAGGATTTTGACCTGCCTCTACACTTGTCCAGACTTGTTATACTCAAAATGCTACCCCACTAGAAAAAAAAAGGGAACTGAACTTAAGGACAAACCAGACTGAACCAATTTTATAATTTATTTATTTTTTGTCAAAATCGAACCTTACCGAACCAGATGAATAGAGTGAGAACTGGACTCCCCCCCCCCCCCCCCCCCCCCCCCCCCCCCCCCACAGAATGGTTGGATGGTCGACTCAGGTTGCTCAAATCGTATAATGGTGATATATATAAGTTATAGGACCTTATTAAGTACAAGGGAAATCGTGTAGTGGTGACAACCAACAACTCAAGATTATCGATAATCCATATCGGTAAGGCAGCAGTTGTACTCTGTTACAATCCTAACCATGTGCCGCTTCAAGAGGTCTACCATGTTTCGGGCATGAAGAAGAATTTGCTTTAGGGGTGCATCTGACATCGTCAGGCCACTATGTCTTGTTTGGCCCAAGAGATGTGAAGGTGTATCAAGAAAATTAAGCAGAGAATACAATGAAGTTGGAAGTTGCATATCCGAAGCCTGAGTTAACCTTGGAAGGGGATGGGGAAGATGAAGTGATCATTTTTAAGTCAATAGTGGCTGAGAAGCGGCCTGATGTGGAAAACACTAGTTGGGTAGCCGATGAGGGCCTCGAGCCTGGTAAAAATGCTTATCCAGGTGATCTAAAGGTTAATGGCACTTATGTCGTAGTGAGCAGTAGTTCTATCTCTCTACGAGGTTGTATGATAGAGCTAAGATTATTTTCTGAGTTGGTATGGTTAAATAATGAAAAAAATACACACATCAGTAGACAGGTGAAAGAAGAGTAAGAAGGAGGAGAAATTTAGGGTTTGTAAGAATTGAAATTGTATAATTATGAGATTGTACAGTTTTCTATATATACACTTGAAATGGAAATATCTAGACTAAAGTTTGTTACAAGAAAGATGGAGATATTGACAAGTGTACAGTAGTGATGAAGCTTGGTTGTTTCCTCCTTTCTTTCTAGAACTTATTCCAGGCACAAGTCTACTGTGCTCAATTCTATTCTTTGTTGTGTGCTCTTGATTTGTTGTTTTAAAAGACAGAGGCTGTATGAGAGTTATCTTTGTGTGTTCTTCATTGCAAGGATTAAAATATCGGGTGTGCAAATAATATCGGGCCTCCAATTTACGGATATTTCGAGGGATATATCGTTATCATTTTAGGTATCGGAAAAAAAATCAACAAAAATGATAGATATAGGCATTGAAACACATAATTTTGGTGTAAAACTTTCATAGATGTTATGTACATTATCAATGAATGTATTGAACAAATAAAACTCAAAATTTACTAATAATAAGATATACATATGATGAAATATAAGTGGTATGTAATGCGTGTTAATGAAAAGTTTGAAAATAAAATGTTAATTAGAATGAATAAACCATGCATAAATCCATAGTTTGTTTAAACATTGGATTACAATTTAGATAAGTGTCCATCTACATAAATGAAGAGCTCCTATGAGGTTCAAACAATGAGGAACAACCATATAGATTTATACAATAGTCATACCAAGTCATGTAACCCGAGTAGTTTGTAAGCCATGTTTGAACATGGTGCACATAGGTCTCTCTTGAGCTCCCTATTGTCCTCCCATATATGGGATAGTTAGGATTAACCAACTAGTAGGTCCATAATCTTTTTTATCATCTTGAGCTCCATAACTAGTTCCACTATAATCAGACATGACATAACCATAGCCATCATAAGATTCATTTGAGTTAGTACTATGTCTAGTTCCTATGCTCATAGATCCAAAACTGATCGCCATGTCCTCTTCAAATGGATTGGAGGTATGTTGGCAGTGGACTATGCATAGATTCTTCATATTAATAAATTATAGGGTTCTGGGCAAGGATTAACTATTTTTGGGTTTCAATTTGCTTCAATTGCCTTCAAAACTTCTGAATTTTTTTGGGTTATGTTATGGGTATCGGGAAATATTGGGGATATCGGCAAAATATCAGGGATATATCATCGATACAGGGGAATATATGGCCTTATCCCCCAGTATCGATGTCAACAGTTGACAATACCGAAATATCGGCAGATATATCGGTGTATCGGCTAATATTTCAATCTTTGCTTCATTGCTCTGTTTATCATCCCCCTTCAAGAGAAGACGAGAGACGAGTAATGAGCTTGGATCGAAGAGTGAGGAGGCGTTCAGTAGGGAGGCCCTTTGTAAAAATGTCAGCTATTTGTGAATGAGAAGGAAGATGTTGAATGGAAATGGCTTTGGAGGTCACTAAATTTCGGATAAAGTGATAGTCCACTTCAATGTGCTTTGTCTGGGCGTGAAAAATGGGGTTGGCAGCGAGTGCAACGGCTAAGATGTTGTCGTAGTGAAATAATGGTGGATGGTTCAATAAGACATGGAGTTCTTTTAAGAGAGAACAGATCCACAAGTCATCAGCAGTTGTTGTGGCCAATGCGCGATATTCAACTTTAGTTGATGAGCGAGCCATAATGGTTTGCGTTTTAGCAGACCAAGAGATGAGATTAGTACCCAGGAATATGCAGGGCCCAATAGTGGACCGACGATTATTAGGATTGCCAGCCCAATCAACATCACAGAAGGCAGTGTGATGAGGCTTGCCTTTATGAATTGGTAGACCATAATCTGGAGTGGCTATGAGGTATCGAAGGATTCGCTTGACAGCAGTGAGGTGAGTTGTGGAAGGAGCATGGAGAAATTGGCAGACTTGGTTGACTGAATATGAGATATCAGGGCAGGTCCAAGTTAAGTATTGAAGAGTGCTAACAATATATCTGTAGGAAGTCGGATTGGAGAGAAGTTCACTAGAGTCTGAAGCCAATTTTGTTGTGGTTGCTGGAGAGGGAAATGGTTTGGTGTTAAGCATGTCGGTTTTGGAAAGAAGATCAATGGTGTACTTTGTTTGGCTGAGAAAAAGGCCAGAGGAAGTTCTATGCACTTCGATACCCAAGAAGTAGTGAAGAGCGCCTAAATCCTTGATTGTGAATTGAGAACCAAGCTATGAAATCAACTGAGTACAATAAGAGGGGTTGTTGCTTGTGAGGACAATGTCCTCAACATAAACATGGATAACTATCGATCTTGAGGAAAAGAGAGGTGTTTACAGCGGATGTTTGAAAACCCAAGGAAAGCAGAGCATCGTGTAATTGTTCGTACTAGGCGCGTGGGGCCTGTTTAAGACCATAGAGAGAACGTTGTAATTTACAGGCATAATTTGGCTTTTGTAGATCCTCGAACCCAAGTGGTTGTGTCATGAATACCTCCTCAAGAAGATGGCCATGTAGAAAGGCGTTAGTAACATCAAGTTGGGAAATATGCCAATCATTTTGTACTGCAATTGATAATAGGATACGGATGGTAATGGGTTTGGCCACGGGACTGAAGGTCTCAGTGTAGTCGATACCTTCAAGTTGATTGAAGCCCTTGGCAACAAGGCGAGCTTTATACCATTCAATGGAGCCATCCGGATGTTGTTTGATCCCAAAAACCCACTTGGAGCCAACTAGATTTTGAGCAGAGTGAGGAGGAACTAGTGTCCATGTGTGAGTTTGTTGTAAGGCAGTGAGCTCATCATGCATTGCTTGTAGCCAGCGAGAATCTTTTGTTGCTTGTTTATAAGTTGTAGGGATTGATGGAGTTAGAGAGGAAGCAAATAAAGTGAAGGGAAAAGGTGTCTAGGTTTGGTAATGCCTGATTTGGAGCGGGTTTGCATTGGGTGAGTGGGAATAGGTGGGGGGAGGAGGTGGTGGTGGTGGCAAGGGTGAGTCTTGCTTAGAGGATGTGGAAGGAATATGAGGAGAACTTGAATGAGATGAAGATGCGGGTGAGGAAATTGGGGGAGAGGGAATTGGTGAATGAGATGGAAGAGTCTGGGTTAAAGGAGGGAATGCAAGATAAGTTGGTGTGTAGGTGGGCTGTGGTGGTGAGAATGGGGAGGGTGAGAGTGAGGCTTTCTGTGTAAAAGGAAAAATATTTTCATTAAACACCATATGACGAGAGGTATAAACTCGGCCGGAGACGGGATCAAGGCAACGATACCCTTTTTTATTGGCACCATAGCCAAGGAAGATGCAAGCTTTGCTGTGGAATTCCAACTTGTTAGGAGAGTAAGGACTGAGCCATGGAAAGCAAGCACATCCATAGACTTTCAGAAAGGCGTAGTCTGGCTTGCAGTGAAATAACTTCTGGAGGGGACTCAGTTTCTGCAATGATGAAGATGGTAAGCAATTAATGAGATAAACAGATGTTTAAGCAACCTCAACCCAGTATTTGATGGGTAGAGATGACTGCTCAAATAGGGTTTGAGTGAGCTCAATTATATGGCGGTGTTTGCGTTCGGACATGCCATTTGTTCGGGTGTATGTGGACATGTGAACTGTGGAACAATTCCATGACTAGTAAGAAATTGTCGAAATTGAATTCCGGCATATTCACTGCCGTTGTCGCACCGCTGTGCTTCGATTTTGAGGTCAAATTGTTTTTCAACTAATCATTTAAATTGCTGAAAAGCTGAGAGTGCCTGAGATTTATATTGAAGAGGAAATAACCAAGTGAAACGTGAGAAGTCATCAATGAAGATGATATAATATCTATTGCCAGATACAGAGGATGCAGGAGCAGGGCCCCAAATGTCTGTGTGAATTAATTCTAATGAAAAAGAAGAACTACATATGGATTTATTAAAGGGCAACTTGTGACTTTTGCCTAATTGACAATCAACGAAGACACAGTTGGTAATGGATGAGCCTTGAAGAGGAAGAGAATGAGTGGAGAGAAGATGTTGCCGTGAGGTGGGAGGCTTTGATACCATGAAAGAAGAGTAAGAAGGAGGAGAAATTTAGGGTTCGTAAGAATTGAAATTGTATATTCAATGATTATGAGATTGTACAGTTGTCTATATATATACACTTGAAATGGAAATATCTAGACTAAATTTTGTTACATGAAAGATGGAGATATTGACAAGTGTACAGTACTGATGAAGCTTAGTTGTTAACTCCTTTCTTTCTAAAACTTATTCCAAGTACAAGTCTGCTGTGCTCAATTCTATTCTTTGTTGCGTGCTCTTGATTTGTTGTTCTAGAAGACAGAGGCTGTATGAGAGTGATCTTTGTGTGTTCTTCATTGCTCTGTTTATCAACAGGCCCTCTATATGTTGATGAATTGGTGGTAATCTCAATCCAAGGTTACCGGAAACATCACTTCACGTATATATTTTTATTAACTGTATTAATGATTGTGGATATTAGAGAACTTTTTTTCAATGTTGTTGACACTCAAAAATGGTTCGGCACTTTTGAGGCCAACTTAGTGATGAGGTGTGATGGATGATGGGTGAAGGTGAGGACCTTCACCAAGTGTGTGAGGATTTGAGCAAGCGATAAACATATAGAAGACAAGATATACGTGGTTCACCCTTAATGAATGGGCTACGTCCACGGAGAAGTATATTCTCATTATTATAATATTGTGTATTTACTTTTGTACATGGGGCTGAACCCAAATTTAAATGTAAGAAAGGGGAAGGTCATGACTAAAGATCAAGCCCAGCCCCAGGATCCCTTTCTAAAGGGAGAGTGGTCTCCTTTTATAGGCGAGGGGGAGTCTTCACTTCTTGTAATATTTCAATGTGGGACTCTTTGCTTTGCCTTGAGTTGCTTCTAGTTGCTTGGTCAAATATGGTATATACAGAAGTCCCCCAAGTTCTCAAGCAAGGAGGTACTCCTTGGTTGAGGACTTGCAATTTTCAGTGCACTTGATCGAGCAACACCTTAGTCTTCTCCCAAGTAGTGTAGTGTCGATGGTGACGAATTATGACGGGGTGCTGAAGGTGTCGCTCTCGTCAGATGATGACAGGGTGCCGAAGGCATCGCTCTCGCCGAATGATGGCGGGGTGCCGAAGGCATCGCTCTTGCCGAATGATGGCGGGGTGCCGAAGGCATCGCTCTCGCCGAATGATGGCGGGGTGCCGAAGGCATCTCTCTTGTCAAATGATGACAGGGTGCCGAAGGCATTGCTCGCGCCTAATGGTGACGGGGTGCCGAAGGCATCGCACTCGTCGAATGATGGTGGGGTGCCAAAGGCATCGCTCTCGCCGAATGATGGCGGGTGCAGAAGGCATCGCTCACGCCTAATGGTGACGGGGTGCCGAAGGCATCGCAATCGTTGAATGATGGCGGGGTGCCGAAGGCATCGCACTCTCCGAATGATGGCGGGGTGCCGAAGGCATCGCTCTCGCCGAATGATTGCGGGGTGCCGAAGGCATCACTCGCGCCTAATGGTGACAGGGCGCTGAAGGCATCGCACTCGTCGAATGATGGCGGGGTGCCGAAGGCATCTCTCTCGCCAAATGATGACAGGGTCCCGAAGGCATCGCTTTGTCAAATGGTGACAGGGTGCTGAAGGCAACTCTCTTGTCAAATAATGACAAGGTGTGTACCGATAATCATACCAATGGCGATTGCCGATGGCTAACAGTCTTAGATTTTTATTTATATTTTTTTCTTGCTTTGGCGTATATGCCGATGATCATATGTGCCGAAGACAATGATGGTATGAGTTGTAATGCTTGGTCACTTTGTGAGTAACTGCAATATCTGCCGAAGGCAGACATATGCTAAATGCCACATGAGCATGTCAGTACTAGCTGCAGAAAGGTGGGATTGAGTGGTGCCAAAGGGCATGTTGCACGTGATGCAGTTTCAGAGAAGTGAACCATGAGGTTGCGCCGTTCGGCCAGCAGGCCAGGGTGGCCTTGGGTGTGCGTGAACCTTCAGAACCTTGGTTTGCTTCATGATGTCCTGCTGAAGGATGCAAGGGCGATGTACTTGGTGCCGTATCAGCATTTGTGGCTTTGACAGATAGTGGAACCAGTCCCCTGCGTTTGGGAGAAAAGAGCTGCCAAACAGCAGCCGTGGGTCCCTGGCATATTCCTTGCTGTGATAGTGGTCTGTCCGTGCCTCTTGGCCCATTGTTCTGGACTTGCCGAACGGTAAGGGGGGAGTTGGAGAGGAGGTCACACAGGAGCTACCACGTGCCGTTTGGCAATTGGCTATTAGGATGCGGTTGTTTGAGAATGGGAGGTGCCGAGCGGCAGATTGGGTTTGTTTTCGAAACCACTGGTTCAGCAGGATGTTGATCTTTGCAAGGGACCCATGAAGGTTGTCGAGCTGGGCTTTGTTTTCTTCAACAAGAGAGCTCAGCGAGGGTTTGGAGCTTAAGGAGATTTGAGGGGTCTCTCCTTACTTCCAGCAAGGCCCTTGCCGTTCGGCAAGGGTGCTGGGTGTCTTTGCGAGCGGTCCAGTTTTGGATTTTGGGATTGTGGCTGTTCGCATGCTGTAGTTGACCTTTGATCGACGGCCTACCATTCGGTAGGTGCGGTACAAATGGTTTGGGAGCTTCGCAGGTGCCGTCGTCGGCTTGCCGATTAGTTGTGGATGGTTTGGGAAATTGCCCATCTGTTTTTGAGTTGCTCGGTAGTTTGAATACGCACAGTGCATCTCAACGGGTCGAGAGTTTATTCGAGCGCCAATAGCTACGACATGCCGTTCCGGAATCCTTGACTAGATGGGTGTCTTGAGAAAACCAGTGGCATGGAGATGACGATCGCTCAAAGCTCTTGGGTGCCTTGAGAAAACCAGTGGCATGGAGACTGATTCGTAGCCTCAGAATATTGAAAACTTGAAAACTTGAGTTCGACACTCTTGGTTTGTCCACTTAAGAAATTTTAGCAGAGATGAGAGGTGGCCTAGTAAGGCTGTAATTTGCGGTGCCGAACGGTAGTTTGATTTGCCATTAGTGGGACAAGTCCCCCTGTATAGCTTCGGCGCAGGGGTTATTCACTTTGTGCCTTTGCAGAAGCATGTGCTCAGCTTTTTGATGAAATCTTTGTCGTGGGTTGGTGGTGCTGAACAATATGATGCCGATCCCATGGCTTGTTGGCCACTGTATGGGTATTCCTATTGAATTGCCGAATGGCAATTGACAGGTGTTGAACAATACCTAAGCCACAAAATCACGAAAATGGGCCATGTGGGCTACCCTTAGGATTCCTTGATCCCAGTGGTGGTCCAATATTAAAAGGTAGCAGATGATGAATATGCCATTTATTTGATGGAGGTGGGTTACGTGGTCCTTGGGCTGAAATGGTGGCTTCCAGATGAATCATGCCCAACGCTATTGTTCAACAATTTATGCGGAAGAACACAGACTAAACAATATATGTTGGAGATGGGCTGAAGATGAATCAACTCCAGCAAGTTCGGAATCTTTGACCAAGTGGATGCCTTGAGAAAGCCAATGGCATGGTTACCGTTCGGTAGCTGGTCGAGCAACATGGAGATGGATGGCCACTCAAAGCTTTTGGGTGGCTTGATCAGTCTCCTGGATGGGTGTGCCGTTCGGTATTTTGACCTTTCATGCAGATTTTTGTTTGAAAATCTTGAAAGTACAGTGTGGCAGTTGGCCTCAGAGACGAATTGAGGTTGTTGCCGTTTGTTACAGCACTTGGGGCTGCAAGTGGGCTGCTCTTGCCATGTTGTCCACGTATGATATTGGTCGGCAACATAACTAAATGGCATACACAAATCCAATATAGATTTTTACTAATCCAATAATATTATATTGTCAGAAATTTAGTTTGGTATGCAATCTCCAAATTCAATAATAACAAAAGAAGAGAAGGAATATGTCACTTATCTCTTTGGAAATGGTGCACAATGGGTGGTGATCTGCCTCTTTTTGCCATGCCAGGTGGGTTTTTTGTTGAATTGCCGAATAGCAATTGAATATAAGTGAACCATGTAGGTACCCAATATGCTGCCAAGTAATGCCAAATGGCAGGGCTATGTAGAATATCTGAGGGCTCCCAAACTTTCTCTTCAAAGGGGGTGCCGAACGGCACTTTGAATTGAAAAGGTGGTTTGGCCATGCAAGCCATGCAAATGATAGTTACATTCTGGTTGGCTAATAGATTAGTGGGCTTGCACCATTTATGTCGGCAAATGGGAATAAAATAAAGACGCAAGATAAGAAATGCAGCTCTTATCTTTTGGGAGCCCACTCATCAATATTCACCAAAGGTGCCGAACGGTAAGGCATGTTAAGAGAAGCTATGGTGGCCCACATATTTCCTCTTCTTTTGAACTATATTGCAAGGATTCATCTTCTGCATGTCACTCCCTTGAGACACTCACGGTTACTCCATTATGGTATTGCCATTCGGCAAGCTAGGGGATGCTGATTGCAGGGGTGCTGAAGGGCACTGAAGAAGGGGAGAATAACAGAAGCTTTTTGTGTCGATTCCCACAGACAGTGCCAAACTATTGACTCTAAAAAATAGTTCGGCACTTTTGAGAACAACTTAGTGATGAGGTGTGATGGATGATGGGTGAAGGTGAGGACCTTCACCAAGTGTGTGAGGATTTGAGCAAGCGATAAACATACAGAAGACAAGATATACGTGGTTCACCCTTAATGAATGGGCTACGTCCACGGAGAAGTATATTCTCATTATTATAATATTGTGTATTTACTTTTGTACATGGGGTTGGACCCAAATTTAAATGTAAGAAAGGGGAAAGTCATGACTAAAGATCAAGCCCAGCCCCAGGATCCCTTTCTAAGGGGAGAGTGGTCTCCTTTTATAGGTGAGGGAGAGCCTTCACTTCTTGTAATATTTCAATGTGGAACTCTTTGCTTTGCCTTGAGTTGCTTCTAGTTGCATGGTCAAATATGGTATAAACAAACGTTAACTTAGTTTAGTGGAGCTGAAAATTATGCTCAAATCAAATGAGTTGAGGCTCATCATCTGATGATTGGGAAGATAATATACAGGTGGGGACTCAGAACCGACGCCAATCCATAGAGCTTGTTTTCCTGCTACTGCTCATCAAGGGAAGGTTGGTTAAGGTTGTTGTGTATGGTTTTGGACAGGTTATTATTATATTCGGTTTGATGGTCATTATAATTGTTTCATATGACAGGAGGTTTGATGGTTATTATAATTGTTTCATATGTCAGGACGTTGCTGGTGCTGTGGAAACAGGTTCTGGGAAGAAACAAGCCTTTGGTTTGCCCATTTTTGCAATGCTTGTTGGAGGAAGGAGAAAACACTGCGAAGTATGAAAGCTCTGTATTTGTAATCTGAAGTCAAGTACTTTCCTTAATAGTGGACAAATCATTTGAAAGAGGACTTATTAAATCGAGTGCACTTTTCAAAAGTTTTATGATATGTCTACTCAGAATCAAAATGAGTAGGAATCAGAATAAAAGGGAATGGCAATGGGAAGTAATCAAAGCAAGGCATTTCCACTAATATGAATGACGGATTGCTTGAGAATGATTCCTATTCCATGTAAGTAAGCATAAAATTTCAAATATACTATATTAATCTGACTCAAACTCGGTTTTTTTGTTTGAAACTTGGAATTAGGGTCTGACTTAATGATTATTTCTTTCTTTTTTTTCGGTCGAAACTTAATGATTAATTCTATAACATAGAAAGAGGTTGGTTTTCTTGTACAATGATTTTTAGTTATCGTTTTCATTTTCATTTTATGACTTAGATGAGGGGATTTTGAGGAATGTCTACTATCTTTGTTAGGTGGGCAGCAAACTCATGTTCCATATGATATGGACCTCATATCGGGCATTGTACCAGTAATTTTGGACAATTCAAAAATGTGGTATAGGGTAGGGTGGTGGCAACATGTATGAAGTTGGGAGCTAGAGGAGCTACCCATGTGGAAGGAGTTACTCGTGTTGATCTCAGCGAGAACACTAGTTTCTCAAATCTTTTACTCATAAACGGAACTGCAAGACTTCTAAAATGGTAAATTTGTATTTCATTTTCTTTTATTGTTAAAAGCTTTAAAATTGGCTTCTTTGGGATGGTAAAACCTACTTGTTTGTTTCAAGGTGTGGTTCTGAACATGCAAATTCATTTTCTCATTTTCATTCTCTGAAAATATTCTTTGAAAACATTCTCCAAAAACGCTACCAAACAAGCCCTAAGTTAAGGTGAGATATTTGTTTACAGTATAATTCTAAATATAGGTTCCTAGTGCTATATCATCTTTGTTTTCACATTTTACATTGTTTACTTATTCTTATATTACTTGCTTAATTACATTTTCACCATCTTAATCCTCTTATCGTTTAATTCAAATATAATTAGAAATAATCACTTTAGTATTTAATAGATTAACTTGATCCCTGCTGGAACAATACTCTATTTACCACTATATTAATTTGAGCAATATTATCCACTTGCAATTAATCACATCAAATTTTGGGGTCATTGCCAGGGACTTAGTCTATTAATATTAGTGCGCTTTATTTTCTAGTTATACTTTAAATATTTAATTAGTTAAATTTTGATTTCAAGTACTTTTTGAGTTCAATTTAATGAACATGAGAAGCTTCAGACCACGAACAACAAAAGCAATACAAAGGAGACAACCCAGCTCACGGAAAAAAAAAAAAAAAAAAAAAAAAGGAGAAAAAGGAAAAAAAAAAGGAAATAGCAGTGTGTAAAAGAAAAAAATAAAGAAGGTTTGACACAGCAACTCCAAGTCTACTACTAGGAGAACTCCTGGAACGCATAATTCCCACTTCACAACAGGATTCCAACTCCTTTCTCAATTTAATATTCTTTTCCTTTTACACTTAAAGTTTCTTTTTCTAATTGTGTTTGGGTTTTGTTTCCTTCTTCAATTCTATCATTTTCTCTTTATTTAAACAATCCTTTGCCCTTGTTTGCAGGTATAACAACTTCGTTTCTGATCATACGGTGAAAGACTGATACCCACTCTTCAATTAGCCAACTAGTTGAATTGGAACCTGAGATTGAACAAAAGCTTCGAGAAATTTGTAGGAGACAAAGACAAGACGAAGAAAAGAAGAATAAACAAGGAGAAGAAAAGATGGCCTTTGTACCGAATGAAACAATGGGAGACCTTGATATCCCAACAATTTCAACGTCACCTTCGAACATCGTTCTCCCTACAACAACCAGGAATTATGAACTGAAAAAATTTCACTTCAATATGATGCCTTCTTTCCATGGATTAAGTTCTGAAGATCCTTTAACTCATATTAGAGATATTCTTAAAATGGTTTCTAACATGGCTTTCACAGAGGGAGTCACTGAAGAACATCTCATGATGAAAGTCTTTCCCTACACAGTGAAAGATAAAGCAAAAATGTGGTTGAACTCCTTGAGGCCTAGATTTTTGACTAGCTAGACGGAGGTACAGAACAAGTTCTTAAAGAAGTTCTTTTCGAATGAGAAAACCGATGCACTAAGGGATAAAATAAGGCAATTCAATCAACAAGAAAATGAGTCCTTTTCTGAGGCATAGGAATGGTTCAATAATTTGTTAATACAGTGTCTTCATCATGGTTTGCCTATTCTAGTTCTCATGCATATATATATTTTTTTTATAAGGCATTAATCATTTCAAGTAAGGCTGCATTAAATAACTATGAAAGTGGATCTATTAAGAAAAAGACGTGAATTGAATGTCAAACTTTGTTTGATCCTCTAGCTATCGAAACACAACATTCTAAAGCAAGAGGTAAGCATGCCGGAGTTTATGAAATTGGTAATTCTAATGCTTTTGCTTCAAAAGAGTAGGTTGATGCTATTACCAGTAAATTGGATGCCTTACTTGCTATAAGTGGGAGAGTTTCAACACAAGAGATTTACAATATTTGTGTTGTTCCTAGTCATGCCACCATATCGAGTCCTCATGGAGTTGATTTTTCAAAATTTGTGCAAGAATAGGCAAACATGGTGAATACCTATAGACATCCTGGCAACGATCCATTCTCCAACATGTATAATCCGGGATGGCAAAGGCACCCCAATTTATCTTGGAGCAATAATCAGAATGTGCAAAGACTATCATCGGGATTTGAACTACAAAAGAAGAAAAATAACTTGGAAGACATTATCACACAGCTCGCCACAAATACAAATAGGATGGAGATAACCCTACAAAACCATGCCGCTTCCATCAGAAATTTAGAAGTTTAAATAGGTCAATTGGCTAATGCACTCATGATACGAGAGAGAGGAGTTTTACCTAGCCAATCAGAAGTTAATTTGAAAATTCAAGAACATGTGAAGGCATTTACACTTCGAAATGGGAAGCCCATAACAACCGCTGTAGATTTAGACGCAGAAAAGTAGCAACAACAGCTGAAAACTACAGAAAAAGCTTATGAAAATAGCCTTAACACTGCTGGACCACCGAAACTCGCCGCCATGAGCTCCACCAGAAATTCAGCAAAAACTAAGCAACCACCATCCACAAATCTCATTCCAAAATCCCACGTTTCGCCGATTCCTTTTCCACAACGCCTGAAGAAAAATAAGAAGGATGCACAGTTCTCAAAATTTCTTGAAATTTTCAAGAAACTGCAAATTACCATTTCATTTAGCGAATCACTAGAGCAAATGTCGAGCTATGGAAAGTTCCTCAAGGAAATATTAAGCAAAAAGAGATGTTTCGAAGATATTGAGATGGTGAAATTGACGGAGGAGTGTAGTGCAACAATACAAATGCAACTACCACCTAAGCGAAAGGATCCAGAGATGTTTTCTATTCCTTGAACCATTGGCACTATTTCTTTTCAAAGAGCATTGTGATATCTAGGTTCTAGTATTAAACTAATGCCTTAGTTTATAGCTAAAAGAATTGGTTTGGGGAAAATTAACAGGACCTGCCCTGAATTCCTTGGAATTTGTAATGAGTCCTGTGGTATTTCCGACATCAAGATGATGTCGGGCCACTTACTAATGAAATAACCTCTTTTCCAAATCAAGGAAAAAAGGGACGAGACTTTCTGCCGAAATTTTGGCAGTCTCCCTTGAAAAACGGACATTTACCAAATGTTTCACCTGTAAATATCACAATATAAAAACTCCCAACTGACAGCATGCACAATAGAAAAGCCATAACGATTAATACCAAGATAGTTCTCATATACACCCCAAGCATTTTCCTTAAAACTTCACAAATCTATAATCTCATGCAGTCAAAATACTCACAATCATTCCTCTCATGAATCATATTTTTCAAAGTATAAAATGATGCATCACCCAACACTATGTGATTTCATAAATAGAGTATTAGTCATGCATCATACTAGGGTCCAATATACCAAAATACGTATACCTTCAGGTCTGACATCTCTGAACCTACATGTATATTAGTGCATAGGCACTAGAGCCCACAACTAACTTCTCAAAAATACAAGTAACATAGTAAGGCTTTAATACATAAGTGCGTTAACAACAAAGGTTATCTAGCTCTAAGTATACAACCACATAATATTTAAACTTCATAAAATCATAGACTGGACAATTGAACGGAAATGTGTGACATAATATCATAGTCAATCTACCTAGACACGAAGTAGATAATGCATAACTTTAACAGTTTATTTTGCGGCTGCACTTAGGTTAAACCCCAGGCTACCTACGTACCCCTTTGTGAGGGATCAAGTCACCTATATTTCTTAAATCAACATTCACGATTTAGATAATATACGAGTATTTAAAGTAATGTCAACGATTAAATATAGATTCAATTACAACATCAAATTCCACAAGGCAACCACTGAACACTTTAATAGTTCCTTTCCTTTTATATGTTCTTTCTCACAACATACCCTATCCAAGGCGTACGTTGCTGAACAACACTTTCCAAACTATCAATCAGACGTTTATACCTGATCAGATACTCACGAAGCACCAGGTCAAGAATCACGACCCGAAAACGTATATATATATATATATATATGTATATATATGTATATATCAATACACACACCTCACACCATCATCATGTACCAAGGGAAGAACAATCCAATCCGACGATCGTTTGACTAGACCACATGGAGGAATCCTTAACAACCATGCGGCCAGGGACGAGCCGTCCATCTAGGGGACTAGGCTAACCAGAAAGCACACAGAATTCTCAATACTCGTAAGCCTGTGACAAGTCCTTCGTGCGCAGACTAACCAGCTATCCATTTTTATGTATCCAAGTATCCATGTCCACAGTTTCCAAGTATTGGTATCCAAGGGGAAGTCCATATAATAGTATATATCATATAACGAGGAAAACAATCCACACGGGGATCGTTTGGCTAAACAACACGAAGGAATCCTCAACAACCATGTGGCCAGGGACTAGCTGTCCAACAGGGGGACTGGGCTTACCAGTATGCACAGTAGAATCCTCAATACTCGTGCGTCTGTGGTAAGTCCTACGTGCGCAGACTACTGAAAGTTCCTACATGTTCAATAGGGTTTATTATACATGTCCTGCAAGTTTGGTCCGAATCGAACGGTCGAATCGCTCGCGATCGCACAATAAGACGATTATCGTTTAACGCAAACTTTAAGTCATTGAATCAGAGTATCCAGGACTCCAATTCATGATCTGCGAATTCCTACACGATCCTAGAGATGCCTATATCAACATATTTGAAAATGGAGTCCATCCAACGGTCCGAACATATTGAACCCGAACAACGCCTAATATGCGTAATCCGATCGACAGTCAAACGATAACCAAATTTAAATCCGAGCATACCGTCGTGCTCAGGACGACATGAGGATCATTTTAGGACCCAATGGCCCACCACAAAGTGGCCCAAGCATGGGCAGTGTGTGGGTGGCCCGAGTAAATTCCAGCGATCGGAAAATCTCCAAACCGCCAATCAAGACCTATGCCAAAAGATCAAGCACATCAAGAGGAGTAAGTTTCATACCTGCGTCGAGGACTAATTTGGCCGTTAAAGCCCTCGAACGAACGGTTTTCTCTTAGAAAAACCTAGAAGGCAGCTAGTGGTGGCTAGAGTGATTTCGGACCCAAAAGGGGAGGTAGGGGAGTGATTTAGGACCCAAAAGGCAGCTAGTGGTGGCTGGAGTTGGTCAGAAAACCAGTCGAAAGTCACAGCTTCGAAATAGCCATTTTTTGAACCTCTGTTTAGATCGATTTTCTGGTTTAATCACTTGGAATCATGGCTAGATATGGGTATATATGGAAAGAGGAGAGAGAGACGAAGAGTTTGCAAGTTGTGGCACCGATTTTGGTGGCTGGACGGCAGAGATATCTCTATCTGAAACTGAAAGAGAGAGAAGCATATTTGTGAGGGAGAGAGAAAGAGAACCAGATTTTAAAAACCCATTTTTGAAATATTTACAGTTATGCCACTGGGCTTCCATAGATCATAAACTTTTCGTTACAACTCTGATTTGAGCTTACTACGTGTCTATGAACTCATCTCGACGTGATCTACATCATGGTGCAATTCCCCAATGACCAAAATAACCCTATCCCCGGGGGCAAAATCATAATTTCATAATTTATTAATTTAATCAAATTAAACGAATACTTAAATTTGGGTCGGGATGTTACAACTAAGAAAACTACTATTTCTTTGCAGATGGCGGATAGATCACTTACATATCCTCACGACATTCTTGAAGATGTATTAGTGAAGGTGGATCACTTCATATTCCAAGTTGATTTCATAGTTTGGATATGGAAGAAGACGTCGACACTCCAATTATTTTAGGCCGCCCATTCCTCATTAAGGGAAGAATGATAATTGACGTAGAAAAAGGTTCTTTGATCCTACGAGAAACCAATCAAGAGATGGAATTCAAAGTTTTTTATGCAACCAAGTACGTACCCATTGATTCAAAGTTTTTGGAATTTAAAGCCTGGATTATTGACTTCATATTTCTCTAATACAAAAAGTAAACTGCAATAAAAGTAAATAAACTAGTAAAAACAATGAGAGCAAATCAATAGATCTATCAAAACTAAGGATTGCCACCACCTTGTATCGATTATGGTTCAAAGTAGAGCTAAGGAATAAGTGGCAATCGAGTATAAGATCAGAACTAGGCTGTGACGGGATCATAATTATCATAATAGAGCAAAAGGCACTAAGAATGGCCTTCAACTGAAGGAATCAATTGACAATCGATACCAAGGAGGCTTGGTAGAGAAATAAACAGTGAAACCAGGTCTTCGACTGAAAGAGCTAGGGTTTTTGTGTAGAGTTTGTTGTTAAAAAATTATGCCTCCTTTGGTCGTGAAGCATCATCTTCTTTTATATGCACGTAGCCCTAGCATAGAGAAAGTACATTCCTATTAGGTTACGGTTAAGATTGGATCATAATCAATCAGAGTCAATCTTCTCAATTGATTGTCTTCACTGTCAAGTAATCCTCAAGAATATCTATTAATTTAGGTAATTATCATATAAATAATAATTCCTTAATATCAGCCACAGTACGATATTCATTCAATATTAAAGCCCAAGCCATGATTTGGCTCAATATGACTTTAAACTTGGTTCTATAAAAACAGGTCCAAAGAAAGTCACTTATCGCTTATGTTAGTGTTAGAGGTTATCTCTCACACACTGCCAATGTGTCATAGGGTTCGAACCCAAGACCACTAGTCAAATTCCTTTTCTATTGGGCTAGACCCCTGTTGGCAAAAAAAAATATAAATTCTTATTTTAAATTGAATATCTTGAATAGTGGGTGCAAAATAGAAGTTTCCTACTTGTCCTCGCAAGGCCATAAGGCCATTTCCAACACATGAGGCCAAATCTAAAAAATTCCAAATTATAGCCTTATTCTTCTCCTAACCCAAGAAAAGTAAGGGGCCAAAATTTGGGAAAATCCAAACATGGGGCCAAATACCAATCCAGCTATTGCCTGGACTGGAAAACTTTTTGGTGAAGCCCACTCAAGGATGACACAGCCCATGTGCAAGGAAGAATCAGTAGGCCCCGCAGCTATTGCTATGTTGTAGATGTTGTCTCGCCATGTGGCAAATGCTGGCAACAATTCAAACATCTCTTCTTCTTTTTTATTATATTCTAATAGTAACCCAAATCAACGATCTAGATTAAATCGAAGTTATTTTAACGGTAAAAAAAGAAGATCCAACGGCTAAAATTTAAATCCAATGGTCAAAATAATATTTTAAATTAATCTAAATCAGATGCAACCCCAAAACTCACTCCAAACTCTATAAATACCCACTCATTTCTCAAATAATCTACCCTTTCATTCTTGTTGAAGATGTCCACAAAATCTCAACAAGGTATGAATTGGAGGTCTGAAGAAGATGAGGCATTGTGCAAAGGGTTCGTTTCCGTTAGTGAAGATGGGATTATTGGCACCAATCAAGCAAGCGACCACATTTTGGCAGCTTGTATATCAAAAGTTTCTGAAAAATTATATGGGCCTTAGTGGACCCGAGCGACGAACACACCAAGCCATTGCTTCTCGGTTCAAAACTATCAACCAACAATGTTCTCCTTGGAAGGCATGCTTGACTAAGGCCAATACTAACCCACAAAGTGGCTCAAATCTACATGATGTGGTAAGTACCCATTCTTATTAAAGCCTTAAATTATATTTGTCATTTTATTCAACTCCAAACTCCTTTTTTTGTCCATGCATAGGACGTGTATGCGAAAATGATCTTTCTTAATGATAATAAGCCTCCTGTTGATGCCCAAAAAAGTCACGGGAAGTTCAAAGACATTTAAAACCCAATATAACGTATAATGTTAGTCATACGTTAACCTAAGCTATATTTTGGGAATTCATTCATTAAATAAATATAGAAATAGTGTGCATGTCATGCCATGCTAAGCCAATAATACATTTTTCATATGTTGATCACCTATCAAGCTCACATGTAGGGGTGGCAATTTTGGACATGACCCGATACACGACTCGAAACCCGCACGATAAAAAAACAGGTTAATTTCGGGTCAACCCGTTCTTACCTGTTTAATAAATGGGTGGATTTCGGGTCAACCCGCTATAATACCTGTCTAACCCGTTTATTAAACGGGTCGTGTCAACCCGTGTAATACACACCAACCTACGAAAAAATGAAGAGAAATGTAGAGTTCAGCACACACACAAGGGGTTTCGAACCTCCACCACCCTCATTCCTCTCCAACACTTTATCCACCATGCTACATACAACTTTATGATTATATACTATGGCTTTTGATATTTATAATGTTTCTTTTTCTTCTTTTATTTTCCGTCTATCTTCTCCTCTTTCTTTTTTTCTTTCTTTTCCTTCTCTCTTCTCTCCTCTTTTTTTTTCTTTTCCTTCTCTTTAGTTTTCTCTCCTCTCTTTTTTATTTATTTCCTTCTCTCTTCTCTCCTCTCTCTCTCTCTCTCTCTCTCTCTCTCTCTCTCTCTCTCTCTCTTTTTCTTTCTTTTCCTTATATTTTCTCTCCTCTCTCCTCTCTCTCTGTCTCTATTTTTTTCTTTTCCTTCTCTCGTCTCTCCTCTCTCTATCTTTTTTTTTCTTTCTTTTCCTTATATTTTCTCTCCTCTCTCCATTTTTTTTATATAAATTTTTTCAATTGTGAGTTTTGTAACATGCATGTTATTATTTATGAACCTGTTATACGACTTGAAACCCGCACGATAAAAGACGAACCGAACCCGACACGACACGTTTATTAAATGGGTTAGGTTCAGGTTGAGCATTCTTGACACATTTATTATCCCGACACGACACGACCCATTGCCAGCCCTACTCACATGAACCCAAGTCATGTGGTTTACAGGGGCTTGCACGAGGGATTGTGGTGTGGAAGGTTACGGAGGTCCATAAGGCCCACAGAAGCTCTTGGACAATGGACATGTTGGGCTAGCTACTTGGGAGCACCAAAGTCCAAGCCCATTACTTGGAGTTCTCCAATGTGGGTGAGAAAACGAGATATTTTTCAAGCTCTTCCTTTTACCCATAGGAAATAGTCATTTTCCAATACCTAGCTTTACATGCTAGAAATAAGAATGTCCTAATGCTCCCTATTACCCGTTGGAAACAAGCAAATTCCAACACTTCCTTTTACCCATAGGAAATAGTCATTTTCCAATGCCTATCTTTACCTGCTGGAAATAAGAATGTCCCAATGCTCCCTTTTACCCGTTGGAAATAGACTAGCTCCAACACTTCCTTTTACCTATTGGAAACCAAAGAGAGCCTTCACCTTCTATAAATTGGGAGGCATTGCCCAGCCAAAATCAACCCCTCTTAGTTGTTTCAAGCCTCTCAAAAACCATGAGAACTCACCTTTCTTCAGCTGCTGCAAGCATTCCAGCAACCACCAATTTTTCTTCAGCCATTAAGCCCCCCTCATTCAGCTGCTGCAAGCAACACAGCAGCCATAGACCAATTTTTCTCCAACCCTTAGTCCCTTCCTTTAGCAGCACAATAACTTCTTGTTTTGGCTACTGCAAGCATCCCAGCAACCATCAACCCCCTTCTTTAATCATCACACCTCCTTCCTAGCTGTTGCAAGCACCACAACCATAATCTCCTCTCCTTGAAACCATTCTCCCTATAAAGCCTTACCTAGCATAACTCCAAGCTTTTCCTTCTTCTTCATACCCTTCCAAGCTATAAACACCATAGCCTTCAAGCCTCAAGCTTTTCTTCCCATCCTCCTTCTCTTGAAACTCTTAAATCTATAAAGCATCACCTAACTCCAAGCTTTTCTTTCCTTCCAAGCTTTAAACACCATAGCCTTCAAACCTCAAGCTTTTCCTTCCATCCTCCTTCTCTTGAAACTCTTAAATCCTCATAGCCATAGCCACAAACTACAAATTATCAACACCCAAACTCAAACATATCCAACACCAAGGCAAGCACATGCATTCTCATTTGCTAAACTTGTGGGTCTTTAGCTCCTACACTCCAAGCTCTCGTGCCAAGCTCATATAATCTCATATCAACATCAGCAAGTCATCTTCAACTATTCGTCGAGCTGCCGGAAACATCAGCACAAAACATGCAGTCGCTGGAAGAAGAATAAAGTACTCCCCTGGGACTTGCTTCTCTCTCGGGATACTTTGGGCCTAATTCTTGCTAACTCATAAAAAAGGGCAACGAAGGCTTGATTCATCACTCTATGGCGATCCAAGAATCAACAAGCCCGGACGAGCCTTCCGACGGAAAAAGACCCCAACACCTCCAAATAGGCCTTTCAAGTTGTACCATTCTTGGGAAATCATAAAAGATTTCCCAAAGTGGAACGATATAAATGAGCCTCCCACACAACGATGCAAACGATATCGCCATGCCTAGTCCACGACCATCCTTGCCTAGTCCAAGGCTTGAGGGCCGAGATAAACAAAAGGCTGCCCAAAAAAACAAAAAACAAAAAACAAAAAGGGAATATGGCTGACCCTTCTCAACAAATAAGGGATAAGTACTTGGAATCATTGGTTGAGCAAGGCATTCCTTTCGAGAAGGATAGGAGATCGGAGCTCAATATATTGGACAAGTTTGTCCAAGATCAAGCTTACGCTTATGCTTATGCGTATTAGAAGTAACAAGATAAGGAAGCCCAATAACAAAAAATAATGTCTATAGACGTGTCCAAATTTACTCCAAGAAAGAAGAAGTATTGGGGGGTTAAACAAGGTGAAATTATGCAAGAACATGCACTGGATCAACAGTTTGCCGTTAATCTTGAAGACAACTCAGGGGACTATTATCCAAGCCCCCACGATGGTGGTTATTAGTTTATTCCTATTGGGTTTTATGTATGGTGAATTTTGGGTTTCATGTATGGTGAATTTGAAGTATTGTGTGTTCTCTTTTAGAACAAAATTCTATTTGTGAAATTTCAATTGTTTTTAGATCAAATTGTTCAAAAAATTAAATTATGAAGTTATTTAAAAAGATTAAATGAATAAAAGTTATCCATGAAAAAATAAATAAACTTAAACCATTTTTATACAATTTAGGGTTAATGACCTAAATGGTCCCCCAACTATCGTGAGATTATCATTTTGGTCCACCAACTAAAATTTTCAATTCAAACGTCCTTAAACTTTTTATAATGTACCAAAATCGTCCTTCCGTCAAAGTCTGTGTATTATTCCGTTAAATCGAGGGACAAAACCGTATTTTTAGGTGAGTATATTTAACGGAATAATACACAGACTTTGATGAAAGGACGATTTTGGTACATTATAAAAAGTTTAAGGACGTTTGAATTGAAAATTTTAGTTGGTGGACCAAAATGATAATTTCGCGATAGTTTGGAGACCATTTAGGTCATTAACCCAACAATTTAATAAAGTTGCTGATTTTGGGGGGGGAAACTGGTTTGAGTCCGAACAAAACCCAAATAGTTACTTTTTGGATAGAGGAAATTTGGATTTAAGTCCAAATGGGTTGGAGAAGGCCTAAGACCATATTCAACCATTGGGGTGGAAACCCAAATTTTCAGTTTTACGTCCAAAATTCTTCTCAAACCCATGTATTTTGGGGGGTGGACATTTGAAAAATCTCAAATTTGGGGTGGTCCAAGTTTTGCCTAGACTGGTATTTTATGTGGAGCCCAAAGTTTGCTTGGAAGTAGGGCTCGTCAATGGGCCGGGTCGGGCTAGCTTGGCCCAAATTTAATGGGCTTGAGAAGGGCCGGGCCGGGCTTTAAAGAGGAGAGAGAAAATATCGGGCCAGGCTAGGCTGGGTTTCAAAGCCCAAGCCCAAGCCCGACCCATGGGCCGGACTTGAGAAAGCCCATCGGGTCGGGCCAAGCTAAGCCCAATGGGCCGGGCCGAAACGGGCCTATTTCATTCGAAAAAAATCATAAACTTAATCATAAGGGCATTTTAGTCCAAATTTGAGATTAAACTCATTTAATTCCAATATTTTCACATTAAACCAAATTCATAAAAGACTCAATAAAGTCACACAACTTAATAAGATTTTCCACAAAAATAATAAAATCAAGTATTATTTTTTAGGTTATTACATAATTAGACCGTAATACGTTTTAAGAAATAATTTAAAAAAATAATAAGTATCAAAAAAATAATTTTTTTAAAGAATGGTATGAATAATATACAAATGTTTGGTGATGTGTTCAAGAAAAGCATGATTATATTTGGTGGTACGATTATGTTTCGTGATATGATTATATTTGGTGATATGATATGTTTTTCATCTTATTTATATATATAATTGTTGTATTAATAATTGACACAAATTAATGTGCTAATCATCCAATTATAAACTAGGAATGAGTAAAGAAAAGTAAATGAAATGAAACAAATTATATATGTGATTTAGGTGATATAATCATAATCCTAAACTCTTATTTATACATAATTATATATGTATGCGGGCCTAACAGGCCGGGCTTCCCAAGCCCAAGCCTAGCCTAGCCCAGCCCAAGGCAGGCCAGGCTAGGCTTTTTTTCGATGGGCCGGCGGGCCCCCATTGGCCCATGAGCCCGTAGGCCAAAGGATGAGGCCTACTTGGAAGTCCATGTGAAGAAGAAAAGTTGATGGGCCCCACGAGACAGCTTTGCTGTCTGGCCAGTAGATTTGTGCGACATAACTGGCAGCTTCAGCAAAAGTGATTCCAACATCTAAAAATTCAAAAGCCGTGCTGTTTTTTTTTATAAAAAAAACATATATATTTTTATAATTCCAACAGCTATATTTTATATCAATGATCAGGATTAATTTTAGGCAATCTGAACTGTAAAATTTCACATCCAACGGCTCAAATTTAAATCCAACGATCAAAATAATATTTATAATTAATCTAAATCAGATCCAACCACAAAACTTATTCCAAACTCTATAAATAGTCATTCATTTGGTAAATTTTATTTTTTTTTTTTTTTTTTTTTTTTCCTTTGTTCTATTTTTTCATTCTACTTTCATTCTTGTTGAGAATGAACCCCAAAACCCTAAAGAGGTGTGAATTGAAAACCACAAGAAGATGAGGCATTGTGCAAAGGGTGGGTTTCTATCTCTGAAGATGGGCCTATTGGCACCAATAAATCAAAAGACTCATTTTGGTTGCGTGTGTACCAAAAGTTTTTGAAAAATAATCCGGGCATGAGCGGAGCCGAGGTACGATGACAGCAAGCTATTGCTTCTCGGTTCGAGATCATCAACCAACAATGTTCTCTATGGAAGGCATGTATGATAAAGGTCAATGCAAGGCATGTGAGTGGCTTCAATCTTGAAGATGTGGTGAGTACCCATTTTTTACAATGCTTAAATTTATAATTCTAATTCTTTTCAATTATTAACTTGATTTTTATTTTATTTCATGGGTATGATATAAATGCAAAAACAATTTTCTTGAATGATAATAAACCTCCAAAATAGACCTTTCAAGTTGTATCATGCTTGGCAAATCTTAAAAGATTACCCAAAATAGAACGACCTATGTGAATCTCCTACACAAACATTCAAAGATTCTTCTCATAGTGGCAATACAGTCAATTTGGAGGAAGATGAAGATGATGTGGTCATGCCTACTCCAAGGCCGTTGGGAAGAGATAAACAGAAGGATGAAAAAAAGAAAGGGAAAGGTGTTGAAGGTTATCTCAACCAAAGTGGAAAGTTCTTGTTTGAATTGGTTCAACAAGGAAATGAGGCAAAGGATGATAGGAGGCAAAAGTTAGAGCTCCTACAAGAACAACATGCCTATAAAATCCAACAAGATAAGGAGGCCAATGAACAGAGGATAATGTCCATGGACCTATCCAAATTTACTCTGAGAAAGAAGAAGTATTCGGGAAATATGCAAGACGAAATTATTGAGGCCCAAATGAATACAAGTTCCCCTTACAATCCAGAAGACAACTCTAGAGACTATTATCCAAGCCCTCCACATAGTGGTTATTAATTTATGTTTATTTGTAATTGTTGATTATCTTTATTTATAATTATAGTTTATCTTTATTTATGATTGTCTTTTATTTTTCTATGATTAGTCTTTTTTTAAATTCAATAAACCACATAATTCATTAAAATCACACAACCGCTTTTATAATTTAAACACACAACGTAGCTCATTGGCCTTCTCCTTCGCATCTCCAAATGTGGTTGATCAAATCATTTCTTAGATTGTGATGCACTTGCGAAGCACAGACTCCATTATGACGGACCATGTAGTCTGAGATAGTTTGTTTGTCTCGATTTATATTGTACGTGATAGTTGGCTCAAGCTCATAAGCAAGTCTTGCTCTTGCTCTTTTAGATGTTCGTGGACAATTATCATCATCATCAGATTCTGCATCTAGATCCTCATACTCATTCTCAACAATCATGTTGTGCAATATTATGCACGTCATCATGATTGAATGAAGTTGTTCTTTGCGCTACATACGTACAGGTCCCATAACAATTGCCCATTGAGCTTGAAGTATTCCGAAGGCTCTTCGAAATCATTCTTATAAGCCTCTTGTTTTTGGGCATTATAGTTTTAGTATTCGGTTGGGATCGTCTTAACTAATATAGCCCAATGAGGGTAGATACAATCGGCCAAGTAATAACCCAGATTGTGTGGTCAATTCGGTAGAATAACACTTCTTAAATAGATAAAAGAATGAGATGACCTACATGTTTAAAAATAATTGAATAAAGATAGGAACAGATAAGGGAATCCAATGAAGTGAGATGAACAAAGATGAGCAATGGTTCAGAACATGATTGAAACCATATAATAAGAGATGGGAAATGGTTGAGAAAATAATTGAATGAAGATAGGAAAGATAAGGGAATCCAATAAAGTGAGATGGAAAAAGATGAGCAATGGTTCAGAACATTATTGAAACAAGACAATAGGAGATGGGAAAGGGTTCAAAAAATAATTGAAGAACACAAGTGGAGGTAGGCAAAAGTTCAGAACATTATTGAATGAGGATAAAGGAATCCAATGAAGTAAAAGTAAAAGTAAAAATGGAAGACAATTATGGTAATGGCTTCAATGAAGGGTTCGAATTATTCCGGGCATACGCAAAAATAGCAGCTCTAGGGATTGCTACCGCTTTTAAAAAAATCGTGTGGTTCAATTGTTTTTAATATAAATTGTGTGCTACTTGTTTTTACTTTCAAAGTCCATGAAATAAAATGTTGTTATTGTTGTTTTTATTTTTAAGTGAAATTCTATTATGTTTAGGAATTTTATTTTATTTAGGTTAAAATGTTTAGAAAATTAAATTATGAATGTTGAAACAAAAATAATGTCAAGAAAAATTTAGGGGTTAATCATTCTTAAACAATTTAATAAAATTGCGAACTCAAATTATGAATCTGCAAGGTTGGAAGAAGAAAAAAAAATTGAGTCTTGAAAATACATAAATAGTTATATTTTGGAAAATGAAAATTTGAGTTTTGCCCCAACATGGTTGGAGATGTCCTAACAATGGATGTCTGTGAGGGGAAACCATATATGGTTCAGTAACTCTGAAAAACCAAATTTTTTTGGAATGAGTCATCTATCGGGTTAGGAGTTTAAAATGGGTTGGAAGGTGGGTCTTTTAAGTTTGAGATATTGGATCCGACCCGACCCAACAACGCAATCCTGGTGGGGCTGAAAATAAAGAGGCACTCACACACGGGTCCTCTCCTCTCGCGTGGCTCTTCTTGCTCTCCATTGCGTTTGCGCAGGTAATTCCCAAGCTTCAACTCCAAGCCTACATTTTCTCCCTTCTCAGTTTCCTTTTCTAAGTGAATGAATACTCTCTTCCATTCTCATCATTTAACATAATAAAACAATCAAATTTTTACTTCTAATTTCGCGTTTTAGTGATTGAGTGGTTGCAATCTTGTATTTCATTGGTAGTAAAATCCATATGAGCCTGCTAACTGTTTGATGAAATGCCTCTGGGAGAATCTCTGTCTTTTCTCTTTTTCTTGTCCCGTCTGTATTATAAGGGGTATTTTTTTTTTCCTACATTGTTACGACCTCCATTTGAAGCTCAACTATAAAGGCCCAACTAGGCATGTTTGAGCTGCTTCTATCCACTGCGTTGTAATTTGTAGCATATGGCTAATGGAAACTTGTTGCATGAATTTTTCTATTGTATGCATACATGTGTTGCTTTTTGGAATAAGTTTCTGAGCGAGCAAGCCTCTCTCAGATTGTGCCCTTCTCCTTCAGAGGGAGCGTCCTTCACAGCGAGTTCAGAGTTCAAAGCGTGCTCTTTGTATTTAATGTTACAGGGGCTCAATTGTTTGAACAATTGGGGTCATCAATTTTGGGATCACAAGTGAAAACTTTTTGCATCTGATCACAAGTTAACACTACTAGCTGCCTGGTTTCCTCATCTTTGTGGTTAGCTGGTTGGTAGGCCCTTTTAACCTCTACGATGGAGTAATATTTCCTCACCTTTGAAAAACGCATATTGGATCATCTTGTTGTGCATATTATATTTGGCTTTTATAGCATACCTTTTAGTCTATGATTTGGAAAGTTTTCAAAAGGCAAGTGCTTGGTATTTAAGTTATAATTCTCTAAAAACTACTAAGCTAAAATAAAACCAAACCATATATGTGATCCGTTTCATTTTGTTAAGCATGAAACTGGAGGTCTTCCTCCTTATCCCTTGTATTAGATTGTTAGACATGGATCTGATATGGGTAATAACCTGATTCCTTCTGTAAATGTGAAAAAACAATTTCAGGAGGAGACAGGTTTGCACTCGGTGAAATCATCTCAGCGTACATCTGATTACTGGCCCATTGATGTCTTTGTCAATCTCTATTAAGCCTCATGTAAGTAAATTTTAATCCTATTAAGAGATTAGAGTAAAATATCCAATTGTGCTCTTGTATCCCTTTCACATATACTTTCATGTGACTGATCTTGTTATATGAGACTTGTATTTCATTATTTAGTTGCTTTGGTTTCTCTGTTTTTGGTTATTAGTGTAAGATCAGTTAAGTGGTTTCTCTGTTTTTGGTTATTAGTCTAATACTTAATAATAATTGTTAGTAATCAGTTAAGTGGTTATGATAAGTACACATACTAATATTGATGTTCTGTTTTGCAGATAAATAATAAGATTGTCAGTAAATAATTGGATTGTCAGAGATTGTACTTATCTCTCGTGGCTCTTTTCTTGCTCCATTGCGCAGGTATTTTCCAAGCTTCAACTCCAAGCCTACATTTTCTCCCTTCTCAGTTTCTTTTTTTAAATTGATAATCAAATTTTTGCTTTTAATTTCGTGTTTTAGTGATTGAGTGGTTGTCTTTGATTGTATTTCATGTTTTAAATTGATAATCAAATTTTTACTTTTAATTTTTACATTAGCCTACCAACTGTTTGATGAAATGCCTCTGTGAGAACCTCTTTGTCTTTTCTCCTTTTCTTGTGCCTATTGCTCACTCAAATGGGTCTGTATTATAAGTTTTTTTTTTTCCATTGTTACGACCTCCATTTGAAACTTCGAACTATAAACTCTATCCACTGCATTGTAATTTGTAGCATATGACTATGGGGCAACTTGTTGCATGAATTTTTTTACTTTCTCATCATTGTGTGCATGTGTGTGTTGTTTTCTGGAAAAAGTTTCTGAACTGTTATGGTCTTGATTACAGAGCTGAAAAAGAGTCTTGACAGTAAAGAAAATGCCACATAGAACTCGACCTATGACTGCACTCTTGGTGTTTACTGGGCTGAATATTGTACTAGTTTCAACCATTACTCCAGTCTATGATTTTGTCTGCTTCCTTCCATACTGGGAAAGAAGGGTATGTTTTCTGTCACTATTTGTTAAGCAAATTATATTCCAGAGAAAAAAAATATGGTATTAAATGTCTTAGAGAACTTTCGTTTGGTTGGCGATACGCTTGCAGGATGCATCTTAAAACTAAGCTTGACCAACTCTTTACTTGTATAACTATGCTTGCTACCACATGATGTTATTATATTCACTCACTTACCAACTTAAATCTTGATCTTCCCGGTTTTGTATCAGTGAGGTCAAAGTTGTCAAACATAAACATCATTTTTGTTGCTTAAAACTTTCTGGTATGATCACTAAGTTGATATCTATTCCGTAATAGTGGCTTCGGTGGAATGAATTTGAAAGCTTGGAAATGTAAAATTAGACATATTGTTACTGAATTTGATTTCTTCTGTTATTCAGTTTCTAAAATAAAAAACTGTAATCCCTCCAATCCAATGCGATCAGTTCTGGATTGGATTGGATTGAGTCAGTTGGTTGGTCTTTTAGATTCGTTTTGTGGATCCCTACATCTGGTATTTATGTTTCTTTGCAGAGAGAACGATGTCGTCAGGAACGTGAAGCAATTTTATCAAATGGTCCTGAATCAAAATAGAATTATTAGTGAGATCAAACCTCTGGAGTTACAGGTTTTAAGCTTTTTTTAATATTTAATGTAGTTCTGCTATATGATTTATTGTAAGATTTTAGTAAATTAAGGATAAGAAGGTATACGAAGCTTTTGCATGCCTGCTTATGGATGTTCACTCCATATATTGTATAATCTAATTATAAAATATGTTTAAAATAAAACCTTAAAGATTTAGAGGAGATTACAGTTCATGTGATGCGGGACAACACAAGGTGGGGTGTTGCCTATGATTAAGTAGAGAAGAATAGGGAGGAGAAAAGAGATAAAGTAAAGTAGGAGACAATCAAGGCACCAACAAGCCTTCAATAAGACTTCAATATTTCGTTCATCCAATCTGGTTTGCTTTGCAAGGAAGTGCCTTGTTTATAGGCTTCAAATATAACTCTTAGTAACTTCTAGAAATACAAAATTACTCATTAAATAAGAATTGAGTAATAACACTTATATTTATGTCATGATTCTTGCACTACCATGTACATTTCATTATAGCATTATCATGAAGAGGATTTTTTTTTCCCTCCCACTATTGCATTATCATGTGTCCCCAATCAAACAAAGTTCCCTGTTCCATAGGCATTGCAACATCAATACTTCATGTAAGCTTGCTTCCTCTTGGTTGGTTTGATTCAATACTTGCTATCTTAGTGGAGAAATATTTTCTCCCTTAGATTTTGAGAAGTTGCTAGATGATTTGAAAATCATGGAAGTTAAATAAATCCATTTGTTTTACATTTATTTCTACGTCATTGAAAGGTCTATGATGAAGTTTGTAAGGCTTGTTAAGAAAGGTCTACTGGTGATTGATTTTGGAATCTACAACTTTAGCATTGAGGTTGAGGGTAGCAGTTTGTTGTGGGGAAACCAAGTGCTAGCTATAGAGAAATTGAGAGTAACCAAAATAAGGGTTTCTTTTTTCTTTTTCCAATTCAACTGCATCAAGCAATCCTCTTAATTATATCCAAGCACACGGAGGATATAATGAGGGCTTATAGAGGGGGGTTATAATGAGACGGAGGGCCCTTAATAGCCGTGTGATCAAGTGCTGAGTTATTATTGAATTTGTTGGATTGAACCCCCTCATTATAATCTCTGAACATAGCCCCGCATTATAGAAGCTCCTCACGGAGCATGTTCTCTAGGTATTGGGCTTTTAAATATATGCCACAACAATATTGGGTCCTTGCAAGTGATAGGTCTTAATGTTCTGTGCAAGCAAAGTGTTTTCTTTTTCTTCGTTGGTAAATATACAAGCAAAGTTTCAGAAGTATCATAAGGAACGGTAATGTTCAAGAACATGTAGCGGATAAAGTACTTGATCAAACTACCAACCACCCTCGTTCCTACATTAATGTCTTATCTCCCATAATCGGGAGCTCTTATTTATGTAACATATAATCCATGTACTGTTTACAGATTTCCAATTTATTGTTTGTTTAGCAATCATAAACTGCCTCTTTGTTTTGGTAACGGTGGCAGCACATCCTCCAAATATATATGCCCAATGATAATTTTTATCTTTTATACAATCAATATTGGAGGAGGGGGGAATCAAACTTAGGATCTCGGATGTATGGATAAATGTTCTTAATCACATAAGCTATAAGCCCCTTGCACGTGCAATGATTATTAAACCTAAGGATTTATACGCCAATGATACTAAAATCACCAAAATATTCTAAGGATTTGTATTTCATATGTTATAACTTATAGCCTACCCATTACATGTTTTAGATCAGTTGTTTTCGTGTACACGTGTGACTATCAATCATTGATGCATATAAAATCCATACTTTATTAATAGTTGGAAACATCTATATGAGCAACTTTGTTACTCTCAACCGTTGATACATAGTAAACACACAATACATCAATAATTGGAAGTCTTGATGATTCTCCTTTCTCTTTCTCTTGTATACACTATTATTGCCTGCTATTCAATTGGAATCAAAACTTGATTTGACCCAACTCAGAAATCGTACAGATGAGCCAATAAATTAAATTAAATAATTCTGCAACCAATATATAACTAAATGAATAAACAAATAATATTTAGATAGATAGAGAGCTACAAGCTACAAGGAAGGAAGGAAGGAAGAAAAGAATTCAATTCATGCTTTGTCAATATTGTGGTGCTTCTCTTCTCTACGCTTTCTCACTTCCCATGGCATGTGCTCTTGTCCCACTTTGTGCCCTTTACAATATTGCTTTGCTTTCCCTCTCAGCATCAATCCACTCCCCTCATTTCCTTCCTTCCTGCTTTTGACACATCATTGCTTAATGCTTATACTCTTGTGTTTCCCCAACTCAACGTTCCTTCTAATTTCACATGTTTGATCACACATCTTCATCATATGCACGCATTTAGGTTTGCCTTCAAAACTCTTCTACTGGATTTGTCTTCCTATTTTTAAAAATCATCATATAAAAAAATGATTAAAGGATATATATATATATACAACAGGCACATAGATGGAGAGCTTTACTTGAGATATTTATCGGGTAACTTTATTTAAGGGGCATCCTTGTACGTTCTACTTTGCATTGTATTATGTATGGTATATTTTTTAAGTGTTTCTTCAAAGATTATCCTTATAAAAAGTCACAAAATTCAAAACTATTTAATCACTCAATTAAATGGTTGTCATTGTTAGTGTTTTATTGAACACAGTGTTGATAGATTTTGTTGATCACAACAAGATGTCTTAATAATTTTCAATTTGTCTAATTATTTGCAATGATGATATTTGAATGAAGATTATTGAAGTAAAATTTGTAGTGGGTTCCAAAAGAGCCCCCTCAATAAAATTGATTGTGTGTATATGTATATATTATTGGACACATATATGCATATATTTGGGGGAAAAAAAATGTATGCAACCCATGAAAACTACTTTTTGTGCAAATTTTGATTAAATCTCTATCATTCATTCATGTGTCCATTTTTGTTTCCAAATGGAGAAGCAAAAGCAACTTATTCTCCCTTTCTTTTTCTGTGTTGTAAATTCACAATTTCCATATTCTCGTTTAGTTAGTTGTCAACTTGGTTAGCATTTCCCTTTCTCGTCCAAAAATTTTGATGACCTGATTAACTAACATGATGTATGTTGGCTTCTTCCCCCTCAAGCACAGTCAAATCAAATTGTTGTTTGATAGACCACTTTAATTTATGGCTAAATTACTGTTTCACCCCTTGGAACAGGTGCTTGATCTCACTTTACCCCTTGAAATTGAAATTTTCTCACTTAACCCCTTAAATCTCTAAAAATTACTGGAATTTTCTCACTTTACCACTTTCATCCATTTTCATCCACAAAACTGTCAAGTATGCTGACGTGACATGGCAATTTAGTAATTTTACCTCATCTCTCTTCTCTCTTCTCTATGTGCCTCTCTCTCACTCTCACTCCCACTGCCTCTCTCCTCTCCCCTCCCCGACCCAACCCCCATCGCACCTCACCTCCTCCCTCTAGTCTCTCTCATCTCTTCTTTCTTCTATCTCCCCTCCCCTCTCTAAACCCAACCTCCACCCCATATCTAACCCTCCTTGGAATTACTCAACACAACCAAACCACCACCACCCAGCACCTCAGCTGACACCACGCACCATGTCTTCTCAAGACACCACCTTGTGAGACAGAGACAGAGAGAAAGTGCTTGCCTAGATTAGGGCCATGCCGAGAATGGAGGCGAAGACGGTGGTTGCCCAAATTCCGACTTGTACATGCATGAACTTGGTCTCATCTCACAGGCCCAAATTCCGCATTGGATTCCATTTTGCAAGTTAGGGAACTCCACTACGATTTTCAAGCTTGCTAATGCTTCCGTTTGCAAGCTTGTTAATGTGTGAAGAAAATATGGGGGGTGGCTGTCGATGAGATTTTTTTAAATTTTGAGTTTAAAGATTTTTAAAATATATCCAATTTTCTTACTCATCACACACAAGGACTTAAAATTACTAAAATGTTTGTGCCACATCAGCACACTTAACTGTTTTGTGGATGGAAATGGTAAAGTGAGAACATTTTAGCAATTTTTAGAGATTTAGGGGGTTAAATGAGAAAATTTATGTTTCAATGAGTAAAGTGAAATCGAGCATCCATTCCAAAAGGTGAAACAGTAATTAAGTCTTAATTTAATTTTGTCCGTTGCGTTTAAATTAAATAACATCATTCTACGTGTGCATACATGTATGGCCAATAAAAGTGAGAGAGAGAGAGAGAGAGAGAGAGAGAGAGAGAGAGAGAGAGAGAGAGAGAGAGAGAGAGAGAGAGAGAGAGAGTTGTAAGTAACGTGGTATTACGGAGATAGAACTAAGTTCTAGACTCAACCGTGTTATGGTTTTTCTAAACTTCTCTTTATACTGATATTTGTTTTATTTTATGTATTTTAATTCGGTATATTTATTTACATGAATTATTTTCTGAATTTTTTGTAAATAGAGCAATTAAATCTCCTTATTTTTCCAACAAGAAGAGCAGGCAGAGCTTCAATGGCAATACAACCAATTTCAGTGGAGCTTTGTTAGTGAGAGTGCATATATATATGAGACATCAGATTACATTATTTGGTCCACATATATGATAAGTACAATTTAGTCCCCGTTGTATACTTCTTTTGCATTGGCATATACTGGATTAAATTAAGCTTATTGAATCCAACAAAATGTTTTCCTAATTAGGCAATAAAACTCAACCAAATATGGAAATAAGATTTCTCTATTACTTTTGAAAAAAGAGGAAGAGGAGAGAAGCAATAGTTATTTCCCTTAATTTAGAAGAGAGAACTCCCAATCTTTGACTTAAAATGCTGAACTCCAAGCTTCCTAGAGATTAGATATCCGGCCGTTCGCTGTTAAGATTTCATAGGGACGAACTCTTGGCCCACCACTAGTAACATCGATATTGTCCCCAACTTAACCACTTGTTTAGCATGTGTGGGGTTTTATACAAAAAGCCCTGATGTTATTAGGACTGAAACCATTTATTATATGAGACTTTCTATTTTGTTAAGTTTTTGATGTGGGACTCATGTATTCTTTAACATTCGCCACTTAGCTTTAGCTATTTTTGGTGTTCTAAAATTGTTGAATTGGATAACTGGAGGATACGCCTAGGAATCTTGATTGTTAACCAGCGGGTAGAGAGGAGGCACCAAAGGTTACGAAGTCAAAGAAAAGAGCGGATGGCCCACTCAATCAAATCAATAAACAAAGGAAAACATTATATTCCATACCTATATAACGGCGAAGAGAGGAAGTATTACATGGAATGGCCGTTGAATGGCCTCGGAGTGAACGAAGGTACCTATAGAATGGGAATTTGCATCGAACTTCAGTCTTTTGGTCAATCTCAAACCTAAACTTGAAACTTGGATTAGAAACCTAGGCTTATAACAATGTTATGATAACATAGAGTTAGATCCTAAGACCCCATTTGGTTAATGGAAAAGGAAGCTTAGGGATGAGAAATCAATTGCTTTCACATGTTCGGTAAGTCCAAGTATGGGAAATGGTTGCCTAGCTGGCACATGAGAAAGTAAGGGGGAAAGTGAAGCCCTCCTTCCAACTTGGGTTTTGTTTTCCAATCTCATGGGAAAGTTTGGGAAAATGAGTCAACATTAAATGCACACTTTTCATGACCATTTTGTCCCCATTAACAATTTAGAATTGCAATATATCATTAAATGCATTTTTTTTTAAATTGATTTAATATAGGTATAATTGGAAAATTATACAAACTTTGTTTTTCATTCCTACTCAAAACAAACATGAGAAAGGAAATAAAGTGATATCTTCCGGTTACTTTCCTAGCATTACCAAATGTGGGAAATGAATCTTCCATATTCTCATCCTTTGGGAAATGACATGAAAAGTAATTTCCCCTCAAATCCGTTATGTGAACCAAACGGGGCATGTGCCCTAAACCTCGAACCACAACATTGTATAGGATTTAAATCTTGATCACCCTAACTCCTAAGCCCTACACCTTATCTTGCCTTGCCTTGAAGTCATGGATCTTGTGCCTTGAGCGGAATTGTGATGCTTGGCCTTGTAGCAAACACATTTCATAATTCTTGAAGTTGAAAACAATTTTGTACTGGTATCAAACATGTTTTCCAATCATAAGAGTAGTGATATAGGGCACACTTTTTGAATTCTATTTTAGGCTTAAATAAATTATGACATCACATTATATTTTATAGACATTCAATAAGACTATGCTCATGCGAAAATTCCTTAGCATAGTTGATCAGTGACATTGTGCCTTATAATTGATTCATTATTTCTTTTTATACAAGTGATATTTTAGATGAAGAAAGATTTTGAACAGAATTTCACATATATAAGTAACTGCTCTTAATGACTTGAGTTAAACCTCTTGCAACGAAAGAAAAATCAATTTTAGAAACGCTTTCAACATTAGGACGAAAATTCCACAACCATAAAAGTATACAAACCCTTCAATCAAATCATTAGAAAAATATTTTATATGTTGACTTTAACAAGTAAATTCATTTGGAGACTCGAACCGAGTTTTGTCTTGAGCGAAAAAACAAATTTAAATTCATTTGACGACAAAGAATTGAGTGTTGTCAGGTTTAGCTATTTGGACTTTGTTCTTATCGAACAGCCCCCCTTCCTTTGACAGATAGACTCCAACCAAATACGGATGCAGCTTACAAAGGGTACACAGCACCACACAGTATAACTGCCTCCACCCTCCATGCTACGTCGTCGTTTCAATTCTCTCTCTTGCATTTAAACCCCGCCTAAACCCCATCTTAGATTCTTAATCCCTTTCCTTAAACAAAGAATAAATAAATAAATAAAACAAAATAAGACAAAACTCACTCTCACTAACACTTAGAACAGAGTAAATTATAGACTCTCTCTGGGTGGAGCTCTCTGTTCTTGTATTTTAGGGCTCAGGGAGGTGTTGTGTGAGCACGGCAGCAGCGGATCTTTCTCCCCAGCTCCTCCAATGGCCAGCGCTAACGCTCACATTAGCAACGGCGACCACGAGCAGCCGCCGACGAAGCCGGCTGGGCTCACGGCCTCGGGGTCGTTCAGGGCTCGCAGGAAAACCAGCTCCTCCTCCGGAATCTCCCGAGCCGGCTCCGAAGTCGATGACATCATCACCCTAATGCACGGCTCCGATCCAGTCCGAGTTGAGCTCAACCGCCTCGAGAACGATCTCCGAGGTCTCTCTCTTCTTCTTTCCTTCTCCGCTCTCCATTTTCCCGGCAAAATTTGGAGCTCACATTTTCTTTGTACATAGGGAGAGATGATATTCTTATTTCATGAAATTAACCAATTCGTTGTATTTTCTGGAAACCAATTTCTTCTAAATTCAGAGCCGCATTTTCTTGCTAAGGAAAGAAACGATATTTCAAATTTGTTAGCTTTGATTTTTTCTTTTTCCTAACAAGAAATTTCTTATTTATAATTATATTTCGTGTACTTTCTAATTTATAAGGTCAAATTTGACTGATATATACGTTTTTTAATTTATGAAATGAAATAACAGATAAAGATAGGGAATTGGGAGATGCTGTTGGGGAAATCAAGTCTTTGAGGAATTCAGAGCGCCTTAAAGAGAAGGCGGTGGAAGAGGTACTCTATTTTGCTTATGAAGCCGAAGTTGTGCTTCTATTTGCATTAGCAATTGGATTGATTTTTATTTTCTTATAACAATTTGCGTAGCGCGATGTTGTCAAATTTTGGTACTTTATAGTATGTTATTACCAAGTTTTGAGCTAGATAGGCTTGTGAAGTTGTGATTATGGTCATTGATTGTTGTTGCATGATCAAAGAAAGTATCTCTATTGTTTTTTTAATGGTGGAATTAGCAATATACTAGAATGTATGAATGAGACAGATTTTGTCAGACTTTTATTTGCCAACTCTTTCCAAAGTTGTTTTTTTTTCTATCTAACAATGTTTTACACCTTCTATTAGATGCAACAGTTATTTTGGAGAACTTTTGCTTAAAAAAAATACCCTTCCACTTCTTAAAATTAAAGAGCAATCTATTTCCATGCAAAAAATATATTGTAGTTATTTTAAATACTGCAAACAATTTAGTATATGCATTTCATTTGAGTTAGGCAGGAAATTTATTTTTTGACTGATTGTGAGTCTACATACTAAGGTGTGCAATGCTGTTTTATATCCATAAAAAAATGTCTGTAAGTGGAACTTCTGTACAACTAAGATGAGATTTGATAGTCTTCTATGTTAATCTTCAGTCTTTTTATACTTTAAGCTGAAACCTTCAGTCTGCTATATTACCTAGTGGTTACTCGATTTTAAGTATTATTGCCTTTTGGATTAATGGTTTTATTCTATTCTAACATTTATTGATCTCAAATTTATCAAGATAACCCTACTTATTCAATTGCCATGTTGTGAATGGATGTTTTGAGCTTCTAATGTTTTAGTTTTTATTTTTTATTTTTTTATATAATCATTTTCTTCTATTGTGATGGATTCACATTTTATTGCTTTAAAATCTTGACTATTATATCCAGCAGCTTCACTTAACAGACAGGTGGATGACTAGAACACCCACCTTTTGGGACATAGACATGGTGAAAATTTTATAATGCCACTTTCCAATGAAAGACTTGAAATCTAAATGATTACAAGAGTCTTAGCAATTGTGTTAAAGCTGTGTCATTTTTAAGCAAAGCTTTATAAGCAAAATTTCCAATTGGACTCTTTTAACCTTGACCCTCCAAAAAAAAGAACTTGAAATGTAATGGGTTATACATTTTTTTTTACTGACAGTGAGTAGCTAATTTTGAAAAATCCCTGCAACTTGGAGGAGATATTATTTTATTAAAAAAATTAAGAAAATATCTCCTTTACCACACGATTATAGCCATATTGTTATTCTCAGTTTTGTTCTGTTCGATTTTTTATTGATGTCTTCTTCTGAGTGAGATAATTATAGGTTTATTACAAAATTATCAAGATTTTAAGAACCATGTTGAATTTTATTTATTAATGTATTGCTCTTTATTACAAAGGAGAAACTTTATGTTCAATCAGAAATGGGACTATCTGATTATTTTTCTGTTGGTTAATGATTCCAGTTGACAGATGAACTAAACAGGGTGGATGAAAAGCTGAAAGCAACTGAAGCCCTTCTGGAAAGCAAGGTACTAGTTGTATTTCCCTTTGCTCCCTCATTGTACTATCTTCTGTAACCAACAAATGGATTTCTGTTTGCAATATAATGAGTACACTATGATTTGCAGAATCTTGAGATTAAGAAAATAAATGATGAGAAAAAGGCAGCTTTGGCTGCACAATTTGCAGCAGAAGCCACACTTCGAAGAGTTCATGCTGCACAAAAAGATGATGAAATGCCCCCCATTGAAGCCATCATCGCTCCACTGGAAGCAGAGCTTAAGCTTGCTAGGCAGGAGGTATATACTTTCCTTCTGCAATACTATGACCTCAATTTGTATTTTCATCTATTCTTTTATTCAACATTCTTAAGACAGATAGGATTGTTGTAAAACTTTTGATGTAGTAACGTTCTGTGTCAATTTTCACTGTCTATTTTGGTTTCCATATTGGTTTATACATGTGAGGTTTAGAATGTTCATAATGTATTGGGTTTCCATATTCTTACTGTCTTTATGGGTCTATTGATTCATGCACATGAAAAGAAAAATAACGAGTTAATTTTTTTTTAAAAAAAATACCTTTTCATGTTTTGGTTTTTTAGGTAGTAAAGTTGCAGGATGACAACAGAGCACTTGATCGGCTTACTAAATCCAAGGAGGCTGCTCTAGTTGAGGCCGAGAGAACTGTTCAGATTGCTATGGTAAAAGCATCCTTGGTTGACGATCTGCAAAACAAAAATCAAGAGCTGATGAAACAGATTGAAATATGTCAGGTATGTATGCTCTCTGTGTTTTCCTGCTGCAGGCAATGTGTGTGATTGTGGGAATGTACCGTGGGTTTTGTACTAGCATTATACTCTATTTTTTGTAACATGTACTAGTGGATTATCAGGAGGAGAACAAAATCCTTGACAAAATGCACCGGCAAAAGGTGGCTGAGGTTGAGAAGCTAACACAAACCGTTCGTGAGCTTGAGGAGGCTGTTTTAGCCGGTGGAGCTGCTGCCAATGCCGTGCGTGATTACCAGCGTAAAGTGCAGGAGATGAATGTAATAAACATTTCTTGGAACTCCAGTTCTTGCAAATCACTTCGTAGTTGTTCTGAGTCTGTCACAAATGCAAACTGCCTCTAACCTTCAAGCTTGCGTAGGAGGAGAAAAAACTGTTGGAACGGGAGGTGGCTCGTGCAAAGGTCTCTGCAAATAGGGTTGCCACTGTTGTTGCAAATGAGTGGAAAGATTCCAGTGACAAAGTGATGCCCGTAAGACAATGGCTTGAAGAAAGGAGATTTTTTCAGGCATGTTACAACTTCAATGCCACCTCATCATTTCTGCATGCAATTCCTTTAATTTGTACAAATAGTCATTTCGTTTCATTGGCTCAAGTTGCATCCTTAACCCAAGAGGTTGGCTTTATGGCAATCGAATGGGGCTTAGGTGCTTCATGCTGGATGAGGCAACTGCATGGACCTAGTTATTATCAATTAACATGTGGACCAGATGCCTCATCAGCCCAAAAAGAAAGCATGAATTATTATTTTTTTTCTTTTCTTCTTTAAATTGTTCTGAAAGTATTTAATGATCATCTATGTTAACCCAAGAGGTTTAACATATCGAATTATCATCTAGTACCATAGATGACCTGCAATGATTTTTGTTGGCCTACTGTCAAGATGCATATAGGATAGTGATAGAGACTACCCCGTATCCCAGGACCTTAAAACAGATATCCCATCTGGAAAATGGTTCTTTATTGCATAGACCACATATAATGCTTTCCCCAAATATTTGCAAATTGAGTAGTCGCTAGAAAACGGAATATATATACAGAAATTCTCCTATGCGGACATCTGGACGTTATTATCGTGCGGACCCCATGTATTTTGTACAACCCCTCCCTGCTTTGTTGCCTATTTACAATGGTATCCGCACGATAATAACATGCGGACATCCGGATAAGAGAATATCTGTATATATGTGTGTGTGTGTGTGTGTGTGTGTTTACGTGTGTGCGCTTGCCGGTGTTCTATGATGGTTTATTTTATGTGTGTTTGTGTGTGTGTGTGTGTGTGTGTGTGTGTGTGTACGTGCGCGCGCTTGCCGTTGTTCTAAGATGGTTTATTTTACCTTAAGAAGCGGCGGTGGAAGTGAAAACAGATCAAGAAAGGAACAGTTTTTTTTATTTGAGATTTAAAATGAATATTTGACATGATTTTTGTAGGGAGAAATGCAACAACTTCGAGACAAACTGGCAGTAGCTGAGCGTACTGCAAAGGCAGAAGCACAATTAAAGGTATGCTAACTGTTTTAAATTTAGTCTGCTCTGACAAGTAAGGGTAACTGTTTCCTATTATGTGTTTAAGCCTCTTCTTAACAGTTGAGCATTAATTGATTTCTTAGGAAAAATACCAACTAAGATTCAAGGTTTTGGAGGAAAAGTTTAAAGCATCGAATGGAAAATCCCGCCCATCCTCAGATGCAAGAATCATCAGCAATGGGCCTTCAAGGCGTCAGTCTCTTGGTGGAGCTGAGAACTTCTCTAGAGCGTCCTCTAATGGCTATCTATCTAGGACAAAATCGAATTTACAATCTGGTTTCAACCGTTCCAACACTGCTACTGCAATATTGAAACAAGCCAAGAGTTCATCTAGATCGTTTGATGGTGGTAGTAGATTGCTAGACAGAGATAAGCTAGTACCAGATGCAACTGGGAAAGATAACACAAACAGTGCCAGTGATCAGACTCAGATGGATGAGACAATTGGTAGACATGAGGAGAGGGCAAATGGATCTTTGGCTGAACAATCCAGGACAGAGCATGAAGATTATGTTTCTGGAGTGCTGTATGATATGTTACAGAAAGAGGTCGTATCTTTGAGGAAAGCTTGCCATGAGAAAGATCAAACCCTCAAGGACAAGGATGATGCAATTGAGGTTAGCTAGTAGGACGTATCTCGTTAATTTTGCAACCTCTCTCCACTTTTGTTTTGGTCTTAATTTGTTTCTTGTGTGGAATCAAGTAGATGTTGGCAAAGAAGGTGGATACACTTAACAAAGCAATGGAGGTTGAGGCCAAAAAGATGCGGAGAGAAGTAGCTGCCATGGAAAAAGAAGTCTCTGCTATGCGTGTCACCAAGGAGCCTGATCAGAGGGCACGGCGCTCAAGTGCTCCCCGAGGGGTTGTAAATAGCTCTCATACACTTTCTTCTAGGTAAATAGTTGTGTATAATCTTTAATGGCCTAAAACTGATGCACTAGTTGTGGAACAGGTCGTCATTCTTGTTCCTGCTAAGTTCTTGATTATATAAAACAAACAAAAATGCATGGCGCGATATACTTATTTTTTTTTACTTTCTTGGTCATCACATGGTGTAATATCAAATGCTGAAAATTGATTACTTTTGAGCTACTTCGAGTAGAAGACCATTGATCAATCTGAACAAAGTTTTCTTCTTTCTTTCAGGAATGCACATAAGTCTAGGTGATTGACATGGCCACATGAAGGGCGCCACACCAATTCTTCGGATCTGCAATCAATATAATTGTACGGTTTTGTCATGATTTTTTTGCTCGTCTCCATCTATTTAAGTTGTCTTGTCCAGGTAGGCAATTTGTAAAGAACTGACTCGAGGTTTCTCAGGTCACCCTGCCTTGTATATTTCTTTTGTACTAATATTTCCCAAAAATATACCACCGTGGGTGGCATGAAAGTTATGAAAAAGATGTGGCTTGTTCGATGCTTTTCAAGGAAACTGCAGGCATGATAAAACTCTGTATACCATAAATGTATATTGGTAAGGAAGTTCACGTTAATTCAATACAGCTTTTAGGCTATACCTTTTTCCAAAAATGGATTTATTGGGTTGATGGCATAAAAGGTTTTATGCGGACAAAGGCTAGAGTTAACTCATGCTTTCGTTTAACCCCCAGTCTCTTGATATAATTTCCTAGAGATAAGCTACCTCACAAGGATCTGCTATCTAACCTTTGTATGAAATATTCTTCCTCATCATTCGAAGAATATACCCTCATCGAAAACAAAATTTGAAGTCTTTTATTTGAATTAATTTGATAGACTACTAAGGGCCACTACTAATAATTTGGTCAGACACTAATATTGTTACCAACTTAATAATTTAGGTCTAATATTGTGAGTAAAATTAGACTCAATGGACTCATCCAGGTTGTCCAGGTATTGGTCTGGGGAAATTGGCTCGGTTTGGAGGTTGATAGGGTGGTGGGTTGTTGGAGAGAGAGAAGAGAGGAGGGTGGTAGAGATTAGTGCATGTGGTAGATTGTGATCTTATAATATTACATCAACACCATTGGCTTATGCATACTGCTTGACTTGTAAATTATAAGCAATTTTCATTTTTGATAATGTCCGCATATGAAATTCGTAGGATTTGAGAGCTTTAAAATCTATATATATACTAGCTCCTTGGCACATGCTCACGTATGTGCCAATTGGTTTTATTTTATATTATATATTTTATTTTTAGAATTAAAAAAAGATAACATAGGTAGTTATGTTCCATAAAATTAAGACCTATTATCTGATTTTTTTTAAAAAAAATTTAATATAAAAAAATGTGAATTTACCATGTTATCCTCATTTCATTAATAATTTCAATTCTTAAGTTTGAATTAATCAAGGGTATTTTCTGGTATTTTGAATGTTTCACCATTCTCTGCCTTTTGCTTTATATATATAGATAAAGCAAAAGGCAGAGAATGGTGAAAAATTCAAAATACCAGAAAATGCCATTGGTTAATTCAAACATTAAAAATTGAAATTATTAATTAAATGAGGATAATATGGTAAATTCATATTTTTATATTAAAAAAAATTAAAATTAAAAACAAAATCTGATCATACTTTTATGGAACATAACTACCCATATTATCTTTTCTTCATTCTAAAAATAAAAGAAAAAAGAAAAAAGAAAGCCAATTGGCACATCCGTGAGCATGTGCCAAGGGGCTAGTATATATATATACAGAGAGCTTCCATTGAGGGATTCCTCAAATAAGCTTATTTAAAGGACACCCCTTGTAGGCCCCACTCTAGATTGTATTTCACTAATCCAAACAATCTATTTTGTAGATACTCATTCAAAGATCATCTCTGCAAAAAATCACTTGAATCCGATATCATTTTACCACTCAATTGAGTTATTGAAATTTTAGTACTTTCTTGAAGTACCGTGTTCATTGATATTGTAAGACATAATTGGATGTCGAAACGGTTTCTGATTTGTCTAATTTTTTGTAAAAATGATCTATAAATGAAGACCTAAAAAATAGATGGTTTGGATCATTGGGAAAAAAATTGTAGGGTACCTTAAAGGGTGTCCCTCAAATAAAATTATTTAAGGGATCCCTCAATAGAATGGGATATATATATATATATATATATTCTCACTCCTTTTTTATCCATTTACACTCCAGTTTTTTAAAATTGTATGTTCTCACTCATCTTATATTCACTTACGCTCCCATTTATCTTATAGTAAAAAGTATTAAAAAAACAAAGTGGAGTGTATGTGGATAAAAGGGGAGTGAGAAAATTTATATATATACCTCTAGTTTCATATTTATGACAAGTTATTTACACTAATACCTTATGAGGTTTCTTATGTTTTCACAAAACCTTTTTAGGTCTCAAAAATTACATGAACATCCCCTGAGGTTTCAGTTTGTTTTCACAAAACCCTTGTCATTGATTGTTTGTCCAAAAACTGATGATTTTATTGAATTTTTTTTATGCAAATGACAAAATTAACCTCAGAGCATCCACAATTATACTCTCTATTTTTTAGTTAAATTTTAGCTAAAAACATATAAAATTTATTTTAGGAGCTCTCTTTAAAATTTAAACTCCAATCATGCTCTCTAGTTTAAGGGGTCATAAATGCTATAACTCTTTTTTAATTGGTCCATCTCTATTAAAAAATAATATAAAAAATAGGTAGCATTAATCAAAAGTTTGAAATACTCATTAAATAAAGCAGCTTTAAATTATAAAGAGCCACTACACTATGTGAAAATTGACCTTTAGCTTCGGATAATATCCGTTGCTAAAGGTACCCCAGAACCGAAGTATTGGGAACCGATGCATATACTATACTAATACACTTAGGATATTATCCGTTGCTAAAGATTATTTACGACTTCAGTATTTTATAATCACCGATGCATAAGTTGTTACCATGTGCCAAAAAAGCGTTGACCTCCGATGCCTTAAACGTTGAATAGCATTAAGGAATATATTAGATCTGATGCTAAATACTAATTATAGCATCAATGGTTTTGTTTGTACTTAAACATTGAATAGCATCAATGGTTTTGTTTGTATATTAGATCTGATGCTAAATACTAATTATAGCATCAACGGCTTCGGTTCTCATGGAGTGCTGATGTTGATTTTAGAAATTACACTTTACTTTATTACTCTTAGAATATCAAACCAAATCATGAATTGTTGCCCATTGCACATGAAAAAAAAATAGAGCAATACAATTGGAATTCAATCATTTACAATGCAAAAAACAAAAGTGGAGAAATTGCAATGCATTTGTATTTCCTTTTGTTGAGGAGAGTGACGGAAAATTTCACAACATATATCGGACTCCTTATAAGGCGTAACAGGCATAATACTATGTACAACACATGCAGCTAAAGAAATCCAGCAAGCCCTTCAACAAGCAAACCTGTTCTACATCAAACAAATTACCCAGGTTAAGCCCCTTCGACATTGAAATTAACTCAAATGCATTCATAGCTGCTGGTTGTTCTTCCTTCTTTTCTGTCACATGGTGCTTCTGTCATGAAACCAAGAACATGCATCAGACAAATTTTAGAATAGCACCAATTTCTTATCTGCCCAAACAGAAAGCCACTGATTTAAATGAACTCCGGAGCTGGTAATAACGAAGAAAAGCTTTAAGTCAATGAAGAAATATGAATCATCATTAAGTGTCCTCAACAAAAGTTGAAGGTTAGTTGAAGGTAAATATCAGAACAAACCTGTGCAATTTGATTGACCTCATTAATTGAACCTTTAGATTTGAGCACAGCTTTATAGATACTGCAAGCGAACATAAGAACTGTCCATGTTAGCCTGAGAAATAGTCCTCATAATAACCGTGCCTGAGAAATAGTCCTCATAATAACTGTTGAAAATAGACCATGAGAAAAAACTAACTACTGAAATATGAAGCAGAAATTATGATTTAGCAGACAAAGCATGAGTTCTAAGAACTCATCATCCTCAATCTTCTTCATCAAAATTTTGTTTGCCTAGCACAAAGAACTAAGGTTTGATGAGCAAACGTCACTGATAACACAGTCCGGGAAAGATAAACTGAGAATTTCGATTGGATGCCAAAACAGTAACTATGAAATAGATAATCTTCCTTAAGCAATATGTAGACCTTGTTTAACGAATTAATGCATTACCTCCACAAGTTCTCTCTCATGCTCTTTGTAGAGGTCTGCAACTCTTCTCTTGATCTTAGCATAATCTTCAGCGTTTGTGTACATGAAGGAAAGGTTTCAAGTTCCAACTGCAATATGGTATCAGCGCATTATTAGACTACAAATTAACAGAGGCACATATATAAAAATAAAATATGATTTAAAACTTTATCACTATAAATTATCTCAGTCATCATAAACTTGAAATTCAGTTGTGAAACCCCTCGGCCCAAGACAAGCATAACTTTTTTGTCTTGTCTAAAGTATACCTTAGGATGTAAATTTAAGTCACAACTCATGACATTTCAAATTTCAGAATGTGACGACTTGCGATCAGAAACTACTCATTTAAGCTACAATGAATCATAATATAGGTCCAAGGGTGCCATTATAGTGCAACATTTGAAAACTGAAAAATTGAGAATTGAAAAGCATAAATGTGTACCTTGATTTGGTACATCCCAAGCAACTTTGCTAGTGGAAAAAACAGATTAAAGATAACATAATTCACACCATAAATATCTCTGTTGGAAAAACACTATCATTCTCATTAATGCGTACTTAGGCAATAATCAAGTTTACCTCCCACAACTTTTCAGGAGAAACCTCATTCAAGGCATCTGAAGACAAAGATGAAGAACACTGCAGATGCCATCTCTTACAAGCAACATTAAGCAAAGCTGATTTAAAAAGTCTTCCAAGAACTACAAAGTCTGAAGTTTCGGCAGAATA